TAATATTATAATATTACATTGTTTTTGTCAGTTGCTTTGATTTATCGTTTAGATGAAAGAGCAGGATATAAATCAGGGACAGGGAAGCTCAGGACCGGAGGCCAAAAGTGCCCCTCTGGGGTCCAGACCTCTCTGGCTGGTCTTGAGGACTCTCCTTAGGCTACACCTTCTCTTCAGCCACACCTTCTCTCCTCTTGCTCCCCTTTGCACCCTCCACGGGTGTTTTTCGTCTGCCTGGAATGTGTTCTCTAAATCTGATAATGTCTCTTGCTTGCCTGAATACAGATGTGTGTATGAGTCTTTGTAGAAACTAGTCCAATGTATAAAGGTAGATTTTCCAATCGTTTTCCCACCTAGTCTCTGGCTCTGCCCTCTGCTGGAATTTGGCTGCCAGAAGTCTGCCCAGAAGGCAATGTGGCCCTTGGTCTGAAAAAGATTTCCCACATGGGCACAAGATGTTGGACATAACATAATGATGGCTGACTGGGAACAGTTATGGACCACAGGTATGAAGTTTACGGCATGTAATGCCTTAAGAGAGAATATTATGAAAATGATACACAGGTGGTACATGACACCAGTCAAGCTTGCAAAAATCTATCATTTGCCCGATAATAAATGTTGGAAATGTAAAGAAACCGAAGGTACATTCTTTCACCTTTGGTGGACGTGCCCAAGGATTAAGGCTTTCTGGGAGATGATTTATAATGAAATGAAAAGGGTATTTAAATATACCTTTCTGAAGAAACCAGAGGCCTTTCTCCTGGGCATGGTCGGCCAAATGGTGCCAAAGAAGGACAGAACTTTCTTTATGTATGCCACAACAGCAGCAAGAATACTTATTGCAAAGTACTGGAAGACACAAGACCTACCCACTCTGGAAGAATGGCAGATGAAGGTGATGGACTACATGGAATTGGCGGAAATGACTGGCAGAATCCGAGACCAGGGAGAAGAGTCGGTGGAAGAAGATTGGAAGAAATTTAAAGCCTATTTACAGAAATATTGTAAAATTAATGAATGTTAGAATGATGTTGGATAGAAAGTAAGTGGTTTCTAGCTGTAATACTATAAGGGAATATGAAAAATGGATTACTAACAGGTAAAAATTTAATGTTACAATACTTTAAGATTAAAGACTTGGATAAACAAAGAGGGGAAGGATTTGCTGAACCAACAAACCGAACTGGAATACAAAAAAGGGAGGCGTGAGGAGGTCCGGGAAATAAGCTAATGAAAAATAAGTAATGGAAAGATTGAGTTGTTTTTAACTATTTTTATTTTGTATTTTTCTTTTTCTTTATTTTTATTTTGTAATATTTTGAAAATTTCAATAAATATCTTATAAAAAAAATGAATAGAAAAATGCCATGAATCCCTTTGCCATAGTACACACTGCCAAATGCTATTAATTTGTTCATAGCATTAGATGAAACTCAAGTTCTGAATAGTCAGTGCAGAATGAGATGAGGACCAGGATGTTTTCTTTCACAAAGCTAATAGATTCTTTGTGGGAGGGGGGTTGGCTGACTATTTCATAAAACAATGTGTGTGTATGTGTTGTTTTACTTATTTGAAAGAAAGGTGGAGAAAGAGATTCTCACAGGAGGAATTTGAACAGCAAAGCTCTCTGATAAAAGAAGGCTAAAAAGTTCATTCCAAATACCAATTTGCTAATAGTCCCATGAGAATAATGTTTATATTGGCAACAATGAACAAACAGAGATGAGTGACAGGTCCACAATTAAATCATGAATGGAAGCAAATATTCCCAGTGCAGAGTATGCATATCACTTGCCAATACAGTGGTACCTCGGGTTACAGACGCTTCAGGTTACAGATGCTTCGGGTTACAGACTCCGCTAACCCAGAAATAGTACCTTGGTTTAAGAACTTTGCTTCAGGATGAGAACAGAAATTGTGTGGCGGCGGCACGGGAGGCCCCATTAGCTAAAGTGGTACCAGGTTAAGAACAGTTTCAGGTTAAGAATGGGCCTCCAGAACAAATTAAGTTCTTAACCCGAGGTACCACTGTAGAAAGAGACCAATATTCCAATGTCCTGAGACCATATTCTTATGACTACATTACTCCAGTTTTCCAATTAGCTCCTACAAATGATTACCCTGGATGTAATCACACCTTTCAGATCAGTAGAATCGTCAATTCCTCCTGCACTTCAGTTACAAAATGCCTCAATAAGCATGTGAACTTGTGGGATAATTTCACCCAGTTTGATGGTTAGCACTGGTGTCGGACTCAGTGGTGGACCTTGGAGTCTCAAATATCAGTGGCACCCTGTGCGACACCAAAATTCAGCCCCCACCCATCACCTTCCAGTCTACATCACAGCTGAGATGCCCTCTGTGGCACCCCTGAGGCTCTGCACCCAGTACAGTTGAACCGGTTGTGCTCCCCTAAAGCTGCCTCTGTTGGACTTGAACAAAGGAGATCTGGTTTGGGGCTAAGAGGCTTATTGGGTGATCTTGGGCCAGTAGCACAACATCCTAACCTACCTTGAACAAGGAGAAGGGCAACAGCTAAGAGGGGAATGGCTTTTACTTGGTAATAGCTATCTGCTTTGCATCCAGACTGTCCCAGATTCAATCTGGCATCTCCAGGTAGGACTTGAAATGTCCCATTTGAAACCCTGCAGAACTGCTGCCAGTAAGTGTAGACAATGGATGAGGAACTATGGCTATCCAGGTGTTGTTGGACTCCAACTCTCATCAGCCCCAGCCAGTATGGCCAATGGTCAGGGATGATGGGCACTGTAGTTCAGCAAATGTATGCAGGGCCACAGGTTCCCAACCCTAGATGGCATGTTCCTATGTTGCAAAATTGTGGTAAATAAATTGAGATAAGTGCCACATATAGTGTCTGAGCTAGTTGGAGGAAGGGCAGAATACAAATGTTTTTAATCGTGTTCTAACCTTTCTGTTGGGGACGCGGGTGGCGCTGTGGGTAAAACCTCAGTGCCTAGGACTTGCTGATCGTATGGTCGATGGTTCGAATCCCCGCGGCGGGGTGAGCTCCCACCGTTGGGTCCCAGCTCCTGCCCACATAGCAGTTCGAAAGCACCCTTAAGTGCAAGTAGATAAATAGGTGCCGCTTTATAGCGGGAAGGTAAATGGCGTTTCCGTGTGCTGCGCTGGTGCTGGCTCACCAGCTGCAGCTTCGTCACAGTGGCCACGTGACCCGGAAGTGTCTTCGGATGGCGCCGGCTCACGGCCTCTTGAGCGAGATGAGCGCACAACCCTAGAGTCGGACACGACTGGCCCGTACGGGCAGGGGTACCTTTACCTTTAACCTTTCTGTTGTGTTTATGGGGTGGTGAAGGCAAAGTCTCATTAGCTCCACAAGGGGCAGGGGACAATCTTATTAAGGTTTTATTCAGTGCTTTTTTCTGGGGGGATACAGAGGTATGCATACCCCTAAACATTTTTTGAATCTTTGTACTTTTGTCCATTTACTGTATTTATTTTTCCCAATTTGCACTATAAAATGGTGGTTTTCTTGGGTCAAAATGAGAGTATCCCTAAACATTTTTTTTTAAAGAAAAAAGCACTGGTTTTATTTTACAGAGAATGATGATGGCTCTTCTCACTCCCACTTTTGAAGGTGGGCCAGTCTGTTCCTGAAGCGTAGCTAACGGGAGTGAAGGCGGTTATGGTGGAAGGGGACTTTAGCCCCAGTGGTCAAATTCTCAAAAGAAAGATGCTGAGTCCCATGTCTGTATGGAGGATTATGTGTTGCCTTTGGACCTGGAAACCTTATGTTTTAATCCCAGATATGAGGAAACAGAATATGGATAAAGTTTATGGTTTGGTGTATTCTGCTTTAGTGGTGGATTTCTTCTGCTCAAGTTTGTTCTGTGATATTCCACAGTGCATCCACATTATTGCTGTCCATGATGGTATTTGTAACTGGACAGTTTAATCTTGAGCTCACAGCTGTGTGACTAAGCGTAGGAAAGGACACATTATGGAAGGTGCGGTTAAAATGCACACACGCATATATACAAATTAAAATGCAGTATGTGTTTGTGTGTGAATTACCGTATTTCCGAACGGGAACTGCGTTATTTTGTACCAGAGGGAATGTGGGTGTTTTAGGAACCAACACTGGATTATATGTCTCTTGTACACCACCTCTGTAAGTGGCGTAGGCGTGAGATAACGAAAAGGGTTTCCAAGAAAATAAGCGGACGGGAGAGCAGAGGCTCCTCCTTCTGAGAAGCTTTCAAAACCCCCGATCCCTGCTAGTAACTGCGCATGTGTCGTCGTCGTCGTCGTCAGCAGCATCAGAAGCAGCACAGTGACTACATAGAGATAAGGTCTTTAAAGTTACGATTCACTTATTCTGAGACGGCTGAGGATGAGACTGGTTTAGATTTCCAACCAAAAGTCTTCCACACATACACATTTACGGGTTGCTGTAAATATATGTCCCTGTCAGGGAAAAGGAGGGTATAAATAAATAAAACAATCAACCTACTAAAGTCACACGTCCCAGTAGAAAATCCAGGGCTCAGCTTATTTATTTGAAACACTTCTATCTCGCTCTTCGGTGGAAAACAAAACCAAAAACCAAATAGTAATATCAGAACGGGTAACAATTAAAAGCCATGCATATACATTCATTCACGCACGTAAAAGCAATCTTAATCTGAAAATTTGAATGCAGATTGTTGTGCTTTTAAATGTTTCAAAGTTAAAATTAAAATAAAAATCCATACATAAGACCTGAGTTGGAAAGGGTACTAGAATTGTCATTGCTGCCACGTTTTGTTGGGATGGTGGAGAGAAGGCGCACGTTAAATTCCTGCCCCTCTCATTGATTTCTATGAGACGCTTTTAGTCCCGCCCCTGCGGAGATAAAGATGGCGTTCAAAGCGAACCCGGAATCTGTAAGTGGTGTGCTAGTCTACATGAGCAAGTCTATGACTAGCTACAGCAGCCTCTGCTTTCCTCCCGCCTATACTCTGTGCTTTACGGGCCCGGGAAGCTCCTGTTACGCATGCGCTGAAGTCTCTCGCCTGGTGGTGTAACCTAGCAACGGGAGAAGCCGGACGCGTTAGGAAAAGATTGAGGTGACGGGCGTTGTGGGTTCTTGGGAACGCAGCTACCCGTGTAAACAGTAGCGTACAGATCTTGCTGAACTGGTGAGGCTTTCCGGGCCAAGGCTGGGCTGGGAAGCCGTCTAAGGCAAGGAAAAGGACGGCTGTTTGTTCACGGGTAACAGTTGATGAATCCTGTGGGTTTTACTGGCAACTGTTTTATTAATTTTGCAAACAAACAAAAAACAAAAAAAAGCAAAAGCAAGCAAGCATATGAATAAGATAAATTGATTTTAAACGGGATGGGGGTATTCATTGTGTTTAGAGATTCACGCACACACGTGTAACAACAACGTGCATACTCTTCCAGAAAAGGCGTTTCCCCTCTGAGCGAGGGGGAAGGGGAGGGGGAGGGAGAAAGAAGGAAATTGCTTTTTTAAAGAAAGGTTTCCTTTTTGCAAGTATTCAAATGTTTTATGTTTGTTTCAGAACTTATATACCGCTCCACATGAAAATAATACCCAAGCAGAACACACACACACACACACACACACACACACACACTGTCATATAAATCATAGGGCAATGTAAAAGCATGAAGTCAAGAAAAAAATAAAAGCTGAAGGATTAGAATGGACTATTTTCAGTTAGCTCAGTTGGTTAGAGCATGGTGCTGTTAATGACAAGTTGCAGGTTCGATCCCCATAGTGGCCACCTGCATATTCTTGCATTGCAGGGGGGTGGACCAGATGACCATTGAGGTCCCTTCCAACTCCACAATTCTATGATTTTATTTAATATATTTCGGATAACTCTTTAGCCCAATCCCAGGAATGGTTTCACAGAAGAAGTATGAGTGCAACTGAACATAGAAGCAGCAACTCTGCTTGTGCTGGCAGGACAGAGATGAGTAGGGAGGTGTTTTTCCCCACATTTTGGACACATTTAAAGCACTATTTTAAATGGTACCATTTTAAACAGCCATGGCTTCCTACAAAGAATTCTTGGAGCTGTTGTTAAGGATTCGGACAGTTGTTTGGAGGCTCCTATTTCCTTCCCAGAGCTACAATTCTGAGTTCCCTGTGAGAGGGATTGACTGTTCCGCTTCTCGACTTTTTTGATCCTGTATCTCCACATCCCATTTGACCCTAATCCCATTTAAAACAAAAACCAAAACCTGCCACTGGGGAAGAATGAGTGGGACCACATGAGCTTTGATCAATTTTGATTATACTCTGGGCAGCTCAACTAGGTTTTTTTCTTGACTTCACTAGGCTCACTGTGCCACATCTGAGGATTTTGTGCTTTACTTGCTTTGCTCTTTATTATCATATATGTTTTTCCCTTTTCCATATTTGAGAGCTAATATTCTCCCTGCCAACATTGTAGGTAGGGATAGTTCTGTCTCTCAGGGAACATCTCCGCTGTAGCTGCATAATGAGCCTTGCTTTAATGAAGAGCAGCTTAGCCAAAACTATATGAGGAAAGAAGCAAGGAATATACCGACTTACGGAGGAGGATTTCAGAGGATTTAGAAAGTAATTCAGTTCTGAAGTGTACATTTTTCCAGTTCCTAACAAATCAGTTGAGGTCAGTTGTGTTACAATTTCATGCTGTCATCTTTGCCACTCAAGGCTGCCCCTGCATTTGAAAAGGGTGTCCAGGGCAGGAAAGACAGGTTTTAAAATAAGAGTGATGCAGTGCAGGCATTAGTAATATGGACTGGCACAGGAGTGACTGACTGCTTGGGTAGGGATGCCGCATCTGTTGGAGTAGCTCTCAGATTTTATTCATGAACGTTAATTAATTATTTGAGCAGTTGTTTTAAGCTACCTGTTGTCAAGCACTGAACTTCAAGGGGTGGAGGAAGAAAGAGGCTAAACAGTGAGACCTGCTTTATGCTGAAATTGACCATTGCTCCATCTAACGCAACACTGCCTACTCTGATTAGTAGACACTTTCCAAGGCACAGAAAAGTATTTTGCCATCCTGCAAGCTGATATCATTTTAACCCAAGACAAGAAGGGCTTGAAATGGGATCTTTTACATATAAAATATATGCTGTGCCATTGGCCTGAGCAAACAAAGACCACCACTGCTTTGGTTACCAGAACCTTCCTTGTTAGCAGGAACTTCCCTTTCCTTGGATCTGTCCGAATACTATCAAATATATACATGTGTGTACTTGTATAGTATCATTGATGTTTTGCTCTGTAAAGTGCCAGGTATAAGAAACCAGATCTCAGTCCTAAAGAGCTTAAAAACTAAATACAACAGTGGACATGAACAGAGGAAGGAAAAGGAGGGGCAGTTGTAATAGGGGATGAAATCTTCTTATAATCTTAATTAAAGGTAAAGGTACCCCTGACCATTAGGTCCAGTCGCCGACGACTCTGGGGTTGCAGCGCTCATCTCGCTTTATTGGCCGAGGGAGCCAGCGTACAGCTTCCAGGTCATGTTGCCAGCATGACTAAGCCACTTCTGGCGAACCAGAGCAGAGCACGGAAACACCATTTACCTTCCCGCCGGAGCGGTACCTATTTATCTACTTGCACTTTGAGGTGCTTTCGAACTGCTAGGTTGGCAGGAGCAGGGACCGAGCAACGGGAGCTCACCCCGTTGCAGGGATTTGAACCGCCGACCTTCTGATTGGCAAGTCCTAGGCTCTGTGGTTTAACCCACAGCACCACCTGCGTCCATTCCCTTAATTAGGTGTTGCTAATGCCTAATCAATTAGGATTGACAAGGCAGTTGCCAATCAGACCGAAAAGTTATTATTCACCCATTGTGCTTCATTGTTCCTTATACACCATGGCACTCTGATAGTCATCCGCAAGGCACTCCTTTCACAGAAAAGATTTTAGCTGGAGTGTGGCTGCCCTATGCTCTGACTGAGTTCTGACTGGGTCCAATCCCTGTTAATGTTATTGACAGAAGTTAGATGGGCCTTAATAACAAGTCCAAGTATTCTTCCATGCTTGATATCTTTTGATTAATTTATTCCTCTTGTGTCTTGGACAACTTTGATACCCCTCTAACTCTTCAGGAGATACACTTAACTGGTGTTAAGGAAGGGGTCTTAAGAGTTCTGATGATAAATGTAGCAACCAGGAGGGAAGCTTGCTTGTTAGCGATTTGAAGCAATGGACTTGCACTTTGATGAAAGGAGTAGGAGTGAAAACAGCCACTTCCTAGTCGTATGTATTTATTGATTTAACAACATCAAAATATAATTCCATGTTACCTAACACTGGGGGTGAGTTTTTATTTTAATCAAGCAAGTATCTATTAGAGTTTAAACCAACTAAGTGGTACACGTGAGTGGTTGCATTACCCTGCTTTTCAACGGCACCTGAAATAGGTATCTTTCTGCTTGTTTCTGCAGCAAACATGAATTAAATAACACAACTGGAACATCCATATATTTTTGGGTTTAGAGATGGAAAGCAGGGCTTAATCTAATTACAGTGACACTTCTTTAAGCTCTTTAGTTTATGTGACCCTTTAATATGATTTGCTTTTAAGACAGCCCCCCTCATCTTTTTCATAAAATTGCCCTGCTGTTAATTTAAAGCAAGTGATTGAATAGCTGCCATGTTCCATTTATTTTAGGTTTATATTAAAGCGCTTTTTCTTAAAGTCTTTCTCTCTTGGGAAGAAGGATTTTGCTGTGCATCTCAGCAAGACATCGGAAATCTCACACATCATTTTTCCATTCAGATTGTTTGTCACAGCTTGTGTTATCCCTGTGGTTTACTAGTGTCACATCCACTAGAAATCTGGATTCTGCCTTACGAACCCTTACAAATTTTACCCCAAACAAAGTTAAATTAATGGAGCCAAATGTTGTCATCTGTCTCCATTAATTTTATTTCATGAACGAGTAATGACTATATTTAGTACTGCATCACACAGTGAAAATGTTTGCTTTTTGAAATAGCTTACAAGACTCGGTTTTAGAGTTTTCAGCTAGGGACAGGATCTTCTAGTGGCTATGTGTGTTTGCACAAAATGATAGACCATGAGTTATGGCTTAATAATCCACAATGTAAATGAGTACTGTGCTGGTATAGGCAGCCCCTTCACTCCCTCTTTATTCCTCCCTTTGCATGAGCACATGTAAGTGGAAAGTTTTGTGTGGTTTTTGATCGTGGGAATCTGGTTTATTACTCTTAAACACACCAGAATTGGCAAACCAACAACAAATCCCTGTTTAAAATTGGTTTATGATTTTGTCTTGATCAAGAAAAACTGATGAGAATCCCAGATTCAGCACTCATATTCATTTCTGGTTTGTTTACCTGGTTGTACAGAGGGAGGAGCAAACAATATATAAGACTACATACCAATGACTATATATAAGACTACATACCATACTTAATACAGTCATACTTCGGGTTGAATATGCTTCAAGTTGAGCGCTTTCGGGTTGCGCTCCGTGGCAACCTGGAAGTAATGGTACGTGGGTTGCGTTCGCTTCAGGATGCGAATGGGGCTCCGGAACAGATCCCGTTCGCATCCTGAGGTATCACTGTATTCTCACTCCCTTAATCCAGCAACGGAGGAAGCCACTTGGGCGCCTGGGGTGGTGCGCCCAGGGGCGAGGCGCACCACCCATAGAGGTGGGACGTACCACGGGACCTCCGGAGTCTGCCTGTCTCCTCCCACTCAGCCACCCTGCAGCTGGGGGGGGGGGAGGCAGAGAGTGGACCGTATGGGCAGCGTGCAGCCTGCGTGCACCAAAGCCACCGCGTCTCTTCCAGGAGATACGCATGGCTCGGGCATGTTGCACGCCCCACGGTGAGTGCTGCCCGGCATTTTGTCACCCTCCTCAGTGGTAACCCCCAGGGCGGCCCGCCCCTACCGCACCCCCTTCCTCCGTCCCTGCCTTAATCATGTTTACAGAATGGAGAGTGGACTGTGGCATTGTTTTGACTCCTTCTCCTACCCTACAACTCTCTGATGTGAATTTACCCTGCTGGACATAAGCATTGTTAAAGCCTATGTTGTCCACAGACAGCTTTCCAGGTCACATGGCCAACAGGACTAAACTGCTTCTGGCGCAACAGAACACTGTGACGGAAACCAGAGCGCACGGAAACGCCTTTTACCACTGTTTATTTAGGGACGCGGGTGGCGCTGTGGGTAAAACCTCAGTGCCTAGGACTTGCTGATCGTAAGGTCGGCAGTTCGAATCCCCGTGGCGGGGTGAGCTCCCGTCGTTCGGTCCCAGCTCCTGCCCACCTAGCAGTTCGAAAGCACCCCTAAGTGCAAGTATTTAAATAGGTACCGCTTTATAGCGGGAAGGTAAACGGCGTTTCCGTGTGCGGCGCTGGTGCTGGCTCGCCAGCTGCAGCTTTGTCACGCTGGCCACGTGACCTGGAAGTGTCTTCGGACAGCGCCGGCTCCCGGCCTCTTGATCGAGATGAGCGTGCAACCCTAGAGTCGGTCACGACTGGCCCGGACAGGCAGGGGTACCTTTACCTTTTATATATACCGCTCAAAGAGGATACTGTTATCCTCCTATTCCTCTTCGCTCAGTTAGGAATATATGTGTGTAGTACAGAAGTTAGGTTTGGAATAGATTCTGTTGCTGCACATTAAATATGATTCGCCTTGGTCATGTAAACACAGCTGGTAAAAGGATGAGGCCAAGAAGTAGTCAAATTTGTTGCAGGAAGTTTCTGCTAAAGACAGAAGCCTGCACAATGACTAAATAATCAGCAATACAATCATGATGCTAATCAACTGGGAATTTGCATAATTGAGGGGGAAAGTACTCCTGGTTCATAATTTTTCAACATCTGTGTACATTTGTGTGATTAACAGAAATAATTCCACTTAATTATAACATGCCCATTTTTTAGTTGCCAATAAATGAAAGCATTTCTTGTCCTGTGTTGCTTCAGGTTTCAGAGGATAGAACAAATCCAGTGAACTAGCAAGGAAAAGAAGACAATTGACTTGGATCCTGGTTATAGGTGGTGGGGTAAAAAAGGTAATTAAGTTCCTGAAAACAAATAGTTGCTTCATAGCAATATTTTTTCCTGCAAATCTTAGTGCATTTTTATGTTGTTATTGAACTGGGAGAGGGGGTATGGGTGGGGTGGGGGGAATGCAGTTTAGATGTACCAAAGCAGGGAAATTATATAATTCAAAACACACTAAATGAAATCCCAAGGTGAAAATTTGATTCTCCAGCCCTACCACTGAGCTTATGTAGTTATACCTTGTATAGAGCAAAACCTCACATAAGTTCAAGATGATGAGGTTATATCGTCACTTATCAGTTCAAGATGATGAGGTTAGATCTTCAGTTAGCACAGGTGTAAATGAGAGCACAGGGTCAACAGCTCTAGAGAATCAATTCCATATTTAAATAAGTGCTTCTTATATAATTGTACAAAGCTCTCCCTGCCCCGCTCCCCTTATAGGCAGAATTTATGCTTTTCAGCTACATATATGTGATACATTTAAGTGGGTTGGCAAACTCGAAGTTGGTGCTATCAGGTTGAGCCAGTGCTTAGGATCACAGAGAAAATCAAATAAAAATGGTAATCAGTTTTCTGTGGGAAGCCTATATATTTTAATTTGCAAAGAAAAGAAAGTGAAGATATTAAATTAATATATCTACTGTATATATAGTAGGCATATATATGGATTAGCTGTGTTGGTTTGGGCAAAACTACTATCCTGGCAAACGTATGCTGCTCAAACAGAAACATTAAAATTAGTGTAGGGATAAGGATAAGGAGTAGGCACTTGCAAGGGAGAATTGGCAAACTGATGGGTTTAACTCGTCCTGTGCTCTCCTGTCAAAGTTCCACTGACAAGCCGTACTTTCCAGTGTTTTCTCTGCAGTTATACATGCTCTGTGTTTTGGAGTCTGTGTGTATGTGTTCAAATGACCATGTGTGTGTTTATGTATGGCTCTTATACAGGAGAATTAACAGAGGAAAATTAAACACACTCCTTCAGCCTTGTAACACAGGGTTGGGAAACCCATCTCTCCCTTGTAAAATGTTCCATGCACAAGGATTGCAGAAGTGAATCGCGATTACATTTATCAATCTAAACTTTTTTTCAAGAAGCTATCATTGTATACGTTTCTACTTTTGGCGCGCTGCTGAGCTTAGTTGTAGAGAAAAGCTGAAACTCTATTCCTATGCAGAACCAATGATTTCAATTGAAGCCTTTTTTATAGCAGTCACTCTGTTTCCTAAGGCTCCCATCTGTCTTTATGTCATTGCTGTGCTGACTTGTATATTGTACTGAGAATTGACAGACCTCCTGTTGAGTTTTAGTGGTTACACTTCATAATAGTACACATTGTGAAGTCAGCTCATAAATTGCAACCACAGATTCCAATTATAACTAGAGTTGTATGTCATGTTCATGGGTCTTCGTCTGATTGAATTTTTGTGTACTTTATATTCTAGCTGAGATCTAATATAAATATACATTATAATTGCTGGCATTCTGGCCTCATCTGCTTTGGGCTATGCTATAAATACCCACCCCCTTTTTTATTTTTCCACTAAACACATATGAACAGATTTGATTAGTGTTGGCCAAATGCACCATTAGTATGTGTAAATGATACAGCTCTGTGAATGCAAAAATTGCCAGCAAACTGCCGTAAATGTACATGTGCCTGCCTTAAAATGCATCTGAAAATAAAGCCAAATTTTTTAAACTCCAGTAAGTGCAGAAAATGGTCTTACTTATCACAACCAAAATCTGGTTATTTCTGAAGTTTGAAAGCATCCTTAAGAGCTAGTGAGTGGCATTATAAGAGCTTTTTGAAGCAAGTGAAATTGAGCTTCTACTGCTTTAGCAACTGCTAGAGCCATGGATTACATCAGGATGGCCAAGAGATAAAAGGCTTTTGCTAACAGCTTGCATTCAGCAGATAAAGTAAATCTAAGAATCATTCCTCACTCCAGTAACAATCATTCCATGAAGTCTACTGAATTATGGTTGAAACCCTGTGTAAACTGTGTCCACTCAACATTGCTTGTCTGTTCATCATCTGCTCTTTTGTTTGTTTTTAGAATGGGTAAAAAAATTAAAAAGGAAGTGGAGCCTCCTCCCAAGGATGTGGTAAGTTTATAAAACACTCCTCACTATAAAAATGAAAATGTTTCACAATTATAACATTCAAGTTTTCTCTCCTCCTTCAATCTTTACTCCCACTTACTTCCCCTTCTGCCTCTAAAAATGTCTTGTAAAGATAAAGATAAATAACATTTTTGTTTCAGTTTGACTGTGTGTGTAAACAGAGGGACCAATCACATTTATTTTCTGAAAAATATTATATTACGGTAGGCCCTTTTCTACTTGGAAGAAGAAGAATGGAAGAGAAAGGAATATGCAGTATAATCTCTGGGTTTTGACTGTGGACATTGGGTTGCCACCACCTGTGGAGTAAAGGTGGATCTCAAGTCTGATTATGTGTGAGCTTTGTCCTTGGTCTAGAAAAAATCTTGGCCCCTAAAAGATAGCACCCCTGGGCTCATGGGGCTTATTCTTGGGAAGTGGGGTTAGGATTAGAGCCTTGGAGTTGTTGTGCATGATGTGGCTTATTTGTTGTTTCAGGCTGTAAGTAGCCCACCTTAAGTCTACATAGTGAAGGTTAGGATATACATTTAAATAAATAAAACATTTACAGCTTGCATGAAGTCACATGTGTATAAAAGGGCTCAACTAATCAATGTCATTACATGAAAAAACAGGTTCCACTGACATCTTCTGCTATGCTAAGGATCAAGATGTAAGTAAAATCCCACTATCTTAATTCAAATGGTTGCTTCAGTTTTCAAACATATGACTCCAGCAATTGATCTGTTCCCCGAATGTTCTGAAGCACATCTTTCCACCATCTCATGAAATTTTAGAATAGTCTTCAGTGCTCAAAACTGAGAACATTAAAATATGGTGGGAACAAATTCTTCATCTTCTTCTCTATGGAATACCATGTATAAAATTGTTCCAGAAAGCTGTAGAAGTTTGGAGGTGCTAGCTTAGCCCAATATACCTCTTTTCTGCCACCTGACTGTTTCCTTCACAACTTGTGACAAATCTTTCTGCTCCATTTTTAACCTCAGTAGAAGCAGCAGAAGGAAAGGATCTGGTATGGGAGTAGATTGTTTCACTTCCACCCAAATCAAAAGCATATTGGGTGATCTAGTCTGTTTCCCACCAGTGTATGCTGCTTTCCTGACAAGGAGAGGAGTACATTCACTTACAAAGGACACCTGGCTTTTTCCTTTTGTGGAAACTAGGTTCAGGTATCCTGTTTCTTTTTTAAGTGATTGAACTGTTCTCAGGTTTCATAAAACTGGAAGAATAATTCACGGGTAGTTAAAATACAAGGACTATAAACTGCAGATTATATTTCTAAACTTGTTATGCAAATTAAAAGATGTTTGAAAAGATGGTTTTCAAGAATATTTTAGAAGAATTATCCCAACATTATTTTACCTCTGTTGCAATTGTTGCAATGAAACCATTTATAAAGAGGATTTCTGCTTTCCCCCATAAAGTCAAAAATGTTGAAGCAAAGAATGTTTTTATATTATTATTATTAAAGATTTCTTAGTTTACAAAAATACATTCATTGTCTCTTTTTTCTAGTTGTGTTTTCTACAGATCAGTTTCATTTGTTGTGAGACATTAGTATTGCATGCAGTATTAGGTTGGGAAGAAAAGAGGGGCAAGAGGGGGATGGAGGATGGTGAGTGGGGTGGGGTGATAATTCTTCTGTTCTTCTACTTCGTGTATGTGTGGGGTTTTGTGGCAGTGTCCCTTGTATGGGTTCAGTGTCACTTGTATGGGTTCTCCTACTATTCAATTGTTGTATTTCCTTGGTGGTGAGAGAGGTTGCGGTGGCCTAGGGTGTGGTTGCTTGTCCTTGGTTGAGATTTGTTTATATGTGTGAGTGTGTGGGGTGTGTGGATTTTTGGATCAACTTCGCCAGATTGGTTCGCATGCTGTCAGTGGATTCTTGTTGTCGTCTTGTCGGGCTATGTATGTGATAAAGGGGAACCATATCGGGGTGAAGGCGTCTTCTATTTGAACCCATGTCAGTTTCAGTTTATTGGTTAGTTTTTCTAGTAAGGCTGTTTCCCATACTATTTGATACCATTGGTCCATGTTTACTCCTGACAGGACTTTCCAGTGTCTGGCTATGATGCTTCTGGCTGCTGAGAGTAGGTGGGTTATGAGCTCTTTATAATGTGAGTGGTCATCAGTATCTTGTATTTTTAAAGTTACTCTTTTTGATCTTCCTTGGAAATAGTGGGCATAAATTATTTTGTTGCTATCATATCATGCTGAACCATGCAAGTCTACTCTTCTAGCCTAATAATATTTAGTCCTTACAGGTTTGGTGGTATGTTCTGTAAAATATTCCAACAAACCTGTGTTGACTGTCCAATGTGGAAGTTTATATTTCTCTTAGTCTAGTACAGACATCCTTGCTAAACTTCAGAGATTAACCATAAGTGTTGTGATCTGCATGTAGCCCCATATTTGTGTGTCTGCTTTATGACTTGTCATTATTTCTATTAGCTTGACTACCACAAGCACATATTCACTCGGTGGAGTGGAGAGCCATCTGTCACTTTCGGCCAGCCTAACTTCTGTCATCTATGGTAACTTCTGCATTAAATAACTGCAACACATTATACCCAGAATACAGGGTACCTCAACAATTTTGCCAAAAAAAGCTCAACAACGTCTGGATAGGCCACCCTATTGGTCTGGATAGGCAACCCTATTACGTATATGGAAACTTCAGCTGGTGCAGAATTCAGCGGCCAGGTTGCTCATCAGTACAAGATGGTTTGAGTATATAATGACAATCCTGGCCCGACTGCACTGGCTGACAATTAGTTTCCCAGCCCAATTGAAAGTGCTGGTTTTGACTTATAAAGCCTTAAACACGTCAGGACCGCAATACATCAAGGACCACCTGTCCCTATATGAACCACCATGGACTCTTCAATCATCACCTGAGACACTTTTTCATGGGCTGCCAAACACAAGAGGTCCAAAGGGCAGCAACGCAAGAATGGGCCTTTTCTGTGGTGGCTCTCGGCTTGTGAGATGCTCTCCCCAGGGATGCCTGCCTGGAGCTTTTGTTACGTATTTCTAGGCGCCAGGCAAAAACATTCTTCTTCTCCCATAAAAAGATAAAGGCCCCCTGACAGTTAAGTCCAGTCGCAAACAACTTTGGGGTTGCGGCACTCATCTCGCTTTACTGGCTAAGGGAGCTAACGTTTGTCCGCAGTCAGTTTTTCCAGGTCATGTGGCCAGCATGACTAAGGTCCCATACCTTTGGCTAATTAAACCATCTATGGCCTTTTAAACTGTGTGTTGGGGTGTGTGTGTGTGTTTCTAACATTTTAAAACGTTTGTTACTATGTTGTGTATTTTTGTGTTTTTATATTGTAAACCGCCCTGTGATCCTCAGATGAAAGGTGGTATAGAAATTTAATAAATAAATAAATAAAACAAAACAGGAATATCCATGAATAGAGAGTGAGGGAGCTAAAGTTAGCTTTCTTGCATCTGTACTTTGCAGAGAGATGACTTTCCTGCTCTCTCTCTTAAAAACCTATACGGCAGTTGGTATCTCACTTTTGTATGAACCGAAGGCTGGCAGCTAAATTGCATCCTAGTCGGAGTTTGTTTCCCAGACATATGAAGTTTATATAAAGTTCTCAGCCAATTCAGAAGTCTGGCTTGGAACTGATCAGAACTTGAGGAGTACTAGAATGAACAGTGATATAGATACACTGGCGGAGGAAGAGGAGTGCAGGGGAAGCGCACTGCCCCCGGCAGAGTGATCCCAGTATGGTGCCATCGCAGCTGCCCCCCCCGCCCGCCCGTGCTGGGCGCCATGCCCCTGCAGGTGGCATGCCCTGCCCCCGGGACGCGCGCCAGCCCCACCCCCGCCTGCTCTCTGCCCCCCCAGTGCCGGAGCATGAAGCTCCGCCACTGTATAGATAAGGAGACTCTACTGCTTCCAAAATCTCCCAGGATGGCTTCAACTGTTTACATTACACACTTGCTCAAATTCTGTTCCACATGGTAGAACTTATTATTATTTATTGACTATGTATACCGCCCTATACCCAGAAGTCTCAGGGTGGTTTACTCATATTTCTGAGTAAACATTAATAGGATGCACTGTGAAAAAGACTTCTCACCTTTGACCCCAAGGTCTTGAGTTTTGAGTCATTAGTTTCCAACACTATACACTATAGTTTCATACTCTCATTTTGTTTGTTTTAGCCAGACCTTTGTCTTCTGTGAGATTTAAACGAAAACATATTTACAGAAATTTCCATAAAACCTAAATAACTGAACTGATTTTACCTTGCTCTTATTTCAGTACAAACAAAGCTACCCAAGGCTTCTATGACTTTTTAAAAAAAAACAACTTTGCTGTCTGGCTCATTGCTCTCATGTTATTATTAAGAAATAAAATTTGTTCGGATTGTGGCTTAGAATGCAATACTCTGTATACAGTACTTACTTGAGAATAAGTCCCATTGAGGGCAGTGGCTTTTGCAGCTGAGCATACATGCATAGTATGTGTCTGTTAGATGCACTGTTGAACCAAGAACTAGAAAGACTGGCATTTCTAACCATATTAATGTTCTTAAAATTGTTCCCACAATGTAGACTGGACCCGACATGGTGTAGGCTTGGCAAAAAATAGTTGGTCCAGATCCAAGATACTGTTTTAATTGAGCATGATAAAAGTGCCTAATTTTGTTTGAATGTAAAGCATTCCAAAATGTTTGATTTAAACTGAAGAATGAAAGGCTTTTAGAAGGATTTGCCCTTTCTCAAACTATGTTGGTTTCAAGCAATCTATTAAATAGGGTCAGAACAGCTGGATTTCATAGCAGAGCTCTCTCTGTTTGAGAAAGGTCAGAAATGGAAATGAACATTTTGCATCGCTTCCAGATGGCTGAATCATGACAGTGCTTTGACCGGTCGGGCATCATGGAGAGCTGGCCTTTGAGATACAAACTTATGTGAAGACAGCACAAGAAGGGCCATTCTATTTTTAAAATATATTTAAAAATATCCACTATAGACTAGAATATCCACTATAGTTAGTAGTGCAGAATATGCAATCTATGGCCAAATTCTGTCACTATCTTTGAATGCATTTAGCTGTATAGAAAGAGATTGCTTTGCTCAGATTATTTTCTAGAGAGAGTGCTTTGCTGGCTCTCCAGTGAGCAGAACAACAAACTGATGTTGCCAAAAACTTCTTGGAGTCTTGCCTGGCATCAAACAATTAAGTCATTCCTGTTGCCTAAAGAATGCTTTGGATCCACAAGGGAGCTGCAACATTTCACCAGCTTTATTCATAATGTATGGAAAATCTTTTAAATCTCCCATTTGACATTGTGAGAGCAATCCACCAAGCACTTACGCTGTACAAAACTTCTATTAGTTTAAAGGGGCATGTGTGGGAAGATGTGCAAAATTTCTGTTGAAATTAGCATAGCTGGCCGTGTGTGGAAGGCTGTGAAAGAGGAAAAGACTTTGCAGAATTGGTGGTTGTGAATAGTGGCCGCCACCACGGGACCCAGCTCCACCTTAGAGGGCCAGTATGGATCTGCCAATGCATATAGTAAATTCATAACAGGCTCCACTTTGGTTTAGCCATTGGCCATAGGGCACAGGAAGTTTAATAGGAAGAAAAGGGCAGATGTCTGAATTCCTAAGATTTATACAGCCATTCAAGGGCAATCAGAGTCTCATGGATTGTAGAAGAATCAAGAACCCAGAAAGCTATCTGGTAATATTATTTTATACTCTGCTGCTTTCTATAAACCTCTGTAAGGCACAGGGAGCTGCTTTACCCAAGTCAAGACTATTGGTTTTGGTCAATACTATCTGCAGTGACTGGCAGTGGCTCTTCAGCATTAAAGACAGGAGGCTTTCACAGTCCTGCCTGGAGGTGCCAAGGATTGAACCTGTCACCATTTGCATGGAAAGCATATGCTCTATGTACTGAGGGCCCATCCATATTAACACATTAAGTCTTTGAATTATATTTTTTGTGATGTACTTTACCTTTTCACATAGCAAAAAAAAAGAAAAAAGGGTGGAGTAGCTCACATGTAGGATCCTCTAAAATTTTAATACTGATTCTATGGACTCATTCCCACATAACATTAAGCCAAAACAAGGCTAAGAGTGAATGAAGAAGCGTACTGGTGCCTTGCATGCCCTTTGCTCCTACACTAATTCTGCCACCGCCACCACTGCATGGTTTGGCTTAGTGTTACCTGATTTGTCTTGCTCCAGGCAAACTGTGAATGGTAAGCCAAGAACATGATTTGTTTGGAGCAAGACAACGATGAGTCCAGGTTCACATAATGTTAAACTGTGGATTGTCCAGTTGCAGGACTGGAGGAGGAGCAAATCAGCTGAGTTTTTTGCTTTGTGTACCAGCATCCTTACTTGTTCATACTGAGCCATAGCTTGGTTTAGTGTTACCTATGAACCTGGGCAATGTTTGCTTACGTGCCACCGTTGCAGCTACAAATGTACTAAAGATAAAATGTACTTGCTAGAGTCCATACAGATGTGGATTTCATTTAATGTTATTCAGCTCATTTCATTCACAGAATTGTAGAGCTGGAAGGGACCACGAGGGTCATCTAGTCCAACCCCTTGCAATGCAGGGATCTTTTGTCCATTGTGGGGCTTGAACCCATGACCCCGAGACAAAGAGTCTCCATGGCATTGACGCATCCTGATGCAAAAGATTATGCAACTGTTCAATTGCATTCTGTGAGGGAAATGAATTAGCTACTTTCCCCACTTATACCTTATTTCCATTTTGTTTGTATCATAAAAAAGGAAAAATAATAGATTCTGTCCTGCATATATATTGGTGTCATTACATTATTTTCTATACTGGTGTTGAAGCTAATGTTACTTAGCTTCAGATAGCAGTTCTTCAGAAGACTTTCAATAATCTAAGCTGTCACTCTTGATATCCTTACTTCCATTTAACAATATTCTTTCTGAGCTGACATAACCCGCATTGTGTACAAATTCCAGATGCATTTGAATTGTATGGTTTTATACTCCCGTTCTTTCTTGCCCCTTTTGTATCCCTAGTAACCTGTTTGCTTTTCGACTGCACCTGCACATTGAACAGAGTTCTTCATTAAGCAGTTTACAATGATCTCCATTCATACTTTTCCAAACCCTTTTGTGTAGGACCTTGAGAACTGGTTGAGCAAGAACACAGGAGTGACAAAAGTGTAATTCATGTTGAAAATTATCTGTGGACGCTATATTGAGTTCACACTGTTTGGTCATATCTGTAGGTTCTTCACTACCCTGTTTATATGTGATTATAGCCTATCAGCAAAAAATGTTATCTCACCTAAGAACTCCTTAAGTCTGTCCAGAGCCGACAGTATCCCATTCGGCACCACATTGTCAGCTTTTTCCTTTTCAAGATCACTAAATTTTATACGTTATATAGCCAGTTTCCAGCATCCTGTCCTTTTCACTCACTAGGAAACATGACGCCCTCTAGGCCTTTCTGTCTAGTCCTCAGGACTCTTCTGAGACCACACCACCTTCACAGGTCACATCCCTTGCCAGCCCTCCTCAGCACTCTTCCTTGAGTCCTTTTGCCAGGCTGAAATGTGTCATTGGAACTGTTAGATTATCTTTTGTTTGCCTGGATGGAGGACAGAGTGATGTGTGTGAGTGTGTAGAATGGTCTATGGTTTGTATGGCTAGAATGTAGACTATTGTACAAAGGTAAGAGTTGCATCCATTGTGCTGCCCATTTTTACCTCTAGTAACCCTATCCTGACTTTCTATTCTAATTTGAAATATCAGATTATATCCAGTGTTTAATTTCTGTATCATCCATGATAAATTTCCAGAATGGACATTAAAGATCTGTATGTTTCACATTTGCTGATAATCTTATAATGTTGCTTTCTAGTTTGATCCTTTATCAGTTGAAAGCAAGAAAGCCGCAACTGTGGTGCTGATGCTCAGTTCTCCCGAAGAGGAAGTTTTGTCTAAAGCATGTGAAGCTATCTATAAATTTGCATCAAAAGGTTAATGTTTCAGTTATCAAATCTTACCATATGTCTTGTCTTTCTTCTCATTAATAAATCTGTTTGGTACCAAAAGATTTCCATTAATAATTATTGCAGCTGCTACATAATATTTCTTAAGTCACAAGTATATGCAAGATATTATCCAGAGTGCAGTGATATGGTTCCTCTCTTGATTAGCTGGGTCATGGCTAGCAATGAGATAGAAATTTGCTTCAGTTTGGATTGCAAAACCAATATGTGAACCAAAGTAGAGCTACCCTTCAAAATTCACACTACATTTTGAAATGCAGTTCTTCACACACATGTGTACAAAAATGTGTATATTAGGAGAAAGTGTGGATGAAAATGCATATTTAAGTGAAAACATATGGGGAAATTGCTTGCAAAATTTATAGATAAAAAATGCATACAAAACGTATGTATTAGAATAAATTTGCACTAAAAAAGCAGGTGAATTTTCATGAACCCCTTTTTTAAATTGCAAACTGATGTAGAAATGTGGAGAACTGAAATTGTGATTGGAAAAACAAGAAACTGAGTGAAACAAAACTGAGAGATTTTGTCCATCTCTAGTCATGACACATGAGCAGCCTCTGCAGGGTGAAGACGAGGGAATTTCTTAGCCAGATCAGACTTACAGCTGATCCAGACATCTGCTTCTGACACACGTTTTATGGGATTGTACCACTGAAGAAGGGATGTGAGGGATCATTTCTTTAAAACTGGCTGAGACAAAAGCTTGCAAGTGAGATGCTTTCTACCTCCTGTGTTAGCTCTTCAGCTGCAGCAAGATTTTAAACACAACACTTTTTCTTGTTATTCACCGCATATATTCTGAGTTGTTTTAGTCTCGAGAGAGAACAGTAGAAGCCCGTTTGAATCAGGTGTAACATCAAAGGCATTGTTCCTGTTTTTGAGGTGCTAGAATATCTTCCCATTAGTTTCTGTGTGGGGTGAAGAAAGCAACTTCACTTTCAAAAGCAGCCATAAGCAAAGTCAGCACTAGACAACATATATTTACCTGTTGTTGTTGTTGAATCACACATGTACATGGGTGTGTAAAAATCTACCCATGTCCCTTTGATTTAAGATAGAAAAACTGAAGTGGGAGGATAAAGCTTTATAATGATATAGTGAAGATCTTGTGCTCTAGGACTCCAGTACTATTATTAGAAGCACTGGAATATTTTGATCTTTGTGAATTCTGACTTGAATTCACGTTAACGTGAACTGACTTATCTGTACCTCCCATGCTAATGAGAGAGTCAGCACTTGGGTTATCTGCCTGCTTTTGGACTTCCTAAATGTTCTAACACAGCTCAAAAAAATTTACGGGCACGCCTCTGCAGCTGCCACCCTGACCAGAAGCGCTCCCCATCCCACCCGCCCACCTCATCTGAGCAGCACACCGAGCAGGAGCTGGGAGAGGATGGACTCTTGCATATCTCAGCTACACAGTGTCCCTTGCTGGTGAGGAAGGTGGGCGGACAGCAAGACTTGTGTCATGGTGGTGGTAGTGCCCGAGCCCAAAGAGGCGCACACGAATGTCCCATTGAGGCTCCACAGTTCAGTCTGGAGCAGTAGCGCCACATGGAGGCACAACACTTGCCTTAAGGGGCGCAATACTTTCCTGCCCTCGGCGCTTGTAACCCATGCTACTCCACTGAATCAAGATAGAGCAGATTTATGAGTAAGCACAGGCAAAAAGTGCATGGACTGGAAATAGATTGATTCATCCATCCCTGTTAATGGAATATTACGCTATTCCTTTAATTTCTGGTGTTCAGACTGTAGATGCCATGGTTTATGTAACCAAAATGGCACCATTCACTCACAAAAGGGGAACAGGGGGAGGTATCAGAAGACTTAGGGGGATCCCAAATTTGCTGAAGTATGAAATACATTTTAAAGAAAAACCCTGTGGAAGGGAGATCCCAAAACAGCCACATCAGAACTGTGGATTCTGATGGGCTACAGAATGCTGCTGACCATTCAGATGGATTGGGTGGGGCTCATGTGGTAAAAACTGGGAGGGAGGGGGAATAGAACAGGGTGGCTGGAATTGTGATCAGCAGCACTCTGTGTTGAAACATTACTGCTGCAGGTCCCACTTGTTAATATTATTATTCATCTTGTATTGACAGTAAAGACCACTGACAATAGGGACCATTTCATGGGTATAAACTATCAGAGGCTACTGGTTATAACAACTATGCTCTGCCTCCACAATTGAAGGCAGTATGCACCTGAGTACCATTTGCTGGAAACCACAGCAGGAGAGAGTGCTCATGTGCTCAAGTCCTGCTTATGGGCTTTCCATAGGCATCTGGTTGGCTACTGTGAGCTCAGGATGCTGAACTAGGTGGGTCAGTGGCCAGACCCAGCAGGCTCCTCTTATGTTCTTATTTGCTTTCTAGGTGAAGAAAATAAGCTGACTCTTCTTGACCTTGGAGCCTTGGAACCTTTATTTAAATTAGTTACACATGAAGACCCTATTGTCCGCAGAAATGCCACCATGGTAGTTGGGGTGATGGCTTCTCACAGTAAGAGTATTCTCTTTATAATCATTCACAATTATATTTGCTAGCAATATTACATAAGTTAAGTGCAACTGATGAAATCATAATAGTCCAGTAGAATGACAGTAGAATAATTCATCTGAAATCTTGGGGCTCCTATATCATCACACTGATGGAGTAATCCCAACAACTATACTGGAGGCAGCATCACTATCCACTAAGTCTCCGTGCAAGGAAGAAGCGCCTATACAGAGAACAATAATCTAGTACTTGAGATTCAGCATAGATGAAGCCTGAACAGCTTGTTACTCAGCCATCCAACTGCAACCACTGCCAAATATGGCAGCCCACCAGGGGCTCAATAAATATTTTTTGTTTCCTGCCTGAGACTGCAAATGCAGGCGTGGTTGTCAAGCACCTGGTAGGTTGCAATATGCAAATGATGGGCTATGTTTGACTTCTGCATTTGACTTGACATGTCACCAGTTGTGCAGACCTGACCTCAAATAATGACACACACTGTTTTATCAAAAGAGGTGTGCTTCAAAGCTTTTGTAATCCTGCATCAGACACTATGGGGCTTGAAACAAAAACCCTACAGACCAGAGGTTCTGATCAGGGGAGGGTACTACAAGCCATTTCAGCTACAGCATGTCCACAACAACCCAAAATTATTCTGGCCTAGGAAGTCAGGTGGCACCATAGGAGCCAACTGCTAGGGGCCGTGGTCCCTTTGCCCCCCTTAAATGCTTGAGGCGTCTGCCCCCCCCCCCCACGTTGATGGGCATTGCCATTCAAATGGTCTGCTCACATGTCTTGGTTTCTTAGAATTCCTGAACAACACTGGGTATGAGGCTGCTGGTTTCAAATATGCCCAAGTCTGCTTGTGTCTTTGAAACATTTTGAAATCATCACCGAAACTAGAACATTGCATTTCAATATAACTTTGATAAATGTACCCAAATCTACTGGGGAGGACGGAGGACTATGACTGTTCTTAAATATGAAAATAAATTGATCAGCACATTCAAAAACTGTTTTAAAGAGGTTTAGAATGAAAGCTTTTGCAAAATAGTTGCCAAAAGTAGTGAGTGGGAGTGTTTGTCATTTTCTTTCATTCTTTAATTGACTGTTATTGTGTATCTGATGTTGTTTGGCACAAAAGGATATAAAGATCTCTTTTGGAAGTGGCTTGCTTTTTGGTTTTCTAATTTCCCCTAATATATTTCCCTGTCAACTCCCAGCAAAGTACACTCCACCTTTGATGTTACTCATACAGCAGCCATATATTTTCTACTACCTAGTAGAACTTAATACAACTGTAATATTAAGATTGCATCGCCAGTTCTAGTTGCACACTGTATTCCTTCAATATACTGACTAAATATATTGCTTCATATCTACATTTGCTTCATTGTAGATGATGTGAAAAAATCATTAAGACAGCTAGATGTTACAAGTGCATTTATAGCTCGCCTGGCACCGGAAGGTAATTTGTAGTGCTCCTTTGTGCAAATTTTTGTTTGCTTCTGTCATTTAATATTTTTTGGAAGGACTGTGGTTTGGATTTTTCTTTTAAAAGTGTATAGCAAAATGAGATGAGACAGGATTAAGAGCTTCTGTTTACATATAGTTTCTAATGACATTTTGCTAACCATCAACAAATGAGAGTATTTACTATGCTAGTTAATGGCTAATTGCACTATTTCATTTTTATGCCATAGAAGATGTAGTCACCCATGAGTTTGCCAGCCTTTGTCTGGTACACATGGCAGCAGAATACAACAGTAAAGTGCAAATATTTGAGCAAGGTGGACTGGAGCCGCTTATCAGCCTGCTAGGAAGTCCTGATCCTGATGTTAAGAAGAATTGTGTTGAATGCATCTATAACATGGTACAGGTGATTATTTTTCACTGTTTTAAGTATAAAGGAATATATTGTTTAATTATAAAGTGATGCTCATCTTCAGTTTGTACATCAAAGTTAATTACTGGTTGGCGTATGGTTATCTTTAAATTTACACCAGTTTTTCCCAATAGCCCGTTCCAATACATCTTCCTCATATCCCATAAACTAGGAATTCACTGTCTACCTACTGTTGAACTTGGGGAACTCCCCTCTAAAGTGCCCCCATTAGATGGTCAACACCGTCATCTCTATCAATGCTGATTACATGTTAGGTAGAAGAGGTATAAAGGAGTCTGACATCCACTTCTCCATTCCTGCCTAAGGGATGATTAATACTGTCATTATTAATGGAGATCCATGAACAATACTCTGTGGATCTCTCTTGCTCTGGGTTGATTTACTTGATGGCAAATCCTATTGATTTCAGTGGAATGTGCTTCCAATTAAATGTGTTTAGGATGAATTGGAACAAACTGCATTTGCATGCATATAAAGGAAATCATTTTTAAAGACTAGAATGCATAAAATCCATTGTCTCTTCATTGTGTGGAAAAAATGGTTTGACCCTTCCAGAGAGTGTTGTGAAAATGTCTGTCTTTGGGGGAGAGGGAGGGAATCAGAAATGGGTTCTGGCTTATTCTTGCATAACACACCATGATTTTGCACATCTTCTTAACTCTTGGTAAATGCTTTTGACAGCTTCTTTTCATAAGGAAAGGAAGGTTATTGTAATTGGTTACTTTCACAATCAAGTGTTAATGTCACCATATGCTGGTTAGCAAAAGAATGGTGCATTTGTGTATGGGAGTTCTTTTCAGAGTCTAATTGCTTGATCCACAATCCAGTGAAGCTGAAACACGAGGATTTAAGCGGATTTAGTTCCATTGACTTCAGTGGTACCAAATTGGCTTAAGTTCAAGCACTCAAATTTAACTGTGTTGTGGATCGGGCTATAAGTGAATCAACTCGGTAATGAATTCAATTCACAGCTCAATCTTTTCTAGGGCATCAGAGCATGTCTTTATTCTGAATCACATTTTGCTGTTTCCCTTCTTTTGCTATCTAGCTGTCTTTGTTGTAAGATATATCTGGACAACTGCACCTGGTGCTTGCTTAGATTGATAATAGAAATTGCACAGAAACATGCATAAACTGCTATTTTTAAAAAAACTTAAAACTCTTTTTTTTATATACCATTTTTATACTGCCTAGGACGTGGTCATTCTTTTGGAAGGTTTTATTACTAGAAAAGGTTGGAATATTTTGCAAGGAAGTTTTTAATATTCAGTTATTTAAGAAGTAATAAAATAGCAGTGAATGTGCAGAGACCTTCACATGCAGATAAAATTATCAAATTGAATTTGAGTGATCCTTTTTGTAAAAGTCATATGCACTAAAAAAAATTAAGGTCAGTTTCTTCTTGAAAAGTATTTTAAAATGTGGTGTGAAAGCAATATGCTTCAAATTATATACAAACTAGTGCTATTTTTCAAGAAAAAGAGGTGCCAGAACTCTCCATTCTCATTCATTTAGAATGGCAATGGCACCTACCTGAGATGTGCCAGAACCTGCATGAGAGGTGCTGGAACTGAGTTCCAGGGAGTTCCGGCTGAAAAGAAGCCCTGCAAACTAGGATTGCTGAGTATTGTTCTGTGTAATGTGTAATTTGTGATATTCGGAGCCTAACAATTGTCAGCTTCAAAATAACAAATAATTTAATTGCATTTGTGATAATCGTCTTGCAAAACCACAACATTATACATTATTGTGTTTTTCCATCTAACCATTTCTGTTTGGTACTTAACTACAGGATTTTCAGAGTCGTGCTGCAGTTCGTGAACTAAATGTGATTCCTCCTTTGTTGGATCTTTTGAAGTCTGACTATCCAATTATTCAGTTGTTAGCTCTCAAAACCTTAGGTACTATTTCCATTGATAGAGAAACCAGAGTTATGCTAAGAGAACATCAAGGACTAGACCATCTTTTCAAGATACTTGAAACTAAGGTACCTTTTATTTAAATATAGAGCTGTCATTTGCTTGAAGAAATCTTAATCAGTTAGTCATACTGATTGTAGGCCATTAATTGTTACTCAATCTGAATAAACTCACAGTTGTATTAGAGGGGGGAAAGCATTATTTGACTTAGATAATGCATACATGTGCCATTGTACATATCATCTTATAAAATTATTAATTTAAATATCTTGCTAGTTAAACTTTTAGTAGAACTAATTGTTTTTAATTGATGGATCTAGTAATTGATTATTCAGTTAAGTATTTAAACGTTACTAGAAACATATGGTCAACTCTAAACTGAATTTAACAATCTGTACAATAAATAAAACACAACTTCTTTCACACAAAACATGTACTGAAAATCCTTACTTCATTCTTAATAATTGCATGGAACTGTAAACTTTTTTTAAAATGGCCTCAATCCAAAGAGAGTGGACAGTGCTGGTTACTAGTGAATGTGTGGTTGTGAACAGTCCAAAGCAGATGACTAGCTTTGGGCATTGTCATCAAAGGCAGAGTTAATCATTTATTTGGCTGACTATATAGCCAAAACCACCAACTATCCAGCACAGTGCATGCAATCCGAAGTGGCAGATGCATCCCCAAGGGGCAGGGATCAGGACAAATAACTTACATGTGTTGAATACTTATTGCACTAGTATTTTATTTGATGTTACTAAAGATTTGGTGTCTAGAATAATGTTGAGTTTTAAAGTATACCAGTGCTAACCAGGGATTGGGTTTGTAAGAACATTCCGTTTCTGTGATAAGATATACATCATTTATTTGTCTCAGTGAGAAATCACAAGGCTTAATTAGTTGTATATCAACTGGAAATTTTAAAATGTCAGTATTTCTGCAGAGAAGTATTCAGATTCTATTGGTGTCAACTGAATAATTTTGCTTGTCTTTTTAATTGTCCTAAAGAGGATGGGAGCAGCTTTTTCAATCCCTTTCCACCATGTGCTGCATGCCCGTTGCACGAGGAACGCCTTCACTCCCACTCAGGTTGTGTGCAGCGGGGCCCCTTTCCTGCAAATTCTTTGGCACATATGAATAGGCCTCAGACAAAAAGCTTGTGTTAGGGCTTACATTAAATAGATTGCAACAAGGCATTTTGTACAGTTGGGCAGTGTATTTATATAGAATTATGGAAACTATGAACAATTTTTTAAAGAAAGTTCCAATGACTGACACATTTTGTGCTAAAATATAAATGTGATCAGGCATTACATTAAACACATGGCATTTTGCAAGCTATTTCTTTATTCATTTAATGAAATTTATATACCACTTGATTGTAAAAAAAAACCCCTCAAAGTGATTTACATTTAATGTTTGTATTTGTTTAACTTTTAGGAATTTAATGATTTACATGTAGAAGCTCTTGGAGTGGTGGCAAATTGTCTTGAGGATGTGGATACTATGCAATTGATTCAGGAGACAGGGGGCCTCAGAAAACTACTTGCCTTCACTGAAGTTTCCACTCTCACCGATTTTCAGAAGAATGCGGCAAAGGCTATTGCTAAAGCAGCTTACGACCGTATGTCATTTCGAAAATATATATTTCTTATGGAAAGTCTTAGAGCATATTTGTCAGGGAACTGACATCGGAGCTAGAGGTGGAGGGAAGGCTCTCTAATGATGCTGGAGAAGGGCCCAGCAGGGAGAGAGGCAGCTCAGCAGATGGGGAAGCAATTCAGTGCAACACCAGGAATAAGGAGGGGCAGATGGGGGATCGGAGAGAGGGCTCCCAGACTCTTCACCGGACACCAGCGGGGAGAGCACTGGTCCTCCGCTACCCACGCCCTCCCTGCGCAGAAGACTTCCGCGCAGAGAAAGTAGGAGGAGACTGGGTGTCAAACAACTTTTATGTTGGAAAAGGTTTAAGAAACGCCCACTGACGGATTCTGCTAGCGACTGAGGCAGCCACGATGAGAAAGGGCTGTCCAGACAGAAAGGTTTAACAAGGCAACATAGCCAGGAGAGGCGGCAACTTACGCACGAGCAACCCCATACCATTATAATATTTGTGGCATATATTTTTATGGTTGTAGGTAATATTGGACCATGTTGATGGGGGATGTCCTGCCTTGTAGAAAGATTCCTTCTAGTTCTTACTAACTCTGTGATTATTTGACACAGATATTGCCAATTAGTTCAGCTACTTGGCATAAAGTCTTATTTAGGACTGGTGGGTGGGCACATTCCATCTCCTTTGTGTCATTGACCCACTATGATTATTTCTTAAGAGCAATTATATATTTCACAGAAATATGAAATGCTGCACTGCTGTCACATTTTACCCCTCCATTCATTATCAAATGTGTCATGTGTGTAAGAAAAATACCTCACATAAAGATTTGTTGTCTCAGTCCTGTTTTTATTTATTTAATTAAACAACTGTAATCTCAAGGGTCACCCCCCCCAACTTGGCAAATACTTTTCATTCCCAGGATTAATTCCATCTCATATTCTTAGAATTTCCCCTCTTGGGCTGCTAGGGAGCAGACGTTTTTCTTGCATAGCAGCCTTCAAAATGACATATAGATTAATGTCCCCAGTGGATTAGCCACTTCATCTTACTTTTTATAATTATTCATTCTGTAATTATTTATCTATATAAACAGTTCGCTGCTTTTGAATTCATTATGGAATTTTGAAGCAAGCAGGCTGAATGCTCATAGCTTGCACTCAGCATGACAGTGCTGTTTATGTCTCGGAGTAGCATCTGTATAGTGATTTGCAAAGCTGAAATCGAAGGACTCCAGTGCCAAACGACAAAATGTAGTAATATAAATAATAATGTACTTCTTATTGTTCTGAATCCCTCAAGGAGTTCTGGTGACGTAAAATGTGGCAGATTTAGATGCTTCTTGTTTCTACCATATCTGGGTGATTAGTTACTTCTAGAATTTCTGGCAATATTACTTTAATTTATGTATGTTTGTCTCACACATTTTCTAATGCAGAAAAGTGCCTTATTTCTTGCTAGATAATTGCTTTCTAATATTTTATGTATTTTTCCATAGTCTCCCAGTTTGGCAGGTTAAAGCCTACTCAGATGCTTAGAAAGTTGAAGTAATTTAACTTTTAGATGTTTTAAAGTATAGCTGTAAATTTTTCTTGTTTTATCTTTTTGTAAACCACTTTGAGGGTTTTAAAAAAAATAATCAAGAGATATATACATTTTATGAAAATAACAGGGACCAAGCAACGGGAGCTCACTCCATCGCGGGGATTCAAACCACCGATCTTCTGATCGGCAAGCCCTAGGCTCAGTGGTTTAATTCACAGCACCACCCGCGCTTACTCACTCTTAAACAGGTTGCAGCCTGTTTGTTCTTTATCACATAAGCTGCTTGATAGCTGATTGGTAGAAAATCAGGATATAAATAATATGAATAATAATTATTCAAATTATGATAATACATAATATGATAATAGATAAATCAGTAAGCCCCCCCCCCAATTTATTAGACTCTACTTTCAATATATAATTATATCCCTGCTCTCAAATTCATTTGGAAAAGAAAATCTATTTCCTGCCTCTCTTCCTTAGTCTTCTTTTGCTTTGCTGTAACCCCACAGACATTGTTAAAAAATAAGAGGAGCTGCACAATAGGCTGTAATAGATTTCTGTCAAGAACAACGACCTGTTACACTGTATCTCTGGATATAACTCTATGTAACTTCTTGCAGCCTTTCTTTATGAATGAAATAAATGTAGTCTGAAGTATAAAATTTTTGTTTTGCCTAGTCTGCAACAAACTAGCATGGGTGCAACTGAGTTGTGGCAGCCAGAACTGTACCCAGTATGTCACATGCTTTTGCACAGTAGATTTGCATAAAAGAATTATGACATTGGGAGTTTTGTTCTGGTTAGCTTTTGTCCTGATCCTTTGCATAACATTTGCCCTTTTCACAGTTGCTGTACACTGAGTTAATATACATATCTGTATATACATTATGATTGTATTATATATGTATATACAAAAAATATACATAGTTCCCCTAAAACAGAGCATTTTAAAGGTTATTTTCACCAGTGAAATTGTTTTTATGGAAACATTACACCAATAGAATTTTTGAATATATTCATTGGCTGGAGAACTGCAACACAAAACTCAGAGAAGTGCAACTGCAGAAGGATTGGTATGTTTCAGTTTTTGTATTGTTTTGGAAAGTGCAAAGTAGGTTGTTTCGCCTTTAGATGTGAACTGAATCAAATTTCTCCCATATCCCTAGCAGAGGGTAAGTATTACACAGTTTATGAGCAGCAACAGATAAAGTGTAGCTTTCAGCAGTATGTAAAGGTGGCAATGGGAGCCCTGAGACATTGGTCTTTGGTATGAAAACTGGGGTATTAGAGAAGATGCCTACAGTGGTACCTCAGGCTAAGTACTTAATTTGTTCCGGAGGTCCGTTCTTAACCTGAAACTGTTCTTAACCTGAAGCACCACTATAGCTAATGGGGTCTCCTGCTGCCGCTGCACCGCATTTCTGCCGGAGCACGATTTCTGTTCTCATCCTGAAGCAAAGTTCTTAACCTGAAGCACTATTTCTGGGTTAGTAGAGTCTGTAACCTGAAGTGTATGTAACCTGAAGCGAATGTAACCCGAGGTACCACTGTACTTTCATTTATGAAATGTTGGAAGGTATTAATTTGTCCTTCCAACAGGATTCCATTATTAAGAGGTGTGGAGTCCATTCCTACTGATGTTGATGTATGCCCCATGTTCAGTGGGACTTATTCTCTAGTAACCTACATCAGTAGAACCAATGCTGCATTGCCAGTGTAATAGGATATGAAATGCATGTCTAGTCCTTCTGATGGTTTTCATTTTCTCTTTCAACAATTAAAGCAAACATTATTTCCCTTTATGCAGAATGTAAATATGTTTTATATCTAATGTGTGGTTTATTATTATTATTATTAAAACAGGATTGTACCTGCTTTTTAGGAAATAGTCAGGATAATAAACACTTTTGTTCCAGGTACTAAGAGACATTGAACTCACTTTATCAAAAACAAATGACTGAAGTATGGAGACACGCCCCCCAAGAGACCATTACCAGGGATTACACACAAGTTTGGCAAGGATCAAGCCGGAGGCAAAGTCCATTATGTGTCAAGCCAATTTGTAATCCCAATTAATGCCATCTCTAGAGTGTTTGCAGTTACATGTCAGTGATGTGGCAAAACTTGTGTCTGCTTTTGTTGAGAATTCTCCCAGAACCTATTGAATCCTGTAAAACAATAGCAAACAAGCAAAAAAACACAAACACAAAACATCTCCTCCACCAAACCGCATATGAAAGGGTGCACCTTTTAAGGTGCAAAATTGAGAAAGTGGAGCAGCTAGATTTCTAATGCCTTTTATTTCTAGTCTAGCTTTTGCTATGAATGTTCTGAACAGTTAATCAAATATAAATATGTACATTTTGGACTTTAAAAAAAGTAACCAGATTGCTTAATAATCTGTTGAACTTCCTTAACTTTTATTATTAAACACACTGTATAAAGTAAATATATTTAAGCTGAAGGAAAGGTTCATTTTTTGGTATAAAACCTCTTTTAGGTGACATTTCTCCGTTTCCAAAATAGAACAAGTATAAAATTAAATCTAAGCCTTGATCCTTTTAGCTACTTGTCAATAGGACTTAGCAGATCGGCTGTCTGCTTAAGGTTATGTAAGTGCTTAAGTATTCCTTTGAATAAACATGAAAGGGAGCAGTTCAGATATACAAAACTCTGCCAACAAGGGCTTTCTTGCTTTGGGCAGCTTTATGAGGCACATAGTATAATATTTATTTGGAGTATATTTGTCTGTCCCTTTAGTGCACTAATTTTGTATGGCTGTTGAAAGCTAACCAAACGGGGCGAGGGTTATAAGATAAACCTTCTAGGATTCAGGGGATATTTCTCATATTAAGGTAAAAGAATAAGTTAGGTTATATGAATTCTCATAAGCTGCATGATGTTATGTGTGTGAGGGGGACACTTCCACTTCTTGCTTCCCCTTGCCTTGTGCAGAGCTGCAGCATTCGATAAAACCTTAATTTTATACTGGAAAGGCAAACTGTTATGCTGCAACATTCAGAGTGTAATCATTTCACTCTGGCCCTTGCAAGCTGGCCTGAATGGGGGAATCTGTGGTCTTGTCCTCACTGTGAAACCCACATGTGAATTGCAATGATGTCAAACTGTGGAGCATTCACCCCAGTGTTTTGTCTCTAGTGATGAAACAGGGAGCATTCACAGCCTTCTTCCTGTTGGTCTAGATAGAAATTAAGAGTGTATGAATCTGTGAAAAAGGCATAATGCACTTTTTAAACTACCATCCTATGGTAGCTAGTCTATGCACTAATTTGATTTATACAGCAGCTGTCAGATATACAGCATCTCCACTAAAAAATTGACTTCTTTAATTTTCATGTACATTGCTCCTATTAGTACCCCTTAGTGAGGATATATTGCCAGGAAGCGGGGCATGCATGTTCTGATTCTGCATAAATTTAGGGTTGTTGTTTTTAAAGGGAACATAATTGGTTCTTATTAGCTCAAGTGCTTATTGCTGGTAAGTGAAATGCATTTTTTGGACCTGCTTTAAAAACTCCCATATTTCAGCAAACTTAACCAAGTTAGTGTATGCAGCTTAAGGGTGTGACACTTTATAAGTGCATTTTAATACACTGTGTTTTGATGTTGTGCTGAATGGAAACAAATGTTTGCTAGCGACATAATCTGCATGAAAATTTGATCTTTCATTCCCCTTCCTATTTAACATTTGATGTTGCTGATTATTATTGTTGTTCTTCTTTATGCGCAGCTGAAAACAGAAAAATCCTGAATGAACAAGAAGTTGAAAAATGTCTAGTCACCCTTTTGGGAACCGATAATGATGGAACTAAAATAGCTGCTTCTCAAGCAATCGCTGCTATGTGTGAGAATTTAGCTAGCAAACAAACCATTGGAACTCTAGGTAAATCGGTTATGGTGGAGGTAGAACTTATGATCCATAAGAAAATATTTACCAATCTGCAGTTTTGCCATGGCTAATTTGAGACTGCATACATACAATTATTATTATTTTTCCAAAGGAATTCCCCAGCTAGTTCAGTTGCTAAGCAGCGACAATGAAGAGGTAAAGGAAGCTGCTGCTACTGCTCTAGTTAATCTGACAACAGCTCACCCTGCCAATGCAAGGTAAGCTCAAGAGGAATAAAGAATTGTTGAACACATTTATCAGGACATATATTTTACCTCTGTGAAATTTCTAGGTAGCATATTGTCCTGTTACCTCCATTTTGCTTTACATCCTGGCTCCTGTGCTATTCACTGAATAGACCATTGTCAAAGTTTTACCATCATTTTTCTTGACTATTTATATGCAAATCCAGTGTAGTGTGTGAAACCAGCTAGGTGTTTTTGTAAGAAACCTGGAAATAATATGTATGTTTCCTGATGTGCATCATTGCACATCTGGGAAGTTTTTAGAAAATGAGGCTAAAAATAATAATACATTGGGGTGGGGGGAGTTCATGAAACATTTTATAGCTCTCCTAAAGATCCGTGCTTTAGGAATTTCCTCTTTCTGTGTATACTGAAGCATTTTTTGGCTGAATAAAGCTGGTGGGCTAGATTGTGAGGTCCCCATTCCCTGAAATGACCTACTGTAGTATGTAGCACATGCAGCTGTGAACATGTGACGAGGGATAAGGGGAAATCCCTGTGCACAGTCATGACACATACAGAGGTCTGGATCAAACCCCATATCTAAACTTTTATTTCTACATGGAATTACACAATATGGTTTGGATATATACTAAGCTATCACTTTGCTGAAGCTTAGCAGGTACACATCTAGTCATTGCCAGGATAGGTGACTGCCTGGGAACCACATGTATGCCACCTTGGATTCAATGATGGAAGGAAGGTGGGCTATAAATATAAGAAAATAAAATGGGATATGTTGCATTAAATGTGCGATTGAACTTGAATGTCTTTAAAAAAGCCACAGGGATCTCCAAACAGGGTGAAGACCATTGGCATGGGTTACCTTTATTTTAATAGATTTTTGCTGCATGAGGGAAGATACTATTGATGTTCATCTTCTGTTGTTAAGGAATCTTGTTGACAGTGCAGACTGTTTCTATTGAAGCTATTGGATTCATACTAGGGTGTTGATCAGTGTAATATATGGTACATATACACATAACCGTGTATAACAAAGTTAGGGAATTAAGTTCAATTCAGTACTAACTTTCCACTTGGTAGTCCTTTTAGATCTAGTTATTTCTCTTCTTCCATCCCTCATTGCAAGCTACTCCACAAAAGAAAGGGGAAACAGAGTCTAATGCTGTGGATTGTTGCCTTGGTTGACTGAATGTGCCTATAAAGCAGCATTTTAGACGGTCATTTAGAGAATTTTATGAGAAACTAACAGCAATGATTACATTGGCCAGTCAACAGTTGATCAGGATTTATGAACTGAACTTATTTCAGGTGTGTTCATCTTGAGTTAAGCATGAAATTTCATAAAAAACAGTTGTGGGCATACATACTCACATATGCGCATACATATACATTTTTTCTCCTCCATTTATTTCCATCTGTATCCAGATTATAAGGGCTGTGTTCACTCAGTCAGAAATAAAACCATATGTGCCTTACATGAACAATCACAAATGAGCAAGGTAGTTCAAATGTCAAAAGACTTAAAGCAATGAAATTTGCAAAAGGTTTCTTGGAGTATCTCAAATAATGAATGAAATGGAGAAAGTGATTGGCTCATAGATATTCCATGAAGAGAAAGAGATATAATTCATCGGATACATTTCATGTCACAAATTATTCACTCGGCTCTAATAGCCACTGACATTAATTTAACATTACCAGACGAAACATCATTCATCATGTGTAGTCATTATTCAACCCACTTTTCTGTTTTCTGAAAAAATGCAGTAGGTATTGACTCTGATACTCCTTTCTTGTGGCTCTTCAGTTAATGTCAATTGTAGCTAGGCTCACATATAAAGAACCAGGTATTGGCCTCTAGGGCCCAAGCCTGCTGGAATTGCTTTGCTCAGCTCTCAAGTTGGAAAACAATTGTAAAGTTGATTGGTACAATGCTGTCCTGTAAAAACCAACCCTCAAGAGGGTGGGCTGATGTAGATGCTCTCTAGAATCCCCTTTGGGGAAGATGAAGGATTTGATGCTGGGCTTCAATGATAACCAGTTGCTAGAGTATTGAGGTCCTGGGCATGTCACCTTTTTCCATCTAGTCATTCTTATTGTGGTATGTGGTCGTGCTGTAAACGTGTGTGAAGTTTTTATTCACTGGCCCATGTGCAGTGTGCCTCAAAAACCAGAAAGGGGCAGTAATGTAGTAGCAGTTTGGTTATGACAGTGAGGAAGGGGGGCTGGGGCAGTTTTTCAGGTCATATGCAGGATATGATACTTTCAGTCTGCTTTTAAGAAGAAGCAGTGTCTTCTCCATGTTGTCTCTTTTCTCCCATGCTATCTGGTTGTGAATTCACTAACTGGAGTTAATAGTACACTGCTGCACTTCCAAAGGCATAAAAAGCACTGTAATAGCAGTACAGAAACAAATGGTGGTGATGGGAGCTCATAGGTATCTTCTTCTTTATCCTTCACTAGAGTGCACTTCCTTGGTGTCAACAAATTCTCCTTCATTTCTGTGTCTTCTCCATGCAGGTCATCATCACTGCAGCTACAATCACTTACTCTTAGGGAGCATACAGCTGCCTGAACTATAATCTGCCTTCTCTCTGCACATTCCCGATGAACATAAATCTTCTCTCTGTTATTTGTACCCACTGCAGTAACCACCTCCTCAACCTGGTCTTCCTCTTGGATGGAAACAAGAGGAGCAGTAAATCCTTAATTTTGGAGGACTGTTGTTACCTTGATGGGTGTTGGTGGCCTTTGTACACAAAGAGAGTGGAGGTGTCATGAGGGCTGGACTTCTGTTATTGGTATCAGTGACTCATAAGAGTTGGTGAAGGATTTTGGGATGACCTTGTGCTGCTTGATGCCAACAGGTGGTCATTCCAAGCTGCTTCTGCCCACTTAGCACTGCTGTAGAGCAGCCAGCACATGTTATAAATGAGGATGAGGTGAGGATGCAGGGACTACCCCTGGTCTAAGCAAGCACAGATTATTCCTGAAGACATTGTGGCAGCCCAAGGAAGTGGGGGGTGCTTGAAAGTATTGGCCTTGGCAGAGTTGGCACTTGTTCCTGAGGAGGGTGAAGGCATCCACCTTTACTGGCCAAGTGTTCCTAGCATGACTGATGAGGTTTGCTTAAATGTAGACTCTTTGGTTGGTTTGGGTCTATTCAGCTGATACTGGTTGGGAACACTGATACCACTATTCACAGTGTAGCCTGGAGTCATACCTTTTCTATTGAAAAGGATGGTTGCCAGTTTTTCATAAAAAGGCATCACCTTGGGTGGTGAGTAGTGACATCCTTGAACATCTTGAAGGCATTAATTTTCTCCTTGCACTGGGTGATAATATAGTGGTAGGAGACTTCCGGGGTGGTGCCATCGGTAATGGCGGATTCCCTCTGATCTGGAGGGACCAGCTCCACGGGAAACGGGTCTTTTCCGCTACGGCGAAGCGGGGACCCTTTCAAAAATCACAGGCGGATGAAGCCTGTGACCATGGGACTCGGCGGGCACCTTTAGCGCCCCCCCAACCCGCAAAGGAACCCACTAACGGGCTCCGGAGCGAAGAGGGGGAAGTGGCGCGGTGCTGAGAGTCAACTGCTTCTTCCGTGGAGCGAAGCCGCACAGCCGTTGCCGGAGAGCGCTGCCTTTTTCCTGGGACAATTTGGCTTTTAAAACAATCACCGTGAGTACTTAAATTTCGGACAATTGGACTCTAAATAAGGAATTGCGAGTAGAAAGGAAAATTGGACTTAAAAGTTTATTTCAATTTGGTACTGAAATGGGAAGGTCTAAACAGGAAGTCAGCCTTCCGTTTCTTTGTAGATAGTTTAAAGCAAAGACATGGCAAACTAGAGTTCAGAAAATCGCTTGTAAAGGATTAACTTTCACCATTTAAAATTGTTGAATCCCCTTCGGAAGCAGGAGAAGAGGGGGTATTTTTTTCGGACTGTTTAAACCTGCAGAAGTGAGTGTAAAGCAAAGTAACTTTCCACCGTCTTGATCCTGGAGCGGGGTGTCAGGACTGACGTTTTTTGGAGCTCATTGACCAGAGACAAACGTTTTTGACAGATAGCTAAAAGAAGAGAAACATAGTGATTCCATTGCTCCCTTTTGCATTTTAAAGGAACAAATATTGACAAAATATCCGAAAAAGGAAACTTTGTTGTTAGATCTGTCTTTAAAAGAAAAGAACGAATAGAAGTTTTTCCCCTAGAGGGAGCCTGTGAAACTGTAACCAATTCTGAATCGGGAAGCTTGCAGCTGCTACAGATTACGATCGTGGGAATAGACTTCTGACCTTGCAGGACAATGTATTCAGAAGCTCTGCTGTGTGCTCTCTGTAAAACAAGTGCCCTACTGGAACAGCTACATGAGAAGACGGACTTGATGACTGATGCGATCAGAAATTTTGAACAGGCAGTGGGAAATTATATGGAGCCCACCCAGGAATCAAATCAGGAGTGTGCCCTGACAGAACAGATGAGGGAAGAGGATGTTGCTGAACCTCGGGCGCCAGAGATGGAGGGAGCTGCGGCCCAGCAGGAACATGAGTTCTTGGATTTGACAAATGAACTTGGAAAAAGCCAGATTTGGAAAGATAAAGTTTGGCTTGGTTTGGAAATGGGTGGTTGGTTAGACCCCCCCTACGCAGGGATGTTTGGACTTTTCAAGTCTGGTAATGGGCCGTGAGATGTTTGGGGTTGTGGGGGCTCTTAAATTTGGAGGGACTTTGAAACATGTTCTTAAATACCACATGGAGTTTAGTGTGGACTATGGAAAAGGGGCTGATTTGTCGAGAAGGGTCAAAAACATTGTTAAGCTGGAGTTCCCACGAGTGAAAGGAGCAGGAGACAAAGGAAAATACAGCTATAAATATGAAGAAGAGCCGCGGAAGGGACATGGAAGGGACTTAAGGGCCTCGGATATAAGATTACCAGGTTAATGCGCTAGACTGATGGGATAGAGAGGACTGACAAAACCCGGGACCAGGAGGAAGAGACGCTGGATGAAGATTGGATTGTTTTTTTGTTTTTTTTTATTAGGATTCTTTTATAAAATTGATGAATGTTAGAAAAATGTTGGAACGAAATTATTTGGCTTTAGCAAAAATATTTAAAGAATTATGTAAGAATATTATGGTTATGAGAAATTGGTAAAAATAAGATTTAAGTTTTAAGGTTTTTTTATAGTAAGATAAGATTAAAATAGATTAAGGTAATGTAATGACAGAATATTATGAAATATGGAAAGGATTTGCTGCGACAATTAACAACTAGGATACAAAAAAAGGGAGGAGGAGGAGGTCAAAGAAAGAAGGTAATGACAGTTAAGGATTTGAGAATATTGGATTTGTTTTTAAATGTTTGTGGTATATTTTTTGATTTTGATTTTTATTAATTTGTATTGTTTGATGTGGTTTGTTTTTTTCTTTCTCTTTTTCTACTTTGTTTTCTTTTGTAATTCTAAAAAAAAAATTTCAATAAATATCATTAAAAAAAAGAAGAAGATAATATAGTGGTAGGTTCACTGGTGCATCTCCACAGAGAGCCAAGTAAAAATAATATCTTTCTGAAACCAGTGTGAGAGTACCTCTCATGTGAGAGTACATGAGATGGGATCCACAGATATATGCACACCACAGCCTCCTCATCTGACCAGAATTAAGTCTTTAATCTCTGGGAGGCCATCTGTTCAGAGTCAAACAACTACATGTATTAGGTATCTTGTGATTGCTCCTCAGTCAGGAAGGCAGTCTGTGTTAAAAACTATTTGCAGCCCATACTGTAGGGTCTTTGCTGTTGATCAAACCATCATTTAGGTTGTGCATTATGCCATAAAATGGATAACATGGGAAGCAATATCTCAAAACCCCTATTATGAAGTCTGGCAAGCCCATCTCTAGAAGCATATACCAAATGCAAGTAACAACTCCAGGCCACCAAAGTCAGGGAATATTGTTCCTGGGTTTGTGAAAACAGAACTGAGGCTTCAGGGCACAATGTGGATTGCAAATCAGGTGTTTGCACAGGAGGTGCTAATTACCCTGCAGCCATGAGTTGCAAATTGCGGGCAAAGGTTTTTTGTGCCCCTCCAAGGATTAGATTTCTATGCCATAAGGAGTTTGAACTTTCTTAACCTTCCCAGTTTTACCTATGTGAATGCTTACTTTTATCCCCAACAACTGTTCTGTGTGTGTGTGTGTGTGTGTGTGTGTGTGGTTGCTACAAGTTAATAGGGTAGACTAGAGTATCATTATGTACTGATCATTTCAGTTTGCTGCTTACATCCCACTTTAGATTTAGTAGGGAGTGCTGGGTTGTAGTCATTTCAAACTTTCTGCTATTGGACAGCAGCTACAAAACGAAGCTGTCTGCCTTGTGAAGAATGGGGTGTAATGGAGAAGTGGGATGGGGAAAGAAGCCTGTTGCCAGGCAGAGTTAGGACCGGGTTCTTTGGACAAAGTGGCAGAGAGACCTGCTTCACCTTAATAGTGGTCTTTTTTGGTACTTTTTTGCCATTGTTTGGCAGGCATCTGACTGCAGGGTGAGCAAACAAACCATGCTGGGTTTGCCTGTAATAAAAAACCATAGTTTCATAAGCCAACAACAAACAATGGCTTAAGATCTTGGTTTGTTGGTTAAACTAAACACACCTTAACTTACGTGTTGCGTGTGAACCAGGCCAATGTGTGATAACAACATCTCTCTCTAAAAATCTATCATTTGCCCGATAATGAATGTTGGAAATGTAAAGAAACCGAAGGTACATTCTTTCACCTTTGGTGGACGTGCCCAAGGATTAAGGCTTTCTGGGAGATGATCTATAATGAATTGAAAAAAGTATTTAAATATACCTTCTTGAAGAAACCAGAGGCCTTTCTCCTGGGCATAGTCGGCCAATTGGTGCTAAAGAAGGATAGAACTTTTTTTATGTATGCCACAACAGCAGCAAGAATACTCATTGCAAAGTATTGGAAGACACAAGACCTACCCACTCTGGAAGAATGGCAGATGAAGGTGATTGACTATATGGAGCTGGCGGAAATGACCGGCAGAATCCGGGACCAGGGAGAAGAGTCGGTGGAAGAAGATTGGAAGAAATTTAAAGACTATTTACAGAAATATTGTAAAATTAATGAATGTTAGAATGATGTTGGATAGAAATTAAGTGGTTTTTAGCTGCAATACCATAAGGGAATATGAAAAATGGATTACTAACAGGTAAAAATTTAATGTTACAATATTTTAAGATTAAAGATTAGGATAAACAAAGAGGGGAAGGATTTGCTGAACCAACAAACTGAACTGGAATACAAAAAAGGGAGGCGTGAGGAGGTCCGGGAAACAAGCTAATGAAAAATAAGTAATGGAAAGATTGAGTCGTTTTTAACTATTTTTATTTTGTATTTTTCTTTTTTTTCTTTTTTTTGTAATATCTTGAAAATCTTAATAAATATCTTATAAAAAAAACAAAACAACAACATCTCTCTCTAACCACGCTTTGCCTGTCCTGAGGGAAACAACCATGTATTAATGATGGTAAAATGTTTTCAAGTTTAAACATTTGTCTGTTGGGAGAGAAGTCACTTCATCCTAAGATTATATTCTCTCCTGACTAATCTGTGTCAGGTTGTTGTTGTTTTTAAAGGATGCATAATTTGTTGTTTCAAGTATGTTTAAAGTATCACAGATTTGTATACAGATTTGTGATAGAACAATGCTTTTGGTACAGGATGCAAAGGACTTGTACAGTCCTACTTGCCTACCATAGGTTGCTCCTTTGGTTATAGCAACATATCATGGCTTGCTATGTATTAGCTAAAGCAAGCATAAGCAAAAGAAAGCATAAGACTGAATGTCCAGAGCCACATTTTCAAAGAAATTTCAGCCTCCAAAATGAAAGGTGGATTTTCAGAAAGCCAAGAAAGGAAAAGGTAAATGTGAGCTAGGCTGTAGAAAACATGAGCTAGGCTCATGTTTTCCATCTCGGTTTCAGATAAAAGCTTGACTGAAAATCTGACCCCAAGGAGGCACTCATGTTACTGCGGCAAAGTCCACGAGCATCTCCTCAGTAAACTTGTGTGTGCTGGTTGATTTCCCATCAATCCAATTATAAAATAATCAAAACGGTACCTGCAGTTCACTATTAAAACAAACCACTGATTTAATAGGCTGGACATTAATTTGCAGTATCACTGCCATCTATTGGTCATTCTGTTCTACTGGTACCACTTTTATTGAGATTGAACCATGTGTTAAGTTATTTATTAATACACAATATATGTATTATACAAGTTGTTAAATATAAAATGAGGCAAGTAGTTGCCTTCTAAGTGCTATTTATATTTTAACAAGCTCCCAAAACCTGCCAACATAAACAGGTTCTGTAAAACAAAGATTAAGCTAATATTATACTGGATTTAAATTACTGCCATAAATATTAATTATTCTTGGTAACAAGTTATCACTGTTCACTCTTCACTACACAGAGGATACTAGAATAAATGACTTTGTTTCATTAGTTTGTTGTGTCAGGGTTTTGTTTTTGTTTTAATTCTCTTTGAAATATTTTGAGAAAACACTGACTGTCACATAAATATTAAGGATGAACTGACCTGAATTAGTTCTTAAGTTGTATTATTTGTATCAGTTTTAGATATGGAGCTTAACAGTTTTCATAAGCAAAAAGTCAATTTCCTGCTTACTATGACTTACAATATAAATTTTGACACAGGGATGGGAACTAGTGGTTTATACAGTTAATTAATTTTAGAGTCTGGGCTCATGGTTAGTTAGAAGGATGAAGCTAGAGTTTAGTGTTGACAGTTTGGAGTGATGTGACCTAGAAGTAAAGCAGCAAGCTGCAGAGTCAAAGAGCAATGTCTGGATCCAAGGCTGCAGCTATGGGAGAAACAAGATGCTTTGGGGGTGTGAATCTCTCCATCATAGCCTCAAGTTGTACTTTTGTGTAAATAAACCATATACCAGAAAAACACCAAAGTTTTTGAGCTTTTTTTGGCAAAATTGCAAGAACCCGAAGTTTTTGAGCTATTTTAAATGACAATCACCAAAAACAACACTACGACATGGGCTACCATACATCTGGATTTTCGCAGACATTTCAGCAATTTCCGCCTGGACGCTGTTTACAAGGGCTGAATACCGGCTATGTCCAGGAAATTTTGGACGTATGGCAACTGTGCCTTATCTCAAAAGGAAACACAAATTCTAGATAAGCACCTGAAACCTGTGGAATATCGCACCGCTTGGAGATTGGGGTTGCATGCAACAATATGTTGTGCCAAGTTGAATTCACTGTATTTGTATTCACAATATTTAGTATTGCTATGCTCAGTGGCTAACACAAATTGATAAGCTGAACCATGTGCAACCTTCAGTATGCCCACATAACTCATTTATGGGAGCCTACCTAGTTTTTCCAGGCTTAAAATTCCAAACTTCATATCAGAAATCATTACTGGAAAAGTCACAGAAAGCTGACTTTAATTTGCCAAGAGCTTAGTAAAGACAATTCTGGATATATCTGTTTATATGAGCAGTTTATCACAGATCGAACATAGCGGAAATTATTTCAAAACAAATGAAATTCTGTCATCTTTTGGTGTCCCATTGATCTGAGGACTGTCTTTTGTTTGAATGCAACAGCTAGAATAGCCACATCACCATAATTATTGGGAATCCCATGCTGTTTGCACATGTAGAATGGAAGAGGACTTACAGGAATGCCACTTTATCAGAAGAACAAAGACATACCAGTAGAAGTTTTCGTGACAGTTTCTTACAAGATATTCCTGTTGGTGTAAGAATCATCAAGTCATTAGACTGAATGGTATCAATGGTGTAATACAAACTCTTCTCCTTCAGCCTTAGCTACAGGCTATCAATTTCATTTCAGACCTTCAGCATTTATTGAGCACACAGCCATAAGCTGTCCCCTTGTACCAAAATGCAAATATAAACTCTGCGTTCATCAGAAATGCCTCAAACATCATTGGAGATTTCAGGAAATGCTTTGTGAGTAGCATCAGCCAAGTGCAACCACCAAACAGCAAATGAAACTCTTCCCCCACAAGTAGGACTACAAGTGGCATATGGTTTATTGAATCAGATAAAACAAAGATAATGCTGCTGCAGACAACATTCTTGTTGAGTTTGTATCTAAATTGTGAATATTCTACTGAACCTTGTTTTTAAAAGATAATTTGAGATTTTTTTATATAATGTTATGTTTCCCCCATAAACTTACTGTCCTTCTGTGCTTGAGGTCTGGAATAAACTACTAGCTAGCCTCTGTTGTAGTAATGTGTGACTTAACACTGACCCCTAGTGACAGCCTGCAGAACTTAACACAATGCATACGCCAATATCCCAGAGGGATAAGCTATGTTAGTCTCTCACAGCAACAATAAAGAAGAATCTGATGACACCCTAAAGACGAATACATTTATTACGGCATAAATTGTTGTGGATTACAGTTTACTTCATCAGATGCATGACGTGGTATCCTGAGTAGTAGGTATCTGTTATGGTTAGAGCAAAGTAATATAGTTGGAAGTAGTAGTAGTAGTAAAATTTGCACACCACCCTTCATCTGTAGATCTCAGGGCAGTGCACAACATAAAAATATAAAAACAAAAAATACATGATAAAAACAAGAACAAAAAACCCACAAACCAATAACACCCCACCCCTCCCACAAACACATTTAAAAGCGGTATAAGGTGTTAAGCAGCAGCAGCAGCAGCAGCCACATACCAGCTGCTGTGGGACATATTTGCTCCTTGTCTTTGTACAAAAGAATGCCAAGTTATACTTTTGGCTTAAAACACTGGGCACAGAATCCCTCCTTTAATTTTGTAGGACTCTGAGAATTGGGAGGTTCAAAAGACTAAATTTTAATTTTCATTAAAGCTAGAAGAAAAAGACCCATCAAGCTTCTAGAAGATCCCACTATTCTGACCCAACTATGGTACATCTCATGTTCCCACAGGACCATATTCTTATAGGTGGGACTACTGAAGAGTTGTGAAAAAGAAACAGTCTTATATCCTAACCCTAAGCCATATTTCCAAATATGCAGGATCAGGACCTTGGATCTTTAAAATATGAGTCCTCATTGCATCAGCATGAGTATGGGCATCCTAAAAATAGAGGATGTAATTGAGTGGTGGAGCACATGTTCTGTATGCAAAAGGTCTTACTGTAGGTTCAACACCTGCCATCTCCACATAGAACTGGGAAATATCCATATCCTAGAAAGCCTCTGCTGGCCAACGTAGGCAAAATTCATCTGAGATGGACTACTGGTTCTTTTCAGAATCATGCCTTCTAAAGTCACTATGACTCACAGACTTCTAATGAGTCCACATTATAAGTGGAAATTCTTCTCCGCCTCCATTCAGGAAAGTATTTCTTATTTAAGGTATAGCTGAACTTGTCTTTTATTTGTTGTCATTGGTTGGGTTAAGCGTGGATCTGTGAAGACTTTTCATTATTTTCTGCTTCTTTTAAACTTCCATGCCCTTGAAGAATTGTAGTCTAGGGCAGGTGTTTTGCCTAAAGCTTAAGACTGACTGTGAAATGGACCTTAGACTACAGATTTTTCCTCCCTGTTCTTCCTACAATCCAGAAAGGGGGTGGTGCTAGCAAGAACAAGGTTAAAGTCACTGTTTTGTCACTTTCTTTTATTTTTATGCTAAATACTGTATTTGCTTCTAAATCCCATTTAATTTATTTCCTGTGTTGGTCCTTTGGGAATTTCCAACAGATTGTATCCATCTTTCCATAGACTGCCTAATTACATGGATTAATATTTAACATTGCAGTCCAATGCACATTTACTTGCAAGTAAATCCCAATGTGTTCAGTGGGACTTATTCCCTAGTTAAGGTATACAGTTGTACCTTTTTAGAAGAAACATCAGGATCTTTTAACCAGATCCAGAATCCAGAAATGTTTTGTCTTATAGCCTGGCCTTAGGCCTTCAGAATACCCTGAATAAAATATTAGTATTCAGTGATTCATACTATTATGGTGGCTGCATGTTAAATTTTATCCTTGCCCCCAAGATTCATTTGGATTCTGTAGGCAGTGATTCAGGAGATAAATTATTGTAGGGTGTAAAATGAAGCATTTAATCATGAACTTACAATAAAATGATCGCACAGTAGAATAAAAATGCTAGCTATCAAAACTTAATCACTGAGCTTAATATGAAAGGGAAATAATTTTCTAAATGTTTACAAGGAGATAAGTAATTATGCAACCTTTAGAAGACATCTGAAGGCAGCCCTGTGTAGGGAAGTTTTTAATTTTTGATGTTTTATTGTGTTTTAGAGTAGCTGGGGCGACCCAGTCCGATGGGCAGGGTACAAATAATAAAGTTGTTGTTGTTGTTGTTGTTGTTACTACTACTATTACATGCCATCAAAAGCATTTATAAAAGTAAGCACAGATATTAAATTGTTCATAACTGAGGCATTTCTGTTGACAGGAGGGATTGATTCTCACATACCATATTGTATGCACAGTGCATTCTTCTGCTTGAGATTCTTTAGCTGGAACCATGTTTCTCAGGGACTGGTCTGAATGAAGGACATGTGGGGTAATTCAGCTGTTGAAGCTAAGCGGGCCTGACTCTCTAAGCTTGGAAATCTAATTCTGAACTCCTTTGAGTTAGAGTCAGATAAAAGTGTTATAGGTAAATTTAACAAATTTACTTGATTTGAAATGGGGGAATATTAATAGCTACCTTGGACCAGTGACACTTTTTTCCTTTGATGGATGAAGATTAAAATTTCATTAACAAAGCAAACCTAAAATGGAGAAACTGCTACTTCTTAAGCTCTGATGGTTCACAGTGGCCAGGGCAGAAGTTGCAGAAGTTTCCACACACACCAACTGGGTCTTCTAATACCTCCCAATTGAGAAAATAAGATCCAGAGCTGGTGTGCTTTTTGCCCCTTTCAGGGTCATGTCAGAGGAACAAGGGGGCTTTGAATTCAGTACATCTGAGTCTTGCCCTGATCCATCCCCAGTATGCCCTCTTTATGGCCTACTGCCTTTGAAGCACCACCAGCCAGTAGAGTAACAGCTGTTGCACTGCAGAGGTCTCTGCCTGTGAACCTTCCCTCTTCACCCACAGAAAGTGAAACATCCTATGGCGGCTCAGCCACCCACCCAGGAAGTATAGGATTGCTCCCTTAAGCTTAGGATAGAATTGTGCCCTATGGCTCCAATCCATTGTGCTCAGTAACCCTTAAAGGTAAAGGTAAAGGGACCCCTGACCCTTAGGTCCAGTTGTAGCCGACTCTGGGGTTGCGGCACTCATCTCGCTTTATTGGCCGAGGGAGCTGGCGTACAGCTTCCGGGTCATGTGGCCAGTATGAATAAGCTGCTTCTGGCGAACCAGAGCAGCGCACGGAAACACCGTTTACCTTCCTGCCGGAGCGGTACCTATTTATCTACTTGCACTTTCACGTGCTTTCGAACTGCTAGGTTGGCAGGAGTAGGGACTGAGCAACAGGAGCTCACCCTGTCACAGGGATTCAAACCGCTGACCTTCCGATCGGCAAGTCCTAGGCTCTGTGGTTTAACCCACAGCGCCACCCACGTCCCTCAGTGACCCTTACCTCTGACTAAAAATTACCAGGCCCTCCCTGTAAGACTGTAGTCCTAAACACACTTTCTACGGCTTAATTCAGAGTAAACATGTAGAGGTTGGTGCCTAACAGCAAGGATATAAATAGCAGAGCACATGGACAACTGAGATTTCCATCTGTATATTTCCTGTGCTAACACTTCTGCCAAGTTTTGTTTAACAAACAGATGAGCCTACTATAAAATGATACTCAGTTGGGCATATGGCGTATGTTCTTTACAAAAATAATAATATGCATGCATGCATGCAAAAAGAATTCCTCTGCTTAGATTGCACTACTGACAGGTAAGTTCAGGCTGAAGAAAGGGTAGGATTAGAAATGGAAATGGCACATCCTGTGTACACTTACTTGAGCTCGATTGGACATCTAAGGAAATGTGTGTATGTGCTGTAAATGTTTCAGCCTCAATACACATGAGCATCTGTGCTGGTTTTTGAATGTTAGCATAAGCAATTGATATGGCTTATAAAGGGATACGTTGAGGATGCTTAAAAATTCCTCATCTTAAAAATTAAAATAGCATTGGGGATGTCCCCTTTTTATCCCCTTTTCTAGTGCAGTGGCGGAAGCGGATGGTATTGAGCCACTGATCAACCTTCTGAGTTCTAAGAGAGATGGGGTCGTTGCAAGTGCTGCTACTGTTCTCACCAACCTGGCCACCCAGGAGCCTCTGCGTCTCAGCATCCAGAGCCATGGTATTATGACGGCAGTTGTAGAACCACTGCATTCCACCAACAGCATAGTGCAAAGCCGAGCAGCTCTTACCGTCGCTGCAGTTGGTTGTGATGCTGATGCCAGGACTGAGGTGAGGTACATGCAATGCAGCATCTGCTTTGAAAATCGTGATGAGGGGGGGGGGGAACTCTGGTATCTTTTGTTTTGTGCGGCTTTCTTGAATCAGTGCATTTATTATGCTTCCTAGAAAAGATCTAGTTTGTGGTTCTTATATAAAAAGTAGGAACCAAGTATGTGCTGTCTTTGTTACAGTATATAAAATTTGTGCAGGGAAATTTTACCATGGTGCACTATGCAAGTTTGGGGGTGGGGTATGAATGAAGCAAACTAGAGGTGGGGTAATAGCTTCATATTGAAGCATATGCTTTTGTATACAGAAGATCCCATGTTCAATCTCTGGTTTCTTCATTTGAGGGATATCAATGGAGCCTCAACAGGGACTGGTGTTTTATTGCAAGTGTATTCTTCAGCATGCTCTTGACACAATTAATACAGTACTGGTGGTGGATTTATTCTGCTTCAGTTTGTTCTGAGAAGCAAACACAGTGCAAACATAACCTTCATTTTTCAGCCTAGAGTGTTGCCAAGTGCTGACAATATTCCTACTTGAATGAATGTATCCTTTGACAAGCAAGCAATATATCTTTATTTCTTTTTTAGTTACGGAATTCAGGAGGGCTTGAGCCTCTTATTAAGCTCCTATATTCTAAACATGATGAAGTCCGAAGAAATGCCTGTTGGGCTGTTATGGTTTGTGCAGCTGATGATCCAACCGCTGCTGCAATGACCAGGCTAGGGTGAGTAGTAGGAATCCCAAAGTGACTGTTAATGGTGACTGCAGAACTTGTAATCAAGAATTTACATGTGTGTGTAATGCTCCTGTTCAGGGTTCTAGTCAGCTGGCCATGCCCTTCTTCAGGATACTCCATTACATTCTCACTTCCCTTAGTTTACATTTCCCTACCAACAACCAGCATTATGTGCCTGAACATGCTCAGTCTTAATGGCTTTTCATTATGCCTGCATATCCCCCCTCTTTCACACCCACAGAAGTTTTTTTCTCCTGAATACTTTTTTTTACTTCTACAAACATTGGCAGTTTTGCAAGCCTCCTGATAACCACCTCCATGTGTACAGGTAATGCTGTTTTGACTACATAAGGATGCCTGCTCTGAGAATTTCACTATTGTACATAGAGATGTATTTTTAATTTCTTAAATTTTGATTGAGATAAATTATTTCACAGCTTATTCAGGCACAGTTTTGCACCACTGTAACTGTTATACAGTGGTCTTACTATACAGAGAACTAGAAAAGACTTAGTTCTACTATACAGAGAACTAAAACAGACATAACTGATTGCAGAATGAGTCTCTTTGCCATAACAGATCAGGCTAGATCAGATCAGATATTAATAGGCATTATATTATAGTAGAATAAGATTTTTTTTAATGGGTTAGAGTACAAAGAACCCTTTTTATTGTGTACTTCTGTTTCTGGAACAGTGCTTTAGATATCCTTGAAGAAATTAACCTGTCCATTGGGCGCAAAAACAACTTCAGTGATGCAGCTTTGGATAAAATACTTGATCACAACCTTCCACAGAAATATAGCCAAATGGGTTTTTTAACATCCAGCAACATAATAACAGATGGGTTCTATGACTTTGGACAGGTAAGTTTACTTTAAGTATGTTAAAATCTTCAGAGGGCTACTGCCCGTCTTCTTGCTCTATTTATAAACCCTGTGTATGAATAATGCCCCAAATAATTTGCGAGCTAAGACTTCGCATACATGAAACAACCCATCATACTTCCATTAGCTGATGGGCTGGCAAGTTCCAATGCAGTGAGGCATAAAAAATGACAACTACCCAGCTTCAATTGCAGCCAATTGCAGCTCAAATGGCAGCACAGGGTGTAGGGAGGGGATGCATGAGGCAGTCAGTCTTGGTTGGCAGTATGCTGAGAAACACCCACTCCAGGGCTGATACGCATTCTAGTTCTGACCTTGGTGGGCCTTTGGATTCTATTAAAATATAAATTAGAGCTTACAAACCCTAAAGTCCGCTATGCCTGCTCCAGTCAGGGTCGTACCTAGGGGTTTGTTAGGTTGGCCCCCTCTGACTTGGAGTGGCTAGGAGCCCGTCTGTCTGCACACTCCCTGAGCCAATCCTCTGCTGCTTTGAGGGGCAGCCGGGCAAGATTTACCGTTTTGGTGGCTCACCTAGAGACAGTCAAGTTTCCTTGAAACCTACATTGACTTACATCTTGTGCTTCATTCTAATCTTCCTACATAGGTAAAACCAGGTGTAAAACTACTGTCACTGGAAGAACTCAGTGCTCAGCAGCTTAATGATCGCCGTGCTATAATCTTAGTAAATTCTAAAACACCAGAACTGTGAGTCTGTTAAACACTACTCTGACCTGTATTGCATAGTACATGAGATTGAGGACTCTGCAAAAAAGATTTCTGGGAGATGTTTGCGGGGGGTGGGGTTGTAGGGAGGGGAAATCAGCAAACATCTCCTTCCTTCCTCTTCCATTAGCAAACCTATCTAGATCAAGAGCCTTTGCACTCACAGAAGGCTACCAACTATCTACAATTTGTGGATAATTTTGTTTTTATCACTTTTAATTATGCTAGGAATTTAGGAAGCTGTCACATCACATTTTAGTCAAAGCGTTGTTGTGCATTGGGTTTTTTTAAAACAACTTTCTCAACACCTGCAGTTTAAGTTGAAGCCATCTTGCAAACAAAAGAAAACATCCAAGGAAAGACTGAAAACAGGAATACATAGAAGTGGAAAAGATAAGAAAGAAAACACACAACCCAAAAAGGAAAAAAAGTGAATAGAATGGCAGGGATACTGTCTAAAAGACCATGAAAAGAAAGGAATGCCTCTAGTTGCATCCCTCTTTGAAGGTTACACACATCCTCAGTCCAGTCCCATGTACTTCAACAGGCTTTTTCCTGCTGACACCCCACCTAGACTATTCTTAGGATAGGGGTTTGCTAGCCTGTGTGCTGGAGCTGACTGCCAAGAATATTTTTGTAACCCCCAATAATTTTTCTTTTAAAAACAAAACAAAAAATCTCTTCTCTTGAGGGGTCCCCCAGGTGACACCCCCGCATTTGTTCAGCAACCCAAAAATTGGGTGCCTCTAACTTGATTTACTTTGAAAGATGCTTCTTCTCCTTCTATCTCAGCACCACTCCCTCTTTCCTGTGCTCTGGGGCCTTCTTGAAACAGCAACTGTTGCAAATAGGACTTAGAGCTCAGGAAGGAATACGCCTTCATTTTTCGTGACCACTTACTTCTCCTCTCCCCACCCAGACACCAGCTGGTGCCAGTAGCCAAGTCCCCTCCATGGCAGGGGCTCATGGGGTGCTAGCGCTAGGCTGAGGACGCAGAGGGGAGGGGAGGAAGGAGGGTGCCCCGGGACAGAGGGCGGCGTCTTACATGTGCTCTCACATGACAGTGATGGAGCAGGCTGGGGAGGATCAGCATAATCCATTTTTTGGGCAGGGCTCCCCAAAATATTTTGGGGGAGGCTGAAAGGATCTGGGCTCCTTAGAATTGGCACTTTGAAGGGGGCCATCTAAATGTAGTGTGCATACTTGACTGCCTATCTGTGAGATGTGTGTGTGGTCTGTACATGTGCTGTAAATATGGCGAGGGTTTGTGTGCACATGCACATCTGTGTAAAGGAGTGGCTGTTGACCATTTTGGCCAAATCTACAGCAGGAGTGTGGCCCATTGATTGAAAAAGGATAGGCATCCCTGTCTTCAGGCATGCTCCTTTGCTCCCCGTGTGATATGTACTTCTACTTTTTTGTACAGATTACATTTTATTCTGTTATGTGGGCAAAATACTTATTTGTCTGATATTATGGTGTGCAGCAACAGCATAGCATCCTTTATTGTTCCAGTGAACTCACAGCTCCTCCTGTTGCAACAGATGAAAAATCACCACAAGATTTTCTTAGCAGCCGAGTTACAACCTCCAGCAGTAGTACTAACAGAAAAATTAGTAGAGAAAGAGCTAGGTATGTATTTGAGCTTTGGAATCACAGTTTCCCTCTGGGTGTAATTCTAAACTTGATGAAAACTGTTCTGAATTAGGTGAAAATGAGTATGTTTAGACCAACCAAATATGCATCTCCCTGGTCAGCATTTGAAACCAGAATGAGGAAGTAAAATTTGAAAATTCATTCAATTCATTCATTCATTGCATTTATATACCACCTTCCTGCCAAGGCATGCAGGGCAGTCTGCAGTTTTAAAGGACTGAAACTAATCATACAATATCTAAACACCATTTATCCAAAATCTGTGCTAAGCAGAGGAAACCCTTATAAATTGCATGCAACAGTATAAGCGAGATCTACCAACCCAAATGTAATAAGGACAAAATATATATGACATCCAACCCCCCAGTAAATATTTCACAATCCCTGTGGCTCCCTTCATGCATTCTTGATTCCGCAGATACAGTCCTTCTGATTTCCCGCATCTAATGTAATCGCTTAAGACAACTGCACAACATGATTTATATACAATAATACACATTATAATGAAAGAAGTGTGAAATAACAATGCCATCAACAGTCATGTATATTTTCCCCAATGCAGATCTGCATTCAAGCATGAAAAACTTTATCTCTGTTCCTTGTTGCCAGTAACATCTGGTTTTGATTGCTACTGACTATATGCTTTTCTCTGGTGTAAAAAGCCAGTCTTCTAATTTTTATATTTGGTTTAAAATGTCCAGTGAATTATTAGGGTTGGATCCAATCTAAGGTCACAATCCCAGATCTGTGGCTTTCTAGATAACAATGGACTCCAACTCCCATTAGCCGTAGCAAGCATGGTCAACGGTTAGGGATGATGGAAGTTGTAGGTCACCAACCCTAGAAGGGCCACAGGTTCCATACTCTCTTACCTGGAAATAAATCCCATTGAACTTAGTGAAGTTTACTACTGAGCAGACATGTATAATGTTGCACTGTTTTTGTATAATGTTGCAATGTGATAGCTCCCATTTAAATCAATGAACTTGTTCATCATTAATAACTTTTTATACTGATTTCAGTAGGACCTAAGTGCAACTAAATTAGTCTGGTTCCAGTTCATTGTAAATAAGTATTTATTCTGCTATTGTAATTGGTAATAAGTTAATGCTTTTTCTGTTTTTGTTTATTTGCTTGCTTGCTTCCTTGCTTGGTATTTAAGAAATGGGGGGGGGGGGATAAGGTTAAATGCAGGGAAGAAGCATTTTATTAACCAGCATGCTAATTTATCAGCAGCTAGCCACCTTGAATGCATTCCTTATGAAGGTGCTACCAGTAGCAGAGCCTCATGCTCCAGCACCGGGGGGCGGGGCAGACTGCCCCTGGTGAGCAGGCGGGGACGGGGCTGCCGTGCGTCCCAGGGGTATGGCTTGCATCCTGGGGGAGTGGCGCGCTGCCTGTGGGGGCGTGGCGCCCAGCGCAGGCAGGGAACAGCCGCGATGGCACCCCACTGGGATCGCGCTGCGGGGGGGTGCACTCCCCCCACCCCCTTTCCTCCACCAGTGGGCGCTACTCTCCATTTTCAGTCTCTTTGTTAGTATTAGTGTTAGTGTTCCACAATGAACCATATACTTTTTATTTTGCCTTTGGTTTTGTCTGAGGATAACCTGGAGGTTTTTAACATCACTGCCACTGCCACTGCCCTCTATGCAATGTGTGCACAACACCCTAAGAATGCCTATGCCTTGTACAAGTCAAGGAGAAATGGGAAATTACTTTGTAATTTCTATAGCTCAATCGAGGAGAAGGAGAAGCCAGAATCTCCAGGACGGTCTTTTTCGGTCAGTAAAGGAGGTGGTAGAGAGAAAGGATCGAGGTACTTTTATTCTTATTAAGAGCTTCTTCTTATTCTTATTAAGTATAGAAGCTTGAGACTATAATTATTGTTGCAATTATTATTATTATTACTATTATTATTATTATTATTACTATTATTATTACTATTACTACTATTTAGTTATCCTACAGCACAATCCATATACATGGTGCTTTATAAAGATTATACCCCAAGGGGCTTCCAATCTAAAAAAAGACAAAGGGAAGGGGAGAGAAATGGAGCCAAGGGATAAGCACGGGTAAAATATATGATTACACATAATAAAAACAAGTTTCTACAACCACTCAGAAATCCAGGCAGTTGTTTCAGATTCTTCCAAATACATATTCCATATGTACTAATTTTGTTTTTATTCTAAGATACCATATTGGTTGATTTTAGCACATGTTAGACTGGCAGGGTGGGCTAACAGCACTGTATAAAAAGCCTTTGCTGTCTATGTCCCTAGCACTTGAGGTCATGGTGTATCCTTTACTGGGGATCGCAGTTGCATAGAAAGCAGAGCATTCCCAAAGTTTATATAGGATTAAGTCCTCATTTTAGCTAGAAGTAGGTAATCCTCCCCAAGCAAGATTCAGACACTAACAGTGCAATCCTATTGATGACCACTCAGAGAAGTAAGTTAACAAAATGTCAATGACACTTGCTATCAAGTAAGCGTGTCTAGGGTTGCAGCATAAATCTAGGAGGAAGGATGAATGCAGGCTGTGCAGAGAAACAGATCTATGTTTGTGTTTGGTGGCTTTAGAGTAGCTTTCTTTGTGTCAACCCAGCAAAACAGCTTTATTGATTTTTTTGTTGTTGTTCCACTGCTGTTTGATTTGTTTTTATTTTAGGTTGCTTTGGGTTTTTTGCTTCCTTTTAAGTTTCCTGCTTTTTAAAAGGAAAGCCGTTGGATTCATGGAAGTATTGTTTTTAAAACATCAATGTCTATACAGGACCCAATTCAGCTCCTTTATAGTTATGCTTATGCAGCTGACTCCACCAGTTAAAACCTCATATTCTAATTTCCAAAATGTTAGCATTTCCCAACAGGCAGGGTATCCATCACAAATGAATTTTGGTCAAATTCTGGGTCAGATGTGAAGGCTGCTTCCACAATGGACACGATGCACACATTTCGTCCCCAGTGTGATCTTTCGGAAATGTATGAAAGTGGTTGAACAGAGTGTGTAACAGCTGTTTTGAATTATGATACCGATAATACAGCTATCACAGGAGCAATTCACACAGTATTTCTCCCGATTATTGAGGTCCCACATTTTCCACTCGTCTGTCAACAATATATGCAGATGGTTAAAACCATACCTGGCCACACTTGTGCTCATGATCACACAGAATAACAAACATGTGACTCATAGGATAAATGGAAACAGCTGGCAGCAATTTTTGTTAATTTGGTTACAGTTTTTCCGGGTCCCTTTAATCCCAGGAACTGCAGTTAGTGGCTCTATCCACCTATCACCCAGCTAACAGAGATCTTTCCGCATCTTGTTCTAAAGATGGCTTGAGACTACTTGCATATTTGGTGGGTTCATGTTTGCTAGTTTCTGCAAACAGACTCTTTAATTCTTTAATTTTTAACAGATGCCTTTTCTACCCACAGGCCTTCAAAGCAGCTAACAAATTGTTTAAAACCCATAAAAATACACAGCAGTAAATTAATTAAATTAATAAACCGAATACAGCAGCCCATCAAATATAAAAAGACAGTAGCAAGTAAAAATAAACTATCAAAGCCAGAGCTCAGATGAAATAAAATATTGTCTTAAGTCTGCCTTAAAGCATCCTGGATTATTTAAGCAAAAAGGCTAACACTAGCTGATCTCAGCTTCCCTTTTAAGCCGCAAAGGGAAGGCATTCTTCTGAACTCACAAATGTGAGAAAGAAAGGATAATATCTAATAAAGATATTCTCCTAGCATCTAATCACATACGAACAGTAACTGCATGCTGGAAAGCCTGTTTTGTGGAGGTAATGCAAACCTCAGGTGACAAGGATTTCCACAGTCTTGGTGTCTCTGGTGACATGATACTGCCCTGTGCTAGTGCCATCCTAGTACCGTCAGTAGTAGGATGCAAAATAGGGCCCTATCTATACTTAGAAAGTAGACAGGTTCATATGGGAAAAGGCCAATCAAGAAAATAACATAGGATCTTAGCCGTTTTGCGGTGGTGGTGGTGGTGGAATGGCTTTCTAGAAAAGGGCGATGGTGGGGGGCCTAGGTAAAGGTAAAGGGACCCCTGACTGTTAGGTCCAGTCATGGCCGACTCTGGGGTTGCGGCGCTCATCTCACTTTATTGGCCGAGGGAGCTTCCGGGTCATGTGGCCAACATGACTAAGGCGCTTCTGGCGAACCAGAGCAGCGCATGGAAACGCCGTTTACCTTCCCGCCAGAGTGGTACCTATTTATCTACTTGTACTTTGACGTGCTTTCGAACTGCTAGGTTGGCAGGAGCTGGGACCAAACAACGGGAGCTCACCCCGTTGCGGGGATTCGAACCGCCGACCTTCTGATTGGCATGCCCTAGGCTCTATGGTTTAGACCACAGCGCCACCTGCGTCCCCAGGGGCCTTTGTGGGAGCACACAAAAAGGCACGTCCATTTGAACATAAGGCTAGGTGTTGTGTCATTGGAAAGAGGCAGGGAATTCTAATCTAATGGTGATTAAAGCATCTTGGGGAGAGAGAGAATATCTCTTTCTTTCCTCTAAGCTGACATACCTATTTACTTTCACTTAAATCAGAGCATGTGGGAAGCATTCCTAATACCCCTGTGCTTTTTGCAAAAGAAAAGGGAAAGGGAAAAAGGAAGAAGAAAAACCCAAAGAAGAAGAACCGGAGCCAGTGATGCCTAAAATAGTCGAAGAAGTTCCTCTAAAGGCCTTATGGTATCCCCCTGTTGATTCCATCTTGGTGGATTACATTACTGAGGTTTCCAAAACAATTCTCCCACTACCAACCACGAAAGAACAGGTTGTAGCCCTTGCGCAGTGAGTACCAGGACAATGTCTTTTCTGTGAATTCAAAGTAAATATTTTAAGGGATTGATTTAGAAATCTACTGAATATAGTCCCCATTTTGACCTCCTTTCCTTTACCAACCCTTCAGAGAGTTCGTCTCTGTTTATTCAGTATTGTGGGTCCTTTTGGTCACACATTGTCTGCAGAACAGACTTAAACAGCTTTCAATTTCATGTAATTGAAAGGTAAAATAGGACTGACAAATAATAAAAGGAATAGTCTTTTAAAAGCCTAAACAATACAAAGGTGCTTTTTTTAAAAAAAAGTTCCAACATTCAGGAAGGGTTTTAAAGGTTGAAAATACAAATGTATTTTTATGGCTTTCCTGGAAATTGACACAGCCCAAAATTGACACAGCTGAGGGAGTTTCAACACTGAGGCATCACTTCATGAAAGACTGAACTCCTTGTAGTGCCAGTTAATCTCCAGTTGTGACAGCTTGTGGAGCAAGAACTTTCCCAGAGCTTCTGAGGTAGCAAGCTGGTTTATATGGGAACAGATACCCTTATTTATATCTGTACTGTAGATGATTTTTTCTTCCTCATACTTATTTTTTATTATTTAAAAGGATCTAAGCGCTGTAGGAAAAAAGATCAGCTCCTACTCACAAGCCTTGAGAGATCACGTAGAGTCAGCAAAGCAGATAAGAACTGGAAGGGGAATGTGTGCATCTTTGAAAGTTATTGAGATGGATAATGTAATATAACATATTTAAACACCAGTTAACAGTGCTAGTATTAAACCTGATTAAATATTGTGACAATTGTTAATGTAAGTCACTATTGGATTTTAAAACAGGTTTGTTGCAGAAAAGATGGGCGGTCCAATCGAAACAGACAAATTGCATGAATTCAGCTGGGAACTTCATATAAGTGAAATTGAATATGAACTGAAATGCAATGTTGTGCCTATTGGGAAGATCAACAAAGGAACCTTCTACCATAGGGCCTTGCTTTTCAAGGTAAAGTCAATTACTCAGCCAGATACAAGTTTCATTTTAATAGCACACAGCATATGCTAATGTATATCAACTTCAATGTATCCTTGCTGTAGTGTTATTCAAACCTTATTTATTTGTGTACTTAAGTCATTTTGTGTTTGGTTAGTATTGATTTCTCATCAAGCAAAGACACACAGTCCTATTCTGTAAACACCATTTAAAATCATTGGGAGAGAAGTGTGAGTGATGTTAATACATTGCTTTATTAAAAGCAAAATAATACAAATGACCATGTTGATGACTGGTGCAGTGCTGTGAGTTATCATCTCAGCTATATATTACTGCAATATGTTATATGTAGGGCTGCCTCTGAAGATAGTTCGGAATTCAGCAGCCAGGTTGCTCACTGGGGCAAGGTTTGAGCATATAATGCCAATTTTGGCCCAACCACATTGGCTGCAGTCAATTAGTTTCTGTCTGGGCCCAAGTCAAATTGCTGCTTTTCACCTATAAAGCCTTAAATGGCTCAGGACTGCAATACCTCAAGGACCACCTCTCCCCATATGAACTGACCTAGATGTACCCTGCAATCATCATCTGAGGCCCTTCTTTATGTGCCACCTCTATGATAGGTCCAGAGGGTGGCAACAAAAGAACAGGCCTTTTCTGTGGTGGCTCGCTGTTTGTGGAATACTTTCCCGAGGGAGGCTCACCTGGCACATTCATTATATATCTTTAGGCACCAGGCAAAAACATTTTTCTTTGGCCAGGCCTCTGGCTAATTAAACAATCTATGGCCTTTTAGGCTGTGGAAGGTTATTGTTTTGTTTGTAATTATGTTAAGTATTTCTGTGTTTTTATACTGTAAACCGCCCTGTGATCCTGGGATGAAAGGTGGTATGGTATATTATTGTTGTTGTTGTTGTTGTTGTTGTTGTTGTTGTTATTTCACTGATAAGCTAGACACTATTTCTTGCCTTTATACCCCTCTTTGCAGCATGGACATAACAGTACAAACCTACCTTACTGGGTTATTGTGAGGGTAGTTTCTGTGAAGTATTTTGAGCATTTAGGAAAAGCACAAGATAAATATTAAATATTTAAAAGGCTATTTTTCCTCCAAGGGATAATTCTCTCTAACAGCAAACTTAATGGTCTTGTGCTTGGGCAGTGAAATGGCAACTCCCACAGGCAAACACAATACAGTATTGAATGATTTCTATTCAGGATGGAAAATGCATGGTACAATCTTTCTGCTCAATCATTTTCCTCCTGCTTATTTTCCTCTTCTCTCCATGTACAGTTTCCCTTTTGTAGCATGTCTTTCAAATGGTAAAGCACTATTTTAAACTGCAAGCCCTTCAGTGCAGTGACCAAAAAGCAGTATGTCAATGTAATAAAAATAAAGTAAAATATATCTCTCATCTGGTTACTTCCTCCCATAGGTTCTAGCAGACAGAATTGGTGTTAGCTGCAGCTTAGTCCGTGGAGAGTACACCAGAGCATGGAATGAAGTGAAATTGGTTGATGATTCTCCCTTGGGAATACCTGGACTTCTGCTTCCCCCTCAAGTATATATTGTAGATCTCATGTACCAGCCAGGCAATCTAATGAAAGAAGGCAGTCCAGAGGCAGATCGCTATGGACGTATTTAATTATATTTCCAGAGCTCTTTGAAACCAAAAGCTGCTTGTTCGTAAAGCTAATTAACACAGAGAGGTTTGTAGGGCTCATTTTCAAAGATGGGCTGGGTGCCAGCTGCAGCACCTTTACATGTACTGATGAATCTAGATAGGCGAGCTGGGTCTTTTGTTTTACTACATGGAGATTCTGTCTTAAAAAAATATTTGGGGAGCGCACAGAATTTCAGTAGAAGTTTTGCTTATATTTTAATCATATTTTATTTATATTAGTCTTTTGGAATAAAATGCAGATACCAGAAATTTGAAGTGGGGGCTTTATTCTTTATAGGTTACGTTTTAAAATTTTACAGCTCACAAGGACATTTGCTGTCACTTTTCCATTTGAATGTGGGCAGCACAGCAGTTCCTGTATGACATCTTATTTTTGCCATGTATTCGTGGGGGAGAAAGCTATCCGTTGCTACTAGCCATAATGGCTATGCTCTTACCTCCACAGTCGGAGGCAGAAATGCTTCTGAGTACTAGTTTCTGGAAACCACAAGAGAGGAGGGTGCTCTTGTGCGCATGTTCTACTCCCTGGTTTCCCACAGGCATCTAGTTTGCCACTGTGAGAACAGGATGCTGGACAAGATGGGCCATTGGCATGATTCAACAGACTATTCTTATACAGTCATACCGCGGGTTAAAGTGGCTTCAGGTTGAGTGTTTTTGGGTTGTGTTACGCGGCGACCCAGAAGTAACAGAATGCGTTACTTCTGGGTTTCGCCGCTCGTGCATGCGCAGATGCTCAAAATTACGTCACGCGCATGCGCAGAAGCAGCAAATCGCAACCCACGCAGACGTGGGTTGCATTCTCTTCAGGTTGCGAACGGGGCTCCGGAACGGATCCCATTCACATCCAGAGGTAGCACTGTATATTAATATACCTGTTCTCTTTCCATTTTTTTTTTTTGCAATTTCCATCAACGATAATGACATAAAACTGAAGTATAATAAATAAATAGACAATCCTAGAGCCAAACTAGATGTGATGGGGCAGCCGTGAGTGTTCACATGTCTTCCCTGTTCATGTGTAAAAGGGAGAGCCTATGGAGCATGCAAGGCATAGAAGTGAAACTATCCCCACACATCCGTTTTAGTCAGCTGTGTTCTGCTGCTTGATGTACTTTTATCCCAGCATAGTTCCGGTAATGCAAGTTAGCTAACTGGGGCAGGGGGATGGTAGAGCCCAGTTAAGTATAGGAGGGGAGGGTTTGCTCCCCCACCCTGTGCTTTTTTTCATATTTTAACAAATAGACCCACACTCATACCATTTTATATGTGAATGGGGCAGACAAATTCATAAAATAAGCATGGCTGCCCCAACACATGAACCTTGGCTGTATCTTGGCATCCAGCAGCACCCTTAAATCTGCTTATAACCCTAAAGCAGGGACAGTGTGAATAGTGCCTAATAGATAGTTCACACCAAACTATCAGTTCAGAAACTCCATCTTTAGCTCGGAGTGGGGTAGATCCATGGGCGTAAAAACTGGTTTGACTGCATGGATTTTGGTCACTAGCTCTAGGGATGGGGGGACAAATTTGATTCAGTTCACATTTGTAGGGGCACCTACCTAATTTGCACTTTCTAAAACAATGTGTGAACTGAAACATAGCCATCCTTTGAAATTAGCAATGTAACGTTGCTAATTTCAATGCATATACCAAGTAAAGTGTGCATAAAAATGCATATTGGTAAAAATAACATACAAAAATGTGTTATCTTTGGGTAAATTGTATGCAAATATGTATATCAGAAGAAATTCACACTGCTGCTGATTTTTTTTATAAGGACTTGTTTTCTAAAAATTCACAAACTGATGTGGAAATGTGAAGAAGTTAACTTTAAGAGTGGAAGAACAAGAAACCAAAGTTGAGATTCACCCATCCCTACTGGCTGTTATGGATAATATTCACCCAACCACATAGCACAAAACAAATCAATCATTTTTTCCTTGCTTTATTTTATTTATTTTATCTTATTTATATTCCGCCCCATGCCAAGGTCTCAGAGTGGCTAACACGAGTAAACATGTGCAGAGGACCTGCTAGTCTGTGGATGATTCTGTGCACTGAGGTTCTCACTTCCCCTGGAAGACACCTACACTTGGGCTTTGGGAAATCTGTAGTACTGGGGTGGGGAACCTAATTTCATGCAACACAGAGAGATTGACTGGCATAGGGAGAGGGAGAGAGAGAGAGAGAGAGAGAGAGAGAGAGAGAGAGTCCTGCAGTACTACAACCTCCACCCACCACTTGCTCTGGCTCAGAAATAGCCCCTGGTTGTCTGTAAGTCAACGGGACCTCATAATGGAAAACCAAATACCCCACCCATGCTGTAAGGGATGGCATTTACTGGACCTGCTGAGTGACATCTTAGGAGCAGGAGGAGATCCTTGGCTTACACTTAAGCACTTACATCCCCAGGGTATTGCTTAAAAAGTGGTCAGGGCAAATATAACACTTAAGAGGGGAGAAGAAAGAAATAGAGGGAATGAATGAACAGTGGCTGGCCCAATCCTCTTGTGGCTAAGACAAATTGTGGAACCAGGATTTTTCCAACCCACTCTTAGACACGTTGATAAAATTCACCCTTCATGAAATGAGTGTTTACTCCCTAAGCTTTACTTCTCCAGATGTATCAACGTTCTCAATAATGGAATCTCAAGAGAGAGTCAGGACAAGCAGTTGGATTAAAAATTCATGAGAGTCTTAATCAACCCACAGAACTGAGAAAAAAAATATTGAAATGTAAATGGGAATCTCATATCCTTTCTAAAATACTGCAATCTCTATTTGATCAAATATTGTCAGTTCAAAGTGATTTGAAAATGGGGCTTTAAAATATCACTGTGTGCTTGAGCCATAAATACTCCTTGCATTTTTGTGCTCCCCCTTCCCAATCTGTCCTCCTGGGAAAAAGACCCAGGAGGAGGAAAGAAAAAATGTTGCGTTAATGAAAGAGCTTGAACTCCACTAATAAATCAGCAACAACATAATCTTGTGTATGTTTTAATTAATCAGATATGTCATTTTTGGATGGATGACACCCCAGAAGACTGGGTGATTTGAGGAAAAGCATTCCTTTGGTGTGCATCCCATCCCTGCCCTGTTAGGAAGATCTTGATTTTTTAAAAGTCATTTACGCCTGATTGGTGCATGAAACATAACATACGCTTGCCATTAAATCATTTATATTTTACTTTCTTTATGATGCCTTTGTGAATTACCTCTTTCTGCATTTGTAATTAGAGGATGTAACAGATGGCCTGGGCTTAGTTCAGGGTGATAAATCCACTAAAATAACCTACAGGAAGCCACTGTGGACAAATGATTCTTTGTCCACTGTGGTGTTCAAGATCTGTGCTACTCAAGACGTTTTGGCTAGGAAGGATGATTATAAAATAGTCTGGCACAGAGATTGGACAAATCAACAGACAAGCGGGGGTGGGGGGCAAAGATACACATACAGCAGCATAGTTGATGGGTGGATGGCATTTTTAAGGTTTTGATTAAATGAACATTGTTTTTTATTTCTGTGGATACTTGTTTTTAGAGATGTTTAACTTAGTAAATAAATACACATATTAAATTTTGCAAAGCTAAAATATGGATAGATAAGCCATTCATTTTATGGGGGAAAATGAAAATAATATTCACAACACAATGGAAAAATAAATGTAAGTAGAAGAAGCTGCAATATGGTAGAGGGAAGTCACAGGGGTAGGAAAAAATACGATATTGAAAATGGTTATAACTTGAATGTAATGTAAAGATTGTTAAAAATGTGTAACTGAATGAAAACTAAATAAAAATGTAATTTAAATAAATAAATAAATAAATAGTGCTAATCTACATAAAGTTAGGCTTTATGCTGGAATGACAGCACTTCCATGACAGGGTGTGTGGGTGTGGGTGAAGACAGAGAGACAGAGCCTGTTGGATAATGGAAATATAGAAAACCAATGCCGTCTAGATGCATTATTGAGATAAATGTGCCTGAGAAGATTTGTCAGGTATAAATATGAGCGAAGGCCTCAGAATGTCCTTGCATACATACTTAGGCTTCCTGCTGATTTCCTGTAGCTTAAGCTTCGTATTCACCACACTTAACAAATCAAAATTACACACAGACATATTCAAAGTTCTGCTCCAAGCTGAACTGCTCCAAGCTCCAAACAACATAAGCATGTGAATAACCCTAGGCACATATATAAATTAGTTTTGGCTAGTCATAGAGAGCAGCAAAGAACTATGCATTGTCACCCATCCACTGCCCATTGAGAATCCTACTCAGCTGCCTCCTCCTACCTCTCCTTCAATATGGGGTAATGGTGGGGGAAGGCTGAACATTTTCATTCTGTCTTCACAGATATAAGGACTGGAATATTAATTTTTGTTTTTTAGAAAGAGTAAGTGTGTGATTCTTAAGATACTGAATTCTGTGCTCCAAACCTGTTTCTTCTGTGCTTTCATACTGTGATTACACAGCCCTGCCTATAGTGGATTTATATGGAAAACAAGCGGATTTCTGTCATTTCAATTGTTAGCTGGGGTTTCATGTACCTCTGTTGGTGGGCAGAGTAGCTCAGCATGAAGCAGGAAATGTCTGAGCAGGGAGATGGCTTCCAGCCAATTGACCAGAGGTCTCAGCAAGTACTCTGTGCTTCTGGACTAGTTCATTCCTAACACCTGTTTCCTGTCATGTTCTAATCCAGGCCCAGCTTTGCCACTGGCGCTCATCTCTTTGAACTCGCATCCACCTGGCATGAAGCCACTTCCCATTTGCCAATCACATATCAGGTTCTCTCTCCTATATTCCACAGTGATCACCCTCAGTATTGTATCCCCTGATTTATTTTCTTTTATTTAAACTGGTCTCCTGTTCTGTCTTGTAACTGGTACAAACATAAAGAAAGGATGAAGAGCAGGGGGAGAGAAGCCTACCTCCCTGTAAACATAATGCCTATTTGCCATGAATTACTACAAGCATTTGCAGAAGTGGAATTCTTACATATCAGGTATGAACTGTAAAGCCCTCTGTATATGTAAAACCTCTATACAAAGTAATGTAATAATGGGCTGGCAATATGTTTCTGGGAGTCTCCAGGGAAATCAAGGGCAGTTTCTGCTCCTCACCACCACCTACAATTCAAGAGACTTGTTTAATGATCAGCAAAAGCATACCACTTACTTCTGAGCTCCTGGATTCATTTGCCCTACCAGTCTCCAAAGTTCTGGAAGAGCAGCAGAGAGGATGGGTAAGATCTCAGCAAGTTGAAGATTCAGTTCAAAGAGAAATCCTTAATAAAATTGTGGTCCCTAGGCAACTGCCTGAATTTGCGAGATGCTGGCATACCTAGGAAAGAGAAGTAATATTGAAGGAAAATCAAAAAGTATTTACTGCAAACTTCGAAATCTTTGTTTATAACCCCTAAAAGTATAGCTTGTAATGGGGGTGATGCCTTTCTGTGTGTGACTCACCCATCCGGACAAAAGATGCAACTCAGCATCTGCTTACATAAATGTGTGTGATGACCAGGTTGCCCTTCAAACCTGTCAGCCAGGCTGTGCCAAGATGCAGTTAAATCAAGAAAAATATAATCGCCACATGGAGGGGACTCTCACTAGCTGCCACCTACTCTTTCAAACACCCACCCACACACATGCTGTTTTTCCTGCTGCTTTCCAGAAGACAGAATCCTGAAAAAAAAACACTCCCCAGCCCCAATAGTTAGCAAGATGATATAATATACTTCAGACAAACTGAGATAGACTGTGGTAACAACTGGATTCTATGTTTTAAAATATGAGGAATCTATCATTGTATGTTTCTTCCCTGCAGCGCTAGGTGAATGTGAAATCTGCATAGCACCTAATATTGCCTCACTTGAATGTCTGCTATCTCCTCCTACATTCCATATACAAACCATCAGCTAATGTTTCTCCTCTCCACACTCTGTTTATCATTTAGCTTGATGAAGAGATCTAGAGAAGTTGAAAGCTTGCACATTATTTTTGTTAACATAATGTTGTCCTAATAGGAATTTTAGACCCCCCAATTATCTGGGTTGCATTCCTGAAGGTTTATAGCACAGTTAACAGTAAAATATTTGGCATGTCTGCTCAGAGGTAAGCCCATTTGATTTCAGTGGTACTTATTCACAGGAAAGCCACAGCCTGACCTAAGGTGAATCACAGCAACAATACTACAGTCTTACAAATATATCAAAATGAAAAAGTGGATCCCCAAATGCAAATTTGGGCTTGGATCCTTAATATGAAAAGATTGGTTACTATTGATCTAGAACAGCCAATGTGATGCCTTCTAGATATTACTAGACAATAGCATCCATCATCCTTATTGGTCAGGCTGGTTGAGCTTACTGAAGCTGTTGTCCAGCAAAAACTGGAGGGCACCATGTTGGCTACACCTAATCTAGAACAACCTACCAAGGGAAGTCCCCCTGGTCCTCATTGTTTTTAGCTGCTGCTGTCTGGTGACTTAGCTAATTAGTCACAGAGAGACCCTTGAAAGCTACTGGTGTATTGCATTCTGCTCTGTGTTACTGGCTTTGAGGTGTTTTATTACTCTATTTATACTTTTGAACTTGATTTTAATCTATAAACACACAAACTCTGATCCAATGCACCTATTATTGGAACATGAAGACCATGTCAAAATTAATAGACAATCCCATTTTCTTACACATATGTGGCAATATTTCTAAAATGCTGGCTGGCATCAAACCTGTCACTTTTGTTCCGTGTTCCATTTCGTGTTTTGTTGAATCAGTGTCTCTCCAGTAACTGCTAGAAGTGGAGCATAGATTCATTCCACCCCCTGCTACATACTGTAAAATCATTACACCCATATAATTAACAGCATGCTCCCTCTGAGTGCTGAAGCGAACTGATCTAATCATTAATTAAACTTTGTGCTGGGCCTCTTTCACTGCAGTTTTCATGAACTTTGACTCAAGATTAGATAGCAATTGATGGGCCTTATAATTTGATCTCCTAAGTGCCCTCAACTTCCACTGAACTTAGCACCTACTCCTAGTGTGCAAGTGATTTATGTCAAGTGCAAATGGTGCAGTAGAAATAGGTTAAATTGCTCCAAGAGAAGATGTAGATTTGGTCAGGACAATAGCTATCTTCATAATTCACTTCTCAGCTAAAATATAGTTATCCTCTCTATAAAATATGTAAGTATTAATATTGATTCCCATTATACTTTGTAATACACATTGGCTGTCTGCTAAAAAAAGTTTGATTGGAAAGTCAATATCTGAAATATTGAAATCTTTGGAAAGCCAGTTATGGAGCTTTGGCTGGGTGGGGGCAAAATGTTTTATAGCTGATAGCATTTATAGGATGAGGTCTTCATGGGCTAGTGGTAAACAAGTTTTGCATGCAAACTGTTGCAGGTTGAATACCTGGTATCTCTAATTAAATGATCTCAGAACCAAGTTACCAGTGATGGGAGGGATCCATGATCAGAATATCCTGTCTCCCCTGCCCTCCTCAAAGTTGTGTAGGGTTTGCACATTTGATAAGGAAAGCTGCACAGGGTGTTTAAGCATTTAAAGTCCAAAGAACCGATGCAAACTCTACATTTCAATTTTTTTATTGCTTTCCAAAGAGCCATAAAATTTAGTTTTGTTATCAAGAGGGCAGGTCAAAGGTAGAAGAAGCAACAGGGCAGGAGGCATCTCTCTCAGACCTGATCCTTACCAAGAGGGAGAAACTGATCAACAAAGTGAAAGTACAGGGAACCTTGGGAGGAAGTGAACATGTCCTCTTGGGTTTCATTACACACAGGCAAAGGAAAGCTGAATGTAGTCGGATGTGCACTCTTGACTTTAAGAAGGCTGATTTCAAAAAGCTTAAGGAACTACTGAGTGAAATCCCATGGTCAGAAAAACTCAAAAGAGAAGGGAGTGCAAGATGGATGGGAGTCATAGCTGTCAACGTTTCCGTTTTTTTAAGGGAAATTCCCTTATCCTGAATAGGATTCCTCGCAAGAAAAGAGGAAAGTTGACAGCTATGATGGGAGAGTCTTTAAGTTGAAATATTGAAGGCACAACGGCAGACAATTCCAACAAGAAAAGTGGGAAGCACTTAAAGAAACCGGTGTGGCTGCCTATGGAGCTTACAGATGAGCTGAGATGTAAGAAGGGCATGTATAAGAAATGGAACCTTCTGACATTGGAACTCCCACGAGAGGTGATGCACTCTCCTTGCTTGGAGGGTTTTAAGCTGAGGTTGAAGATGTCATGTATGATCTAGTTGAAATTCCTGCCTTGCAGGGGATTGGACTAGATCGTCCTCAACATCCCTTCCAACTCTACAATACTATGAAACCCTCAAACTAAATCAGGGTCGGGAACATACACATTGCTGGACTGCAGTCATCAAATCCCCCCCCCCCCATCTTAACATATGTGACACAACTTGCCCACCTAGAAATATACTTTCCCCCTTCTGTGCCCCCGGGGTTTTCCTTCTGGTGCCACCAAGAGTCAGGAAGGAAGTGTGTTGCTTCTACGCTTCATCCTCATCTCTGCCTTGCGGGGTTCCTTTTGCTGGGAACGGTATGAAGAGTGGGACCGGCCCCACCATTAGAGTGAAACCATTGCCTCAGGCGGATGATTTGGGGCCTCACAAAAGGTCATCCAAATGGTTCATTATTTAATGTTATAATAGTAGTACTGCAGTAGTAGTATTAGTTTTCCTGCCAAGGAGGGGGAAGAAGCAGTTGTGGAGGAATTTGCCTCCTCAGGTACCAAAACCACACATTGACGCAGGGCACTCGTTTGCTGCCTGTGCCTTAGGCGGCGAAACGTTTTGAGCAGATTCCGACTTGCGCCTCCTTGATTCCTGTCAGACAGTCGTCTACGCCCGGCTTGTTAACAGCCTTCTGGAGCGGCGGCCCCGCCTGCCTCCCTCAAGGAGGAGAAGGCCTTTCCGCGCGCATCCTCCTCTCTCGGGCCCGGGAGCGAAGCAAGAAGCCGCCAGGCCGCGCGCGCGCCGAGGGCGGGGCGGGGCCTCAGTCCAAGCGCGGAGCCCGGGAGCAGCGCGGCGCAGCTCTGGGCTCCTCAGAGGCGACCATGGCTGCCGCTCGAGTCCTCAGGAGACTTCGCGCCCTGCAGCCGGTCGTGCAGGCGCCGCCGCTGTTTCTGCGCGCTTCGCAGGGGGCAGCCCGGAGCGGCGTCTGCCTTGGCCCCCGAGCTGCGCACACCGACACCGGCGGTAGTTGCTCGGAGCTGGCTGGGTGGCAGAGGGGTGCGGGGTGGGGGTTGCGTCTCCCTACGGGGCTTCCCGGCCTCACGGGGAGGGAGCGGGGGGTGCGGTGCTCCTTCTGTTGCTGCTCGGAGGCAGCTCGGGGCGATTGTTCTGGTGCTCCTTATGCATGACTTAAGAGTTGATTTAATTATAGCAACAGCAAATTACCCGGGTTTATTCGTTAGGGAGACGAGTTGCAGTGCAAAGGAAGGACAACGTGTGCGTGTGCGCAGAGCAAAACAAAGTGGGAATGGGTGGTATCATCTTGAAGTGGTAAAATAGGCTATACAGTGGTACCTCGGGATGCGAACGGGATCCGTTCTGGAGCCCCGTTCACATCCTGAAGTGAACGTAACAAGCGACGATGTGTGACATCATTTTGAGCGTCTGCGCATGCGCAAGCGGCGAAACCCGGAAGTAACACGTTCCGTTACTTCCAGGTTGCCGCAGAGCGCAACTTGAACGCACTCAACCTGAAGCACATTCAACCCGAGGTATGACTGTACTACTTGAGACTACAGGTCATACCAGTGTGATTTTAAAAACTACATTTTTTTAATTTTTACAGGTATAAAATTAGCACCACAGAGGCTAGATGGTATATTACATCGGTGTATTAGAAGTTTTTGGTTCGTTTATTTACTTGCACAGATTATTATTATTCTTAAGTATGAGAGCACTCAGACCCAGTACTTCACTTGTCACTTGCAGCCCCGAGTGGTTCAAATCACCCCAACATCTCATTCTGCTGCTTGGGTAGATCAGGCCTCTGTTTAGTCACACAATTGCATTGTTTCACTGATACAGTCCCAGGAATGGGCCTCGTTTTGTCCTTTTGCATTCTGGGAGAGCCAGAATGGGCACCAGTTCCTGAATATTTGGATGTGGACCATGGAGTGCCAAGCTTGTTTTTAATTGCCCATTAAGTCACTTGGGCAAATAACTATATTTCAGACTCAGTTTTTCCATTTGCAAAATGAAGGCAACTGTAATATACTTCATTGTGTTTTAATGAGGGCAAGCAAGATGGTGTGTAAATAATGTTTTTAAATAGATTCCCTCATCCTCTTTTCATTGTGCCAGTTCCAGGCTATCATAGTCTGAGGATTTTACCGCTTTGGTGATCTGTTGGCCCTGAAATACTAGCCATCACTAGGCAGTTTCCCATCCACCAGGACTAAGCTGGGCTATCCATCACACTGGATCCCTTTCTGGCACTGCAACACACCATCCTGACAAGTTAGAATTGTGCTCTTAACTTTGCCAAATGCTGCTGGTGTGCAACATGCCAGGCAGCTTAATATGCTTAGTTCAATCAGGCACACTAGCCAAGCTCTGCGACAGATGCAGGTCAGTTTGCGAGCTTGCAAGTAAATTTGTGTGCACCAGGAAGAGGGGAAATGGTGGTTTAGAAGCAACCTGTGTGTTGCAGGATTGATGAGGCCTCTGGGAGATGGAAGAGCTGTCAATTCGTCAAGGCTGATATGATGTTTATTTGAAACCATTTTCTTTACAAAGATTCCCCACCCCTTTAACTGTATGCAATATCTTTTTTATTGTTCTCAAGGCCCCATTAAACAACTCCTCCATGAATATGAGCCTTTGACCGTTTCCTAGTAAATGCCACCACTGTGGAGTGACGCTTCTCTCTCAGCAGCTGTTCTAAGCGCCTTGTATTTCAGCAACTTGTCAGCTGTAATTGCAGGCCTCCATGTATCGCCTTCTCTTGGCTCTGGATGTAATTACTGTTCGCCTTCTGGTGCAATCTGGCATATAGAAATTTCTTCTGTGCACAGTGGCTTATACCTGTTGGTTGAATTTCTTGTTCTTCCACCTTTCTAGATAAAGATGTGGGTTCTTTGACAAGATACGATGAGTCAAGTGTTACCACTGACTGGCAAAAGAAGTTGACTCCTGAGCAGTTTTATGTCACCAGGGAAAAAGGAACTGAACTGGTAAGCCAGGAGTTGTAATAGTTTCCAAGCAGGTGAAATGTATATTCAACGTAGACATACATTGCATAACTGTTCCTTAATTTGGCAGAGTTTTGGCTCTGTTCAGGATCTCAACCAGGAACCCCCAAGTAGAATCAATCCCAGGGTGGCTTGCATTTGGCAACAAATGTAAACAGTGCTGCATGCAAGCCCTGCTGCCACTTGAGCACTCCTAATGATTCATTGGCAGCTGGGGCTTTACCTCTCCTGCACTTGATGTCCTAGACCTAGGACATCAGATGAGTGACAGGTGGGCAGGGCTGGCTGAAAACAGCCATGCAAGTCAAATTTGCCGGACTGGCAGGCCTAATTTTTTCCTGCAGGCTGAAAGTACCCCACCTCTAATAGATGAAATAGATAGACCTCTTCTTCTTACATGACTAAGTCCATTTTTAAAGGCATCATCACAAATTGTGGCAGGAATAATAATTATAATAATAATAATTTATTATTTACAGTATACCCTGCCCATCTGGCTGGGTTTCCCCAGCCACTCTGGGCGGCTTCCAACCAAATATTAAAAACACATTATAGCGTTATAGGAAATCCTATAAAGTTCCGTGAAGAATTACTTCTCTTTATCCATCCTAAACTGATTGCAGTGATGAGCACAGATTCTGTCTGTTTAGACAAGAGTGATGTTGGGTGCTGTAAATGTGTGATGACCACATACCTGAACCTGTAAGATTCTGCTCCTTGGTTTGGTTACCCCCAGGAGAGTAAAAGGTGGGAATGAAACTTCTCAGGGTGACAAAGAACATGCAGGTTGAATATCCATGTTACACTGGAAGTTCCCACATATGAGCCTGCTTGATGTTTGGTTTTGCAAGCTGACTTGGAGGTGGAGGGTGGGAAAGATGGCTAAGAATTAGAATATTAACAATGCATGTTTGAAGCCTTTTAGTGGAATCCATCTGACTAACACAGAGCCTGGGATGTACCACTGCATATGCTGCAATGCTGTGCTGTTCAGGTAGGAGTCTAATTGCAATATACTTTTTTCAAATTTACATGTGTGTGTATGTCTGACTCTCGCTGGAGCTCAGGTACATAATGCTTTCCCTTCACAACAAACTAGTGAGGGTACGGTAGGCTGAGAGAGCAACTGGTCCAAAGTCACCCATTGAGCTTCACGGCTGTGCCTGAATTTGAACCTGGGCTGCCCAGCTCTAAGGGTGCAGTGAGGAGACCCTGATTCAGTTCAGGGCTGCGACACTGGAGGAGGACAGGTTAAGTTTCCCCACTGCAAAATATTACCAGTTAAAATTCCCCCAACACTGCTATTAGTCCATTCAGGGAGAGAGCCTTTTCAGTCATCTCCCCACTTACAGAATACAGAATAGGGCTCACCTGGCACTAGCATTAATATATTTTAGTGTCAGGCTAAAACTTTCCTATACTGCCAGGCATTTGACTTTGCATAATATTAGCGGATTAAGTTTTGATTGGACATCTATTGATTGGTTTTTGTGTCAGTGGTGACCAGGCACTCTTTTTTTGTCTGGTGGGTGTTGTTTTTTACTGTTTACATTGTTGTATTGTCTAATTCTTTTATACGTTTGTATGTTCTTTGTAAGATCCATGAGATTATTTTTGTAGAAAGCAATTAAAATTTAGTAAATAATAATAATCATACTGTGATCTATGTAGGATAAGACCCTGGAAATTGTCTCGAACAAGGATAGTTAAAGCGGTGCTCTCCAAATGCCTTGGACTCTAATGTCAAACAGTCCCTACCAGCACAGGCAATAGTCACGGATGATGGAAGTTGTAGTCCACAACATCTGGACACCCCCAGGTTGGCTTCCTCTAGTCTGGAACCTTTAACTAGTGCAGAATTCTCCCTTTTGACTGCAGGGAGCAGTAGAAAGCACAATAGATTGCTATCTCCCATCGGCTCTGACTGCTTAGGTATTTGGGGGCCTGGTCTGAGCTGCTGGATATTATTACCTGTTCTTGCAGCCTGCTGCAAGTAGAAATAAGACCCACATTCAGATTATTGGAAGGAGTCTCCCCCCTAGCTGTATTGTGTTTACTGCTGAACTGTAGGCAAAAGCAAGAGCTGCCCCTTGAGAAGCATCCTAATCTCTGAGCATGCAAAGTGTTTCTGCAGGGTATGTAGGTTACTGCTTTCTCCTATGAAGAATTCACTAAGGATTAGGAATACATGGAACATAAGCCTCAGGTTTTATAGATAGCAAATCACAGAATTTTAATGGAACATCAAACCTCAGCCCAGTCATAAAATTATAGGCAAGGGTCATACTTCTTAAAATCATCTCAACTACATTTGGGACAGCTAAAATGCAGATCAAAGTAAACAACATATGTTGAAGGAATGGTGTATTAAGAGCTAATCTAACACATATGTTTGGGGAATGTCCATTTATCCACAAATGCTCTGGTGAACTACTTCAAAGAACAAATAGAATTTTGAGCAGCAGCATTTTGGTGGCTACTAACATGTTTCTAGCAGACTAAGTGACGTACTTATAAATAAACCGCACAGGGATATTTGTGGTGAGGAGCTATTTTAATAGGGCAGAAAATTGGCAAGGTTGTTGGGGTTTTTTTTTACAGTAAGAAAATGTAGACCTGATGTAGAAGACACAGCGAACAAGACAATTTTAAACACCTGTTTGAAAAGCCATAGTCAATGGAGAGAGTATAATTGCACTGGTCCCAATCCAGTGATAGTTCTCATGCAGCAATGAGCTGTTCCCACTGCTTTACATAAGAAGAGCCTGCAGGATCAGGCCGGTGGCCCATCTAGTCCTGCAGCCTGTTCTCATAGCGGCCGACCAGATGCCATGCAGAACACCCACAAGCAGGATCTGAGCGCAGCAACACTCTCCTCTCCCTCAGTTTCCAGCAACTGCCATTCAGAAACATTACTGCTCCTGACTTCCTTTGCATAAGAAATCTCTACTCTTGTGCACAAGCCCTGTTTAACCCTTAAATTGCACACTGAATGATCCCTGCTGTTGCACTTTCAGTAGTTCAAAGTGGATCTCTGGCATACTTGTGAGCCTCTCTTCCCTGCATTTACATTGTAAGATGGAAAAACAGCAAGGAGTCCCTCTTGTGGCACTTTCAAAGACTAACACATTTACTGTGGCCTAGGGTGTGTTTTTTTTGAACTAGAGTTCACTTCAGGTCCGCCTTTCTTAGAAGATTTGTTTTTATATGCTTTTTACTGTTTTGTTGGTTTTAGGCTCTGTAATGGCATTGTCTGTTTTCATATTATACACTACTTATAAAAATTTTAAATAGTAAGTAGTTTATAAATGTTTTTCGATAAATGAAGATGGTGAAAGAGACTCTTTTCACATGGGTGTCTACTTTCTCTGCTTTTCTTTCTTTGGTTTTAGAACAGTGCTGATTTTGCCTAGTTTGTACACCTTGATCCAGGAGTTTGCAAGTGTGGCTGGACTAGGCATATCAGACAGATTTTTACAAAGTTCCTACTTAATCAGGCTACAACTAAAATGTATATGTCTGATTGAAACAGGACACAATTTCCCACCTGAATGTTTCTTGATAGATCCATATTTCTGAAAGTATGAAGAATACATATTTTGTTATTATTAAAAGAATACATTTTATTTTGTTAAACCATGGTTGCTAAAAATGTAAATGTCTATGTTTAATTGGAAGACATAGACATGTTTTGTTTGTTTCTTTGAACTTTTCATGTGTCCTGTTCCTTAAAGGCATATGTGGGCAACAGCATGAATATTCATGTGTAAGTCTTCCTGAGCTCAGTGGTGCTTATTCCTATGCAAGTGGGTACAGGATTGGAGCCTCAGAAACTTTGGACACAGTCCAGTCAAAGCTGCACAGGCTTAAGGCTCACTCACTAACAAATACACCCAATAGAAATCTGTTGTACTAACTTATGAGTTACTATGCTTAGTTCATGCTGTGGTTCACTGGTTTTCATGGAGAAATCAAGCATAGGGTTAAAGTCTTCTCTGAAATCAATGGGCTACAGAAGTCCTTAGTTTTTGGTTGAATTGCTCTCCCTCCTTCATCTATTTATTAAAAACAACAACACATGGGCTATAAATAATCCTGGGACTCAGCTAGATTTATATGTGATATAACATTGTGCCACCAGATGGTGATGTGGAGTCCCGTTTTTCTCTACCTGTTTTCCCTGTTTAAATTTACAATGCTTTCAACAAAAATGCTTCTATGATGTGTCTAAATCCAGCCCTAATTATTTCCATACTGAACATCTATTTAAAAGCAAAACTTCATCTTTTTAGCCTTCCATTTAAGGATATTCACATGTTATACAAGATTGCCTTTTTAATAATGCAGTTATGGTTGTCAGCATTTTCATCCACCTGCCTACCCCCCCTAATATTATTAAGAGGGTCTCTTCTCCAGTCTTCAGAGAGTAGCTGGAAGTGGGGAGGCAGAAAAAGGTCCTCCTTTCCTTCCACTCTGCAGTTTTAATCTGAAATCTTAGGCACAGTACTGTGTCAGAAACTGCTTGCGCTAATGAAATTCCCTGTTGCAAAATGCACTTAGAACAATGGGAGTTTTGAACACTACTACTGCCATCTTTGGGGTGGGGAGAAAAGAACAAGATAAAAAGGCAATGTTATTTGGGAAAGCAACATCCCTCTCCAAGCTACTTTCTTGCTCGTAGGTGAGAGATAAATTTAGTGATAGACTCCATGCATCTATCTATCTATCTATCTATCTATCTATCTATCTATCTATCTCATCCTCTGTGTGTGCACGTGCGTGCGTGCATGCATGTGTGTGCGTGCGTGCACCACAACCCTTCATTAATATGCAACTTTGCTGTCCTTTATAGCTCAGAAACAAAGTATGATTCTGGCACAGGGTGGCCATCCTTTTCAGAAGCATATGGGACACATGGCACAGATGAAAGCAATACTAATATCTTGAGACGTCCTGATAATTCACTAGGAACAAGCAGCACGGAAGTCATCTGCAAACAGGTACACCTACCTTAAAGAAAGCATATAAAGTTCCTTAAATGCAAGTCTCTTATTCTATATGTGTCACAAAAAACGAAGTGTAGCCGCATTAACACAACTAAATACACTTTCATGAATCATGAAATTAGCCCCAGGTAGTGGACCTAATGTATGAACTTCTGGGGCAAATCTATAAAGGTAAAGGACCCCTGACAGTTAAGTCCAGTCGCAGACGGCTCTGGGGTTGCAGCTCTCATCTCGCTTTACAGGCCGAGGGAGCCAGCATTTGTCCGCAGACACTTTTTCCAGGTCATGTGGCCATCATGACTAAGCTGCTTCTGGCAAAACCAGAGCAGCACACGGAAATGCCGTTTACCTTCCCACTGGACCGGTACCTATTTATCTATTTGCGCTTGATGTGCTTTCGAACTGCTAGGTTGGCAGGAGCTGGGACCAAGCAATGGGAGCTTACCCTGTTGCGGGGATTCAAACCGCCGACCTTCTGATCGGCAAGCCCAAGAAGCTCAGTGGTTTAGACCACTACAACACAATCCTACACAACATTAATGGTCTCATTAAATCGAGTAGGACTTACTTCTGAGTTGACATGCATAGGATTTTGCCGCACTCTGGTGCACATTTCCAATGGGAATAAGCCCGGTTAAATACAACAATATTTACCTCTGAGTAAATATGCAAAGGATCAGGCTGCACATGTGAGACAGTTGTATGATGAGTAAGGAAAGCTGACCTTACAAAAGTTGAAGTAAAATTTATAGATCTGCCCCTTGAGTGATTAAACTCATGGAATCTGCATCAGAAGTCCCAGTGGATTTCCTGACTGACTCACAAATTTAACAATGGTACTGTATTCTGATTGGAATGAGGGCATTCTCCCCCCCATACTATTAATTAATACTGATTTTAAAGTGGTATTCTCAATAAGAATGGTTTTTTTTTGGCATATAAAACCATCTTATTAGCACTAAGGTATCTTTTCCACAGAAAGCTTACCCAGGAGAGGCCACACTTTACACCTGGGGCATTTGCATGCATGCAAATGTGAGCACACTAAAATGAGTGGGCTTCGGAAGTTGGCTCTAAACACAGAAGGTATTGCTTATATGGCAGTTGCAGACTTAATTGGCCCCTTTGGCTATGAAATCAGACTGTTTAATTTATGTAGATACGCTTTAATTTAAAGAACTGGCACTGCAACTAAGTCTGTTATTCTCTTGCAGTGCGATGCCCATCTGGGCCATGTGTTCGGCGATGGTCCCGAGCCATCTGGGCAGAGGTTCTGCATCAACAGTGTTGCATTAACATTTAAACCAAGCTCCAAGCAGTGAGACTTTCCTCTTTACAACCTGTGCATTTGATACCACTTTGATGCTCAGATCTCCTTTGCTGCAGAGGGCCACTTTGAAAATGTATCGGGAGCCAGGTGCCTGTGCCTATTTTGTGTATACATAGTGATGGTAATTAATGAGAATGCATGTGGGGGGACGCCAAACCATTGATGTGAGATGTGCTGCTCTTATTCTGTGATGGAATAGGCTCATCTAAGGTAGCCAGGCTAGTCTGGAGACCTGTGTGCCCTGCTTATGTGGATGCAGAGCTCTTCTGCATGTAGGCAGTTCCATTAAATCCAGCACAGACAGCATATCTACACATACAAATTAATGTACATGCTGCATTTTTTATTTTAAAAATAGTTGATTGCCTCGTTGTTAATAGGTGAAGCAATCAATTACAGTGGAACCTCGGTTCTCGAACCTCTCCATTCCTGAATGTTTCAGCTCCCGAACGTCAAAAACCCGGAAGTAAGTGTTCCAGTTTTTGAACGTTCCTTGGAACCTGAACGTCTGATGCGGCTTCCAATCTGCAAAAAGCCTAGCTGTCAGCCAGTCGGAAGCCGCACCTCAGAATTCGAACGTTTCAGAAATTGAATGTCCTTCCAGAATGGATTACATTCAATTTCCGATGTTCCACTGTACATGCAAATCACATTCACAAATTTCTAAAAAGGAAATACAGGAGCCTTGTACATGCCTCTTAAGTATAATGTAAATTAAATTATAAATATAATTTTTAAATGATTGCTCATTGTTGGAGAGAAAGGCCACATTTTGTGTTACATTGGTGCAACCGACTCAGTATGCCATTTCCAAGACAAGGATTTGCTAAAGAGGACTCCCAAGACATCTGAAGGAGTGAGTTTGCTCTAATTCATGTTGGTGCAGACTCCATTTATTTCTAGAGCTGCGTTTTCCAAAAACAATTATTTCAGTAGTTTACTATGAGGCTTTCCTGTTCACAGCACAAACTAAAATCCACCAGTAGATTTTTAAGACCCAGATGCGAAAGCATAAGTAGCACTATGTCATTGGACAACACACCTTCCTGCTTCTAATTGCCGGAGTGAGTCATTTCGTCTTGCGGAGTCATTAATGTGAAAATTAAAAAGCATAGGGGCCCAAATCATGAGATGAATTTAGAAAGCACGATATTTGAAACCAATGAAGCTGTGGCACTATTAGCACCTGTCTTCTGACAACTTCACCTTAGGAAAATTCAAATTAAAGGCTACAAGCTACTTCTCCCGCTGTTTCATTGTTCTGCTGAATGCTGGGGACTTTTTGAAAAATATAAATGTAAATGTTGATATAAAACAGCAGTTATCCATCTGGCATATTCTGCTGCTGCACCTTTTCTTTGTAGATCTCTGGCAATTTTGGGAACAATTTTTATTTCCTACTAGTCTGCATTTTAGATTTTATTAATGGGGGTTGGGATGCATTGCAATTCATAAAATAGTATGTCTTCATTATTATTTTTTTATTTATAAAATTATTCCCTCCTCCCTCAAAAGAAATAATGCAAAACATAAAAGGTATGTTTACTGCTTCCTGTTGTAAATGCTGGAATAAAATGTTTTGTTCACGATGGTTTTTAATTTATTCTTGATGTGAGTCACTTATTAAAAGACAACATAAGGAGGATCAGATGTGGTGCAGTGTGCATGCAAGTGAGTCAACATAACCATCTCTGAAGCTTCCCCTTACTTCCCTGTCTTTTGTTCAAGCACCTGGATTTTGCTTCCGGTAGGGCAGCATCAATAGAATATAGGGCAATGGAATTTTGCAGAATTTAGGCCTGCAGCTTAATCTTAGGAGGCGCTGCTCTCATAAGATCCTGACTTCAGCATGGAAAGGTTCATTTGCACTTATGTTTGAATCTTTGGTTGACATGAGCCTCTTGAGGCGATGCAGCTTTAGAAACAACACCAGTCTCAGGATTTTGAAGGTTGCCGGGGAAGAAATAAGACATGACATCAAAAGGAATACTGCAGAGCTGAAGGAGGTTCCGAAAAGGGAAATCAAAATGATTTAAGGGGTAGGAACAAGGCCTTTATGGGAAAGGTTACTGCATTTCAGGCTTTTTAATTTAGAAAAATGGGTAAGTAAGGAAAGATGCTACAGTGGTGCCTCGCAAGACGAAATTAATCCGTTCCGCGAGTCTCTTCGTCTTGCGGTTTTTTCGTCTTGCGAAGCACGGCTATTAGCGGCTTAGCGGCTACAGGTATAAACTCGTTCCCGCAACTGCAAGCCTCGACCCCTAGGGAGCATCTGGCCCTTGCATAAGCCTCGTCCGGCCTCTTAAGCAGTCCCTCCTGACGCACTTACATAACACAAGCCCCGACCGCCGCCATCCCAGCGACCCTGGAAGATAAGATCTGCAGCAAGCACCCCACACCTCCATCCCGGGGCGCGCTCAGCCAAAGCGTCCCCGGACACCTGTCCCGCCGCGCCTTTGCGCAGCGCTCTGCAGAGCGGAGCGATGAGCCTGGCCGATCGCAGGCAAGCGGCGGCGAAGGCGGAGAGAGCGAGGCCCAGAGGGAGGAGTCTCCGGCAACGCCATCGACGGCCCCGCCGCAGCTCTGGGTCCTGGAGCCCTCCGGCTGCCGACTGCCTTTATTTTGCTGCAGGAGCCTCCTCTGCACCGGGATCCTCGCGCGCTCCCTCCGTCTCTCCATGCCTTTTAGGTGACTGGCGTGCTCGGGCTGACTTTGGACGACCCACAGCGGGGCTTCCCTCGGCCGCGCAACCGGAGCTCGCCTTTGCGGTCACTTTGAGAAAAAGGAAAAAAAGCTCGCAAGAAGTTTCATCTTGTGAAGCAAGCCCATAGGGAAAATCGTCTTGCGAAGCGACGCAAAAACCGAAAAACCCTTTCGTCTTGCGCGTTTTTCGTTTTGTGAGACATTCGTCTTGCAGGGCACCACTGTATAGCAGTGTACAGAATTGTGCATGGGGAAAGTGGCTAGAAAGAAGCTTTTCTCGTGAGTACCAGAACTCCAGACCATCCAATGAAGCTGGAAGTTGGAAGATTAGGACAGACAAAGGAATGTATTTCTTCACACGTTGCATTGTTAAAACTATGGGATTTGCTGCCACAAAAGGTAGCGAGGGCCACTAACCTGGATGGCTTTAAAAGAGGATCAGACAAATTCATGGTCAGCCAGCAGCCTGCTGGGAACCCACAGGCAGAACCTGGTGCTGCAGCAGCTCTCTCCCCACTTGTTCCCAGCACTGGTGTTTAGAGGCTTACTGTCTACGAAAGTAGAGGAGGTAAAAGAAAGCCATTGTGGCTGCAAGCTGTGGATAAGCTGCATCAGCCTATTTTTTTGGAAAGAAAGAATCTCTCTCTCAAACACACGCACACGCTTTGTGTAACATCCTTGATAAAAAGTTCTGGAGAAGCTGAAAACTTGCCACACTATTTATTTATTACATTTATATACTGCCTTTGTCTTCCAATAATCTCAAGGTGGTATACATGGTTTTCCTTGCCATTTCATCCTCACAACAGCCCTATGAAGTTGGGTTAGGCTAGTCCAACACTTTAACCATTACGCCACACTGCCTCTCAGTGGGACAATTTGGTTGGCGCCAGCTGTGGATTTTGGAAACTAGAATTTGCCAAGTCTGCATCACTGGTTGTGTTTTATTCCTTGGCCCACTGGGATGCTGACGTGCCAATCTGAACCCAGATTAGACCACCAAAACGTACAATTTCTGCCCTGAATAATATATCTCTTTTCACGCTAGAAGCCACCTGCATTTGTCCCTCTAGTACCTCTAGTAAATGTCACTAAGGCTTTGTACACACTTTGTAGCACATTCAAAGCACATGCTTTTCCTCAAAGAATTCTGGGCACTGTAGTTCACCCCTCAGAGTTACATTTCCCAGCAAACCTCAACAAACTGCAGCGCCCAGAATTCCTTGAGAGCAGAAATGTGCTTCTGATGTGTTTTAAAGGTATATAGCCTCAGTTACCCACCTTTAAAATGGTAATAATATTGACTCTCCCTGCAGCAGGGCTGAAGCACTCAGCAATTAAAAGTGCTATAGAAAATATTAATAATAATTCAAAAGGGATTCAAAGGATACCATAGGGACCTGAGCACAAAGTTGGCACGAGTTCCATCCTGTTTCCCGTCCCTTGGATAAGACCCTAATACCTCCTGCACTTGAAGCATTCTCCCCCCCCCCTTGTTCCTTTGCCAACCTCTGCAAACAATTGGACTTCAGGGGTGCAGATTAATGCTGCGTAGCAGGTGGCAATCTAATTGCTATCAACCTTGTATCTGCATTTATTTTGTCATCTGAACTCGCCTGCAGCTGGCTCTCAACCCTGATTATTTTTTGAGCAATTAGTTTACAGGTTCAAAGAAGGTATAGGCTTCAGATCCTCAATTTGCATGAAACATACAGTACAGAACCAAAGGCAGCAGAGGCCTATGTGATTTGGGAGGTGGCAGCAAAGAGGAGGGCTTTGTACAGGTGCCATGTTTTGAATTAGGGGAAATATTTACCCAGGTTTCAAAGTAAGTGCCCTTTTCAGTCTATTCACAGGAAAGCTTTCATTGTACAATTTTGTATATATTGCCTGGTCTGGCCAACTGGTACCGGCTTGATACCAGCAGCTGAAAGAGAAGGATTATGCCAGCAAAAAGTGGCATATTGGGTTTGGGATGGTGCCAGCAAACAGCCAGCCAACTAGCAACTGTGAAGGCAGCACCACGAGTGGAACACATCCTTCTTTTCGTCTACAGGAATAATGAAAGCTATTTCAGAAGCCCGTGAAACAGCATAATTAATAACATTTTGTTTCCAGGACTTTAGGTGTTAAAAGCAATCTCCTGTTAAAGCAGCATCATTAGGTGTTTCAAATGTGTGGTGTGAATGTGGCTCAAGTTGGGACAACACCCAATAAAAAGAATCAGGCTGGACATATCTGAACTAATCCAGCAAGCTCTTCCCAGGATTCAGCCTGACAGTTCGGGTGCAACAGAAGAGCTGAGCTGCTCTCCCAGGCTCAACAATAAGACCAAGTCTGAGAGCTGCAATTCATTCCATTTTAACACACAAGATGGCACCAAAGAACCATTTTAGCCCTATAGGAGTTTTTGTGCTGTTTGAGTGCAGTGGTGCAAGTCATCATTGCCATTCTTGGTTCCAGCTTGACAGATAGGTTTCTGTGTTGTACAGAGCTCTTTGGCATAGAGGAAGTGAGCTAATGCTGGTTTTAAGTTTTTGCAAGCACTGGTAGTCTTGCTTTGTAATCTCAGATCCCTGCTTGTATTCTCAGCAGCATCCCCAGCCATCTTTGGACATGCCCCTTCTCCAAGAAACAGACAGTTGTCCAAACGTCATGGGTGGGATCCAATGATGACTGCTGAAGAGAGGCACTCTATGCCAACAGAACAAAATTGTTTTCCTCTCCCCTGCAGCATCCTGGGGTTGGGGTACCCTCTGGAGTCGATTTAGTTGGGGCACAGGGGAGGGTTTTTTGTCCAAACAGTCTAGATGTTTCCAATGAGAGAGAATGCCTGCACAAATAACAGTAATTAAAAAGGCTGAATCATACAATCATAAATGAACATATTACAAATGGTTGAAGAAACAAGTGCAAAATAATAGTACAATAGTACATAATAATACATAATAATAGTACAAAGTAGTACTATCTGCTAGTAGTGCATCACTAAAGAGTATACAAAAATTTGCAAATGAACAGCATGCAGCAGTCTAGTTGTCCAACTTTTGCAAAGATCAATAATGATCAATGGGGAAATGTTCAGATAACCCATTTCAGGTGTTACAAATGTGAAATACATTAATTAGAGGGGTTGTAGTCCATATAATTAGTGCTGAGACGGGACAGCTTTCCTTTGGTGTGTAAGCTTCTGTGATCGATACCTGCCAAAAATATTACACAGCTTCAACATTTGGAATTCAAAGAACAAAATACCGTATTTTTTGCTCTATAAGACTCACTTTTTCCTTCCTAAAAAGTAAGGGGAAATGTGTGTGCGTCTTATGGGGCGAATGGAGGCTGTGCAGCTATCCCAGAAGCCAGAACAGCAAGAGGGATTGCTGCTTTCACTGCGCAGCGATCCCTCTTGCTGTTCTGGCTTCTGAGATTCAGAATATTTTTTTTCTTGTTTTCCTCCTCCAAAAACTAGGTGCGTCTTGTGCGTCTTATAGAGCGAAAAATACGGTATTTATTTGTTGCTGTCAAAGATACTGTGTTTCTACTCCTGAGCGGTCGGTAGAACCAGCTTTAAGTGCTACTGCTAGAGGACAGTGTCCTCTTAGCCCAGAGCTGATAGCCTAATGCTGCTAATGTACATCAGGGCATATGACTGAGCTAGTCAGTTTGAAACCAGATCTACATCTGATTGGCCTGCCCTAATCCCTACTTAAAAATCTGAATCCATGCCAGTCCTTGGAACAGTTCCAGCCTGAATCAAGCTTTCTTGTCTAAAGTGCATATCAATCAATTTGGAAATCCCATTTGATATATATTTTTGTGTGCTTAGTATTTCACTATTAAAACAGTGAAAGTAGGAGAAAGGAAGAGAAAGGAAAGGAAGAGAAAATTGTGCAAGTGGCCCATCAGCCTAGGATGTGTCTGTTGATGAAGAGCAGACCAGATTTTTCAAATGACAGCTATTCACTCTGAAGTGGACTGAAACATGCCAAGCATCTGATCTAATGACGCCAAGCAGCCATGGCATCGTTCCAAGAGGAAAGGAAAACCCAGTGTGAGAAATAACCGGCAGAGGGACGGTAAATTAGGACACAAGCTGCACAGACCTGCACAGCATCCAAAATGAATGCTGGCACCATACAAAGAGGGCACTGGATTCTCACCCATTCCCAGAGGCTTCATATGCCAGCTCAGAAGGCTTGCCCCGACCAAAGCCACATCGCCCGAATGAACAGGTGCAGCCCCACCCAAACAACAACAATAGAGGACAAAGGAGAACAAATAAGCATTAAATCCAACCACAGTGCTACTCATCCTAGTAATCAGAGACAGGTGGCATTGGCTAATTCTGCCAGCCACAGGACCCCCTGGCTGCACATATTGGTAGGGTAGAAGCTGCTATTAAATTGATGTTATTTGCAGTCACTACTAAGTTATGTGGCACAGCATATCAAATACAATAAACAAGTAAATAATTTCATTTGTATGCCGCCTTGCCAAATTTAAGACCGTGCTCAAGGCGGCTTACAACGTACAAAAAAAATACGTAAGTACAAACATAACAAAAGTAGTCATAAACAATAAACACAATGTCAAAAAGTACACAACCTGAACCTTTTTTAAAGAAATAAAAAAACTGCATTGATATAGACACTGCTTAAGATATGTTGTAAGGGACGCAGGTGGCGCTGTGGGTTAAACTACAGAGCCTAGGACTTGCCGATCAGAAGGTCAGCGGTTCGAATCCCCGTGACGGGGTGAGCTCCCATTGCTCTGTCTCAGCTCCTGCCAACCTAGCAGTTCTAAAGCTCGTCAAAGTGCAAATAGATAAATAGGTACTGCTCCAGCGGGAAGGTAAATGGCGTGTGCTGCTCTGGTTCACCAGAAGCGGCTTAGTCAAGCTGGCCACATGACCCGGAAGCTGTACACCGGCTCCCTCGGCCAGTAAAGCAAGATGAGCGCAGCAACCCCAGAGTCAGTCACAAGTGGACCTAATGGTCAGAGGTCCCTTTACCTTTAAGATACGTTGTAACCAGATTTGGCACAATGGTCCCTAAGGTCAATAAGCAGTTTCCTGACTATATTTGGACACCATTTTGAAACTAAATAACAAGCTCAGTCTTTCAAAAATGCACTGATTAGGACAACTATTAAGGTATTCTAACAAAAAAAATAGCTACAGTGGTTCTTCAGATCAAGCAGCAGGTTTTGGCCCACAGGTGGATATCACTGGATGCTATTTTGAATCAAAATGGTGGACTGAAGCTTTCAAAACTGCACTGATTGCTGTAAAGGATTACTGTTGGTTTCTTAGAATTCCCAAATAATGCCAGCAGTCCCTACTAGTTAATTGTATGGAAAGCCAATAGGAGATTTCAAGAATAAACACTAGTAAGTAATAGTATCTTGGTTTTTAGCCTCCTTGAGGGCAGAGCACAGATTTTAAAATATATAAATACAGTGTGTAGAACCACCCAGAGAAGCAGTAGGTCCTTTAGTTGACAAATGTGTGATAAAGCTTAAGGGAGGCAGGAAATTATTATTTTTTAAGTAAGCCAATTCTTTGCATCAGTCTTCAGGTGCTCAGCCATGTTCCTGTGGGTACCACAAGCCAGATACCACAGCAGTCCTACAGCTGCCTACAAAAGGCAAACAGCTTTGGACTGAGTTCTCTGTCTTAGTAGCCAGCTACTGTTTCCTGCTGAAGATTGGCTCCACACACCTCGAAAGCTATTGGTTTTTGAGTAAACTCAACATATGTTGAACTAATGGCAACTTTGTATGGATCACACTTCTGGTAAACGCACACAAGCATAAGCATTACAGAAAGAAAGGCTGGCTATTTCTGGGTTCCTAGGAAATCTTTGTGTAGCTTTGCAAGATGGGTTTGATCTTGGTTCTCTGAAGAAACATGGCAAACCAAAAGATATGGAAACAGCAACAGGGAAGAACAGGGAACAGATCTCCAAGAGGAGATAAGTTTTTTTCACTGTTTTGTAAAAGTAACTTTTGGAAAATTCTTTAAAAATATTTTTTGGTGGGAAGAAGTAGCAAGTTCTGTTGAATTTAATAGAACTTTCCTCCCAGGTAAGTGGGGATAGGACTGCAGCCTAAATATCTGATAATCAGAGGAGTTTCCACTGTGCAAATTCATCCCATTCAATCTGTGTTAAGTTCTCAGACTTGCTCTCATGTGGATCATTTTTATTTCTTGATCTAAGTCTGAAGGAAGCAGCTTTTGGTTGCTGAATTTGGCTGCCTTTGTGTTTGCTGACTGCTGGATTTTAATTTTTATTATGGGCAGGTGTCTTTAAAGCAGCACCAGATTTAGGTCACTGCAGGCAGTTCCTCAGCACAGGGCGCTGATCGGAGGGGATGCAAAATGTAGAAGATCCATAATTGAGAAGATCCATTTGGAGGCACCAAATGTTGGCCTTGCACATGGCGCCATATTAAGAAAGATTGCATAAGTTTGCCCCTGTTAAAAGCTGGAAGTTACCTGGGCCTCTGAGCAGAGGCATATCTAGGCACTCTTGCACCCTTGAGAAGGAGATGTATTGGTCCCTCCGAAGCCAGGACAGACCTAGAAACTCAAAAACTTTGCTTTTCATCACCTTTTGCTTAGGCGGGGCACCTAGAGGGCTGCTTCCCAGAAATCAGTCAAGCGGGCTCCTAGCAACTCCAAGCCAGAGCAGAGAGGCACAACTTTTGCTCCCCCACCCCACGCCTGCCCCATAGGGACCAGCTGCTAGGGGCCAAGGCACTTCCCTTCCCCATTATTATTTTTTGTTCAGAGGGCGTTCGGCTCTGCCACCTGGCTCCTCATGATGTTGCCTCTGGCCTGCACCCTTGGCGGGGGCCAACCTAACCAATCCCTAGGTATGCCCCTGTCTCTGAGATGCCTTGCCTGGGACCAAGCCCCATTGAATTCAATTAGATGTGCTTCTTAGTAGACATGCAGCCCTGCAAGGAAGTGCATTTAGGATTGCATGGTTACAGGGTCTGAACCTCTTTGATTTAAAAAGGCTGCCTCTGAAGTTCAGTGGACGGCCCCTAGTTCTTGAATTCTGCCAATAACGCGCCCATTTTGTTTTGAGGGAGGCCTTCAGAAATCTTAACAAACTGATTGTGATGATACAGTGAAGAAGATCTACAATATCCAGGCTGTTCTTCCATGCCAAGGACCTGCATTAGTTCCCCATCAGCTTTCCCATGTGTGTGTGGGGGGGGGACTCAAGTCCCACAACATGGGTTTGGGACTCAGGACTGACCCCCTTCTCTGTGTACCCAACTTTCTGTGCCCTAGGGCACTCTCTGAGCCTCTTGTCTGGGTGCCTGGGTGCAGGGCTCAAAGCACAGGTTGCTTACCAACAAAGCCCCAGGGCAGCCTGTTGTCTCCTTAATTCCACAAGCTGCTTTCCTCACCCTGCACAGCTTTTTATTATTTTGTAGACATTGATCCTCGAGGTCTTTTTGACTGAAACTTTTTTTTTAAAGCTGCCATCACGTTTTATTGTGTGCTCAAATTTAGCACCATCCTTTATGGAAATCCAGGCGACCCCTCTGCTCTTTGTGAGCAGGTGCCTACGGGTTTGCGAAGCCAACTGTTGGTCAAACTCACAAGAGGACACTGTAAAAGTGTTGGCTCCCCCTTTCTCCTTTCCCTACCTCCTGTGCTAGTGTGAAATCCAGTAGCTAACAAAGGTGGTGGTGAGAGCTGGGGGGGTGCGTGGGGGGGAGGGAGATGTGAATACTTAAAGACCCGCTTTTCAAGCCCACTTACACGTCTGGGGATGATTTTTGTCTTCTTTTTTAAAGAGCCTGTTTTGAAAATCGGGGCAGAGGGGGTGGGGGTGGGGAGCAGAGAGATGAAGAGGACAAACGCACAAAAAGATACCTGTTTGGTTTGCAAAGGGCCTGGAAATCACCCGTGAGCGACCATATATAATTTGATTTGCTAGGCAATCTGCGAAGCGATTGCCCATCATTTATAATGTTCATTGAGCATTTTGCTTAATTGTGTCTCTTTTTGTAAAGGAAGCACAGCCCCCTCCCGGCTCCGGAGCGCACAAGTGGCCAGATTCCCATGGACCAGCCCGGTCTGCAGCTTTGCGAAGCTTTCCCAAGCGCTCCGGCAGGGGCGGGGCGAGGGAGGCGTTAATAGCTCCAGGCCGGCTGGACAGGGAGGGGGGGGGAGAGAGAGAGAGCGAGGTGGGCGGGGGGCAGCGAGCGAGAGCGGAGAGAAAGCAGCTCGCGCAGGTACGAGCATCCTCCGCCGCCGCCCCTCCTCCTCCCTGCAGCCCTTGGCAACCCGCCGCCTTTGCAGGTGCTGCTTTTGAAGAGCGCCACCCCCTGCCCCTGGACGCTGCTCATTTCTTAGGAGAAGTGGGATTTATAGGGAGAGCCGCGGCTGATTAATCTGCGGGAGGCAAACAGAGGAAATCCTTCATGGGGGCGAGCGCGAGCACGCGCGCATCCCCAGAGCCACGAGGTACTCAGCAGCTCAAAAGCCACTCCATCTTCCATAGCGCTCAGGTGAGGGGCGCAGTGCCCCGCAGCTGCCGACAGGTGTCGCGCTGCGCGCGGCTTGGAAGCCCAGGGACGGAAAGAAACCTGTTGCAAGCGCCATGAACTCGCCTGGGTGTAGTGGTGTGTTGTTATCATCAACGCCTCTAAATATATATTTATGAATCGAGCCTCCTGCTTTAGGAAGAGATGAGGATCTGTTGGATCACAAGCCAAACTTACCGAGCAGCCCTCTTCCGGTTGATCTTGCTGAGCATCTCCCCAGCCTTTCTCCCCGGGGTTTGATCAGTCCCGTTTGCCGAAGGAAGGAATCCGAAAGCGACCTGGTAGATCGGCAGCCTTAGCTGGAGAAGGGCGAGCGATCCAGGATGGTGCTTCCTACCTACTTAAGGAGGAGATCCGCCTTGAGTATCAAACGTAGATGCAAATCCGCGTTGGACACGCTGTGATATTTCACCACCCAACAATAAGTTTTTCGGCTTGGAGAAAGGCTTAGATATTGTTCGGCACAAAAAAGTTTCGGTTGCCTCCTAAAAGCGGGAAATTTCCTCTTCCAGTGGCTGCAACGAAATAAAAAGAGTTGATGAGCCATATACGTATATAGGCGGCAGCAGTGCGCCTGCGTTAAGCCGCTTTGCTGGCATGCCACTCAGGGCACATCACCCCTTCGAGTGCGATAAATACACTAATGAAAGAACGAATCGTTCTCTCTCTCAATCTTTATTAACCCGCAAAGAAGGTTGGGAAAAAGAAATGCACTTCATTTTGCCCTATTAATCGCCAAAATGTGTATAATTCTGAAAGTAGATTGCCCCATACACGAAGCACAACCTGAACCTGCTCAGCGAGGTTCCCGCGGGGAGGGAAACACCCGCCCAAACGGATTCGGGGGCCAAACCCCACTTCAAAGTGATCCCTTTCGTGCTTCAGACGTGTTTCGGGGCGTGTGGAATAGCAAATGTTGTACCGGAAGGCTTCCCCGACCCCCCAAAACAAGAGCGAAGTTTCGCCACATGCTCAGAGGGATCTTATCCCCTCATAAACGTTACTTTCCATTGCACATTCACAGGAGCCAGCACAGCCTGAGGCTGGAAGAGAGAGAGAAACCAAGGGGAAGATTTTAGAACTGCGGCAGGCCCGGCAGAGCGAGAGACAATTCTAACCGTTGATTTCACCCGCCGCCCCCACCTCACTTCGCCCCTCCTCAGCCGTAGCCCCACATCTTCTTCGTCTCCCCCCCCCCCCCCGCCGTCATTTGATTTGCCTCAGCAGCGCCTACAAATCGATGGCGTCCCATTTGTTACAGTCTTCCGAGGGTTCCGTGGAGAGAGCGGGGCGCGGGGGGGAAGGCCCTGCCTCCCTCCGTCCCTCCCTCGTCTCCAGGCGCACAAGTGGTGGGATTCCCATGGATGCGGCCTGCTCTGCAGCTTGGCCCTGAGGAGGTGGGAAAGGGAGGGAGGGGCAGGAGGAGACACGGCGACCCCCGGCTTGAAAGGCCTTGAAAAGAGGCTCTTTTATGGCGCATTTACCAGCCGAGGGCTGCTCAGGTACCAGCTCCTCGCCGAGGGCGCGCCGCGCCGTGCTAGGCCCGTGCTTGCAGGTGCGCCCGCAAAGTGGCCGCCTCGGCGCCTTTTGTGGCGGGCTTTTATTCGCGAGGGGCTTTTGTGTTCCTTCCCTCAGAGGCCGCTCCGCCTTGTTGTCCCATTAGCGCCGCCGGGCTGGGGGCGCCATACTACTTTGTGGACGGGCCTCTGGCCTGCCCCATTGACTGTTTTCAGAGGAAGCTGCGACCATGGGGGGGAAACAGCATGGAAGCCAGCTTAGCCCGGCCGACTCCCGTTTCTCCCAGCCCCCAGGATTACAAGGCGTCGGAGCAGGGGGAAGAAGGGGCTCAGGGCACCCAGAGAGGTTGCCAGCACCCCCTACAGAGAGGAGAGAGACCAGTCAGATTTATCTGAGAAAGAACTCAGTGGAACTCCAAAGCCTTATTAGATTACTTGTGGGCCTAAATAAATATATCCTCTCACCAATTCTGCTTAGATGATTCCAGTAGGTGCACCAGACCTGATATCTGTATCTATTTCAGTGGCCTCTCCCAACACCTTAAGTGTATGAGGCAGCGGAGAATGTGGAAACTGCCTGTGCATGTAGAAATATATAAGGGCACACCTACTGGGGATGGAGAAAAATAGGTGTGACTTCACAGCAGATGCTCACACAGCAAATGAGCTTGTGAGTGTTGCCAGGCAGGGTGTTCACTATTCAGTTTGTGCCCTTTTTTCCTATGTGAGTCCATCAAGAAAAGAATTGGCAATACAGTGCTAGCCTACAGCTGCCTACACAGAAGTCCCATGGGGACCAGTGTGCCTTACTCCCACTGAGTCAGAAGACCATGAGAAAGCCCCTGCTGGGTCAAACCAAAGGTCCATCATCTAGTATACAGTGCCCTGTTGCATACAGAGGCCAGCTGTAGCTCAGTGGTAGAGCATCTGCAGAAGGTCCCAGGTTCAGTCCTTGGCATCTTCAGGTAGGTCTGGCAGAGACTCCTGTATGACATCCTGAAGAACTGCTGCCAGTCAGTGTAGACAAAACTGAGCTAGATGGATCAATGGTCTGAGTATAAAGCAGCTTCCTGTGTTCATAGATGCCTCTGGGAAGCTCAGAAGTAGATATGGCAATGAAAGCAAAAGAACTTCCCCCATCAACTAGTTTTCTGCCACCAACTGGTGTTCAGTGGCAGAGTGCCTTTTGAGTCTGAAGGCCACATTTAGTCATCGTATCTGCAACCGATTGATCTGTCTTCCATTAATCTCCTTTAAAAGCCACCTAAGCAAGTGATTGTTACCACAATGTGTGCAGTTAATTCTATAAAATGTGTACTGAGTTAAGAAATGCTGCCTTGGAGAAAGTGGATGGAGGAATATCTATATATCTCATAATACTGAAACCTGGGGTTATCCAATAAAACTGAATGTTGGATGATCCAGGGACAAAGGAAGTAGTTCTTTACACTCTGCATTGGCAGACTATGGAATCTGGTGACCTTGGATAGCTTTAAAAGGGGATTACACAAGTTCATGGAGGAAACGGCTATTAATGACTACTAATCATGACCGCTGTATATTAGCTCCTGTATTGGAGGAAGTATTAGTTTTTGGGAAACTCAAGCCTGCTTGTGGGCTTCTCATAGAGGTTAGGTCCCTCTGCGAAACAAGATGCTAGTCTGGATAGGCCTATACAGTGGTACCTCGGGTTACATACGCTTCAGGTTACATACGCTTCAGGTTACAGACTCCGCTAACCCAGAAATAGTGCTTCAGGTTAAGAACTTTGCTTCAGGATGAGAACAGAAATCGTGCTCTGGCAGTGCAGCAGCAGCAGGAGGCCCCATTAGCTAAAATGGTGCTTCAGGTTAAGTACAGTTTCAGGTTAAGTACAGACCTCCGGAACGAATTAAGTACTTAACCCGAGGTACCACTGTAGTATGATCCAGCAGGACTCATCTCATGTTCTTATGCTTTCTTTTTTTCTATCTCAAATCTTTTGCTAAATGAGTCTGTGTTCTAGCATTATAGAACCTCCCTCTATCCACTTTCTCGACAATATTGCATAAATGTATACACCTCTACCATGCCCTGTTTTTTTCTGGACAATAGATATACAGTTATCCCTGGCACATTAAGTTGAGTCACTTACTGTTCCATAGTCACATTGTGCAGCATTTTGAGATTTTCCTCCAGTGTTAATAAAAGGTTAATTGGTGTAGGTCCACACCATACAGGTAGAAGAATACAAGTATAAATTCATCCCTCAAATGTAGGAGATAATCAGATTCCTGAGCCTGATGCCAGTAGTCTGCCTTGTATTACCTGGAATCTGAACACTCATGCTTTCCTAAAACTGTGACCCTTTCCAGATGTTTAATCTTACTTAGACATTTTATTATTGTCACCTGATCATAAATTTCATACTGTACACATGTCTAATCAGAAGTTCCCATTTCCTTGTTACGTGGGTATTACTCCCATGTAACTTGGTATAGGACTGCAGCTAATTTGTTGATCTGATGCATTTTACTTTATTGACTAGCAAACATGAAACTTCTAAAGAAAGTGCATACTTTGCACTTGTATAGATTGCAAATGCATAATCTTAGAAGAGGGCCTCATGCGTATGAAAGGAAAGCAAATCTATATTGAACCTTCTATATGCATTTTTGTATTAATATTACAAATAATTAAAAATAATGGATTTTAACAGATAAAGTTTTTTTTTAAGGAATCACTTATTTCCCCAGGTTTTGCATTCTGTATTCGGCTCTGAAGACTTAAGACTTAGCAACATCAGGAGGGCCACAATTTCCTCACCAATGAACTACTAGAGGAATATTTTGCTTTGCCTCCTAATGACAGCACTTTACATAGGTGGAAATAATACACTGTCCAACCACTTGGTAATCACACCTACTGATCTAGACTTAGTGTGCCATTTAAAATTTACCTCAGCTTTGCTACGGTAAAGACTTCCATATTTGGGTGGGTTTTCTACTTCTGCTCTGTCCTCTTTTATATTTTCAAAGAGAGAGCATTACTTGATTGTCCTAGTACACAGGGTGAGTTGCACTGAACACAAAATATCTTACTATGCAATCCTATGCATGTCTACTCAAAAGTAAGTTCCATTGAATTCAAATGGATATATTCCCAGGTAAGTGCATAGGAAGTCTAATTGAATTCAGTGGGGTTGCTTCTCAGCAGATGTGTAGGATTGTGCGGTTAGTCTGGAAAGAATTTACTGAGAATGCAATGCTATACCTGCCAACTCACAAGCCCCACTGAGTTCAATGGATTTTATTTCCAGGTAATATGGTATAGCACATTGTATATATTTCCTATGTCCTAATAAAATCACTGGGGCTTAAACCCAAGAGTATATGGTTGCAGCCACCCTTAATCATACAACAGAGGGTTCACGAACAAGGATCCTATCCTCAGATTTAGGCTATAATTTCATACTTACTTATCTGGGAGTAAGTCACACTGATTGTGTTCAGTAGATTCCACTGGTAGGAGGGCTTTGGTAGCTACTAGAGCAGCTGCTACATTTGCAAAGGGTCCCAGGTTCGATTCCCTGGTGTGTCCAAGTAGAACTGGGAAGGAAGAGCTGCCAGTCAGTGTAGACAGTGCTGAGCTAGGTAGACCAATGGTTTGACTCAGCATAAGGAAACTGCCTATGTTCCTGTGTACCAAATTATCCATTCTGAGGGCAAACCTAAAATACCTTACCCTGGCAAGGAGGGTGGGAAGACATTAAATCAATGTAATGTATAAGCCCTTGGGGTAGGTTGTAAAACAGTTATGTGACAACATCTTTGATACAAAGAATTATACTGCAGAGAAAAGAGTCTGGTGCATGGTGGCAAAACATCCACTGGCTATCACAAGACTCTCTTCCTCTATCCCAGTCAGGGCCCACTCTACCAAGAGACAAATTGAGGCAGCTGGTTTTGGGTGTCACTGAAAGCAAAATGATTAGTTATTTAGTGTGTTATTGTTCTTTTTCGGTGCCACAAAGGGGGAGAGGCAATTGGGGAAACTGCTGCCCCAGATGCCAAAATAACTTGGCTGTACTTGAAGGAGGGCAGGACACTCTAATTAATGCAGCAAGATATCATGGACTGGTCCTTGTCCCAGTGGTGCTCAGAGTGAGCAAAAGTCTAGGATCCCACACTGCAAAATTGAGGGGCCTTCAAATGCAGCAGGGCTGGCTTACTGTATTTTAAAGTGAATGACCTGATGCACATTAGGGAGTCACTTATAACATAGCTAAATACCTAAGTTCTGCACCCCACCCTTTCTGTAACTTTGCTACTATTTATGAAACTGATTCAGCTGCAGGCAAAATTGAGCCAGACAGGAGAAGAACAGCCCATTATGCTGAATATAATAATACAGTATCGGAGCTGAGTATGTGTGGATCTGTGTGCGTCATCTATCCACTCTTTCTTTAGATGGAAATGCTATCTTGACTGTAGGCTAATCTCTACAGTGAGAGACCCAGGTCCAGGTGTAAGATTAGGCATAAGCAGCCCAATCCTACACATTACTTGATAAGAAGTAAGCACCATTTGAGTTTACTCGCATGCAATTGTACATAGGATTGCAACAGGATTGCACACCTAATTGGGAATAAGTTCCATTCAACACCATTGGGTTTACTTCCAAATAGATGGAGATAAATTTGCATTGCCCATTATTTGGAGCTGTGGGATATGAGAGGTAACCAATGTCTCCTCTTCATTAGAGTCTACCAGGGCCCGTAGCACAATGAAGAAGTGTCAGAAATGGAATCATGGCTAGATTTAAAGGGTTCTTCCTGCAGATAGCTCCAGCTTGAAGCTGGATTGAATAATTTTCTGTTTCTCTCTGGTATTCTCTAACTCTATCTTGGCTGTGAGTTCTCCTTCCTGCCTTGCAGGCCTTTTCCCATGTAGCCTGGGAGGTCAGAGGCCTGATTAATTCCAATTACAAATGCTGCTGCTGCTGAAGAGGCCAGACACCTGCGGTCCTCCTGAGGTTGCTGACTTCCAACTGCTGTCAGCTCCAACTAGCGTGGCCAATAGCCAGGGATTGTGGGAGTTGTAGTCCAATAAAATCTGTAAAGGTTCCCCATCCCTGACTCCAAACCTTGCTGCCTGCCAGTTAGAAAGACAAAGGAGGAACAGGATTGCATGAGGGAGTTTGTGTGCATTCTGGAAGTGTTTATGCTACAATTCATAACATGTATATAAGCATATTTCATTTATAACGTGCTTGACTATTTTTATAGTGTGGCTCACCAGCACAGGGACAACTAGTTATCATTCTACTTTTAAAGATGGGAACCTGCATCTGGAAAAAACCACTTGCCCAGGAACACACAAATAGCAGCAGTGGGCATGAACTCAGGTCTCCAAGATCCCAGTCCATTTCATTGTGCACATGCTTTGTGATATATTTTTTTCCATGTTATCCAGTGGTTAGACCCATCATCACACTGAGGAGCCACAAATTTATCTCCACTGCTGGGATTAAGGGCAACTAGGGCAGAGAAAGTATCCAGGCTGGTTTGAGAGCCTGATACAAATTAGCCATACTAAATGTAAGTGTTCCAAAAGGTCAAGGTAACAGATGCAAAGTAGGTAGCTGGAGAGAGTAAGCCAAGCTAGACACTGCGGGAGTCCGGGGGCGGGTGGAGACAGAAGGCAACTTGTGACTTGGTGAATAATCTTTAAAGGATTGTCCCCATCGAAGGGCGAGCATGCATTCTTCACTAAACGTATAAACCACGGGAGCAGCTCCAATTGCAGTTCACACTGATAATCTGTGATGAATGAACGAATCGATTCAAAGCGCTGATCAATCCACGAACGCTTTCACCCTTACCATGTTTTCTATTTCCTCTCCTCTTTTTCGAATGGATTCGTGCAAAATCCAGGACGTTCCAAGAATTAAGCCTTTGTTCGCTGCCGTGCCGGTCTATTCTCCGGAGTTTTTTCCCCGTGTTATCGCGGTTTGTGAAAGGCTTTGAAGTCTGGTCATTCATTACCCTTCTGCCCTTAGCTTTGCACTGCATGGACCGAGAGAAGCGCTGCCTCTTATCTGTATTTCTGCACTGTGCAAAAGGCGCTTCCCGTAAAGTGTGTGTGCGCGCGCGTGATCTACCTCCAGCGGTAATACCCCTGGAGCCCCTATTCTAAACACAAACACTCGGAGGTCCTACAAAATTCAGCAAAAATGGGGAAAAGGCTCAGTGTAGTATTACTCAGAATCCAAAACAGACTTAATATTATCAGGCGCAATTTGTCTAGCGCTCGCAGCACAGCGATCGCCCCGACGGTTCTCAGGACACGAGGTAGCTCTTTACCAATCTGAGAGAGAGAAAGGACTTCTTTGACAACAGAGACTGTATGCAGACACCTGCGTGCTTCTCTGTTTCCGCGTTAACTGTGTTTAAGGTTAGAGTGGGAGTCATTGCACAGTTTTAAGGGCAGAAAACATTGCTCCGTAAGATGACATTTTGGCCACGTTCAGAATTCCCAATTCTTTCATAAGCCGGGAGGGGGGCGGGGAAGCTAGGAAACGATCGCTGCAACTTAGGGTTTGAATTTAAGAGGAGTAGAAGGCAGATGACAAAGGGTGGGGAGAGTAAAAATCCGATATGTTTAAAAATCGATAAACACCCAATCACAAGGAGCTGATGTAATTTGGTCTGATGTATTAGGGGAAAGATGTCCTTAACTTCGGGTGTCATGAAAACGCTCACAATGCAAGCCAATCAACTCACGCTTCGGTTGTTCTTGTTAAAGGGCAGGCAAAATCGTGGTTCAGCTTTACTGGCCTCTCTCCAATGCGTATGGAACTATATAGATCTGTGCGTGCCGTGGGTGCAGAGGTGCTTGCACAAAGTCACTTCAGGCGGATTAGTTACGCTCCTACTACATCGTTGTCAAGACATGCCGCCGCCACCACCACCACCAAATCCTTTGCCAAGCGCAGTAGATAGTCCCGGATGGCTACCAACCCCAATACTATAGCAGCCGCTATTACAAAGTAGGGACAGGAGCGCAAGGGCTGGAAAACGCCCTCCCTGGTGCTCGTGGTGTGTTTGGAGGGCGGGCAGAACTAAAGAGTGCGAGTTGTCCTGGAGCAGGGATGGGCAAGCTGTGGCCTGCCAATTTTTTTTTTGTTGGACTCCAACTCCCATCAGCCCCGTCCACCATTGCAAATGATGAGGAATGATGGGAGTTGGAGTCCAACGCATCCGGATGACCACAACTTCCCTGTCGCTTTGCCTAGAGATTAGACAAATTCATGGCGGAGTAGGTAGGCTCTCGGTAGCTACTAGTCACGATGGCTGCGATCTGCCTCCAGAGTGCGAGACAGAATGCTTCCCAAAACCCGTAGCTCCAAACCGCAGAGAGGGAAAGTGCTATTGCGCTCAAGTCCTGCTTGGGGGTTTCCCCTTTAGGCTTCTGGTTGGCCATTGTGAGAACAGGATGCTGGACTAAGGATCCAGCAGGACTCTTCTTATGCTAACTAATAACTTTAAAACGTGTCTGTTCACCCTGGCATGTGGCAGCTGGGAGATGCTGTTTCTGGCAGCCTTGAAACTATTAACTGTGTGAGTGTATGTTTCCCATGTTATTAACATTTTTTAAAAAGTTTAAAATAGTTTTTAAATGTTTGTCTCATTTCTAATGCTATTTGCCACCCTGGGCTCCCTTGGGGAGAAAGATAGGTTAGCAAACAAACAAACAAATAAATAAATAGGCGTGGAGAGATGTGATGGAGTGTACATAGTGAAATATTTACATTTTGTAAAACAACAACAACAATAACGGGAGGAAACTCGTTTTGAAAAGTATGCCTCGTGTTCTTTGATCTCTGTTTTCAGCTGAGTAATTGGATATTGTCCAAAATTGCAGGCCAGTGCAAAACCAGTATGCCAGAAGAAATTCATTCTGTATTAAATTATCGAGGAGGCAGTTATGGCGATAGACCTGGAAACTCAGCCTCATTGCTTGGGAAATGCCCTGTCCCATATCTCAACCTAAAGCTCATTTCTTGCGCAGTTTCACTCCTCGCTCCCTCTACCCTAACTCTCGGTCACCGGCTTCATTCCTCTATTCTCGTTTGTTGTTTGATTTACGGTGGGTAGAAAATCCCCTTGGCCCCAACGGGGTTCTTTCTGAGTAGACACCTGCGCATCTTCAACTACTCCCCACTAATTTCACTTGCTCTTACTTTGCAGCCCGAACGCAGGCATCTGTAATCTTTTACCCCGGATTACTGACTCGCAGTAACCACTCTTGGTGGATCCACACTCACAGTCAGCAAAGTGGGCGAGACTTTCCAGTTTCACAAAGTAAGTGAAAGGGGAGGCCTCCCTCTTAACCTCCTTTTCTTATGAGTGTGATCGCATGGTTAAGTAGAAACTAATTCAAATAAAGCAACATTGACATTTTAAAAAAACAAACCATTCTCTGAATGGTCAGGATTTTCCCCCTGGTGTAATGCTCCAGATCGGAGTTCACAGCGTCTAGGTTTAAGGGACTGGTGTTCTGCGCCCACGTTAATGACATTCCCAAAGGTTTCCTGGTGTTCATTTGCGCGCTTGCGGCGCAAAGTCGTCTGGCTTCTACCGGCTAATAATGACACCACGGGCAGGATCCTGCTTTCGGAGAGGCAAGGGGGCGTTGTTGGTTGGGCTCATTGGCAAAGAAGGTGGGCTAGCCAAGTGCGTTGGCTTTTTGCTGAGCGTTTTCCTTGCGGCCCTCCAACAGCAGAGGCACAATGGCACCGCGCTGCCTGCCCGTCCCGCGGCCTTCCCCGCTGCGCGGCGGACGTGCACCTGTAGCTCCCACAAACCAGCGCCCCATTGGACCATCCGCTGCGCAAAAGAGACGGCGACGGGCAGCAGGCAGCGCTAACTGGAGAGTGGCAGGAGAGAGCGCGCGCGCCGGCCTCCTTCCCCGCCGGCCCCGCCTCCTGTCCAGGAGCCGTCTAGGTGTGCGCGACCCCCTCCTCCTCCCTCCACTGCCCCCCTCCACCTCCGCCTGGCCGAGCTCTGATTGGCTGTCGCTGTTGGTTAATGGCACGCGCCTGCGGTTGTAGTTATAAGAATCCTCGCGTGCCGGCCCTCAGCTCGTGTAAGTCCGCAGCCTCCCTCTGGGGAGAGAGCGCGCGCGAAAGCCCGAGGCAGGAGTCGCGGCAAGTCGAGGCGCCGCAGGAGCCCGAGGCGGGGGGCTGAGGAGAAGGAGAAGGAGAAGGAGGCGGCGGCGGCGCCTGGCCTCGTCCCGCTCCCTGCTGGACAGTGTCCCGCCAGGCGGGAAAGAAGCCCGCCATGGAGGCGGTGTTGCTGGAGCACTTCCCCGCGGGGTTGGACTCTTTTACCTCAGCGCCTTACTTCGACGACGAGGACTTCTTCACCGACCAGTCGTCCCGCGACCCCCTGGAAGGCGACGAGCTGCTGGAGGCCGACGTGGACTTCCTGTCGCCTCAGTTCCAGGCCTGCTACCGCGCCGGCGGCGGCGACGGAGGGGCCTGCGTTGGCGCCGGGCCCGGGGGTCAGCCGGAGGGCGCCTTCTGCTGCGAGGGGGCGGCGGGCAGCTTCTCGTCGTCCTTCTCGCCGCCGTCGTCGCCGTCGTCGAGCAGCTTCGGGGCCGAGTGCTGCGGCAGCGCGGCGTCGCCCCGGGCGGGCCTGAAGGCGCTGAGCGCGGCGGCCGCGGCGAGGCGCCGGCGCCGGGTGCGCTCCGAGGCCGAGCTGCAGCAGCTGCGTCAGGCGGCCAACGTGCGCGAGCGGCGGCGGATGCAGTCCATCAACGACGCCTTCGAGGGGCTGCGCTCGCACATCCCCACGCTGCCCTACGAGAAGCGCCTCTCCAAGGTGGACACGCTGCGCCTCGCCATCGGCTACATCAACTTCCTCAGCGAGCTGGTCCAGTCCGACCTGCCCTTGCGCGGCGCCGGCACCCAAAGCCCCTGCCAGCCCAAGAAGGTCATCATCTGCCACCGCGGGACAAGTAAGTGCGGGCGCCGCCCTCCGCCCGGCACCCGAGAGAGGCGCGCGCGCTGGCCGGGGAAGGAAGGAAGCGCTTCCCGCGCTAAGGTGGCTGTCTCGGAAAGCCGCTCCGGCGCGCGCCTCAAGACGCAGGCGCCCTCGCAGTCTAGTTCAAGCGCTGCGCTCGTGCTTGCCTCGCTTTCTCCCCCAGGAAGACGTCTCCACGCTGGCATCCCCCACCCCTCAAAACTCCACCTTAAGCTCCTCTTACACTCTGCCACACGTTTTTCCTCCCTCCCATGGGCGCATGAGCCAACCCTGGCACGCAGACATACCCAACAACAGCACCCACTCTCGGACTTTTAGGGTTGGCATTTTCACACGCGGGGAGACCCGCAGACGCGCGCGCAGAAAATCTCACCCGCACGTACCCGGGCACATTTGTTGTACACAGACGCAAATGCAAGCAGTCCCAGAAAGATCAAGACGAAGGAGCGCACGCTTGGGGAGACGGCAGGCGCTCGCTGTTTCTAAAGTGCGCTTCTCTCGTCCGCGCCCGCAAACTCTTCAGGTCTAGACAACTAGAGGTTGGAAAGGAATCGCCGCCACGACTAGGCATCTCTCTCTCTCTCTCTCTCTCTCTCTCTCTCTCTCTCTCTCTCTCACACACACACACACACACCCCACACACGCGCGGCCAAGCGAGCGCACGGATTCATGTGCGCGCCCTAGCTTCAGGAGGGCTCGTCCTACGGAGTAGCACACGCATATGCGCCTTTTGCGCGAATACAAGGCGCCTCATTGTGGTTAGGAAAAGATTTAGAAATCTGGCAGGTTCAAGGGAGACTCCTACGTGCTATGCTAAAAGTTTCTTCTAACCCCTTCCGCACTCTAAAGGAATGCGCTTCCTAGTCGGTGTTTTCCTCCAAGCACTCAGGAGCAGTCCGGGTGGAGAAAATACCTTTTTGGGGGGAATTGGGATGCAGATATTAAGAGTTCTCTCTATATTAGATAGATAGATAGATACAGTAGATAGAGAGATAGATAACCGCATAGCGGTGTGCGTTGCTGCTGCTTGCAACAGGCGTTGAACGCCAAGGTTAGCCAGAGCACCTGCTGCTGTCCTGCGCTACAATAGCCTAGAGAGAAAACGGGGCGCTTTGGCGCAGGTGTTGATTCTTCCCTGTATTCGCTGAGAATATTGCGATTGTGATTCACCCCTCTTCCTCTCTTTTCCTCCAGGATCACCTTCTCCAAGCGACCCAGATTATGGGCTTCCTCCTTTGGCTGGGCATTCTCTCTCCTGGACTGACGAGAAACAGCTGAAGGAACAAAACATTATTAGGACTGCTAAAGTGTGGACCCCTGAAGACCCTAGGAAATTAAACAGCAAGCCTTCCCTAAACAACATAGAAAATGAACCCCCCTTTGACTTTGTAGCATGAAATGTGAAAGTTACTGGGTTGTAAATATCAATAATCTTTATTACCAGTGTACATTTGTACTTAAAGGCGTATATTTTTCAAAGGTACTTTACAGAAAGGTATTCTAATGGCAATCAACTTTTTTTTATTTATCTATTTATTACTGTTTAGAGTTACAGGAATAGAACTGTCCTTTTGAATGTATAATTTATATAATTTATGCTAATTTAAAAATATGCAATGATTTTGAGATTTATCCACCAGCACCTTTTGGGCACAATTCTTTGTTGGAAAAAGAAACATACATCCCAGAAAATGTGAACATAATTTATTATGATTTGTCGAATATGCCAGTTATATTTTATTATTAATAAACTTTGATTAAATCTGGAGGTGATTTTATTTGGAGAGGTGTGTGCATGAATGGGTGGTATATGTGCGTATGAGGGCATCAGTGTTCAGCTATAACTTTAAACTGGACAAAACTACCTTGATCCCAAGAGAAGTTGCTTTGAGATGGGAACTGGTCTGTACCTATGCATTTAGCAATAGGAGACTTATCCTGCATTTACTATCAGCAGTTTTCTGGCCACATCTATGATGCAAAATCCTAATCCCAGTTTATTCTAGAGTAGAGTGACTCATCTGGATAGGATTACACTTGTGTTGCAACCTTTCCTGGCAAAAGCTTCACCTACAACATTTCCATGGGTCTGGCTCTCCCTCTGACACACAAAGAAGTGAATGTTGAACTCAAAAAAAGTTTGGAGACATATACAGACCATGGAGAGAATGGGTAACATTAATTTTAGTGTTTCAGTCTTACATTTTTATTCTCTACCATGATACTTTTTCCTATAGATTTGTTTTCTTATGACAGCAGAAAGTCCTAGTTATAATTTTTAATGAGTTTTGCAGAACCATTAATTTCAAATGAGTTCATAAACGGCCTTGGCCAGGTGAGATGAGAAATATCTCTTGGGACTGATATAGATGCATATATGTATAAAAAGCTCTATGATGGGGAACGAGGATCTTCAGCACCCTTAACAAACTACAGTTCCCAGGATTCTATTACTTTTTAAAGTGGCATGATACTGCTTTAAATATATAGTGCGGATGGGGCCTCTATATATTGGATGCTATTTTGGACAAAGAGCACTAGGAAGAAGTGAGATAAAAAGCACTAATAGGGCATGGTGAGTAAGGTTGGCCACTGTGAGAACAGGATTCTGACCTGGATGGATCACTGGCCAGATCCAGTGGCTCTTCATAGAATCATAGAGTTAGAAGGGACCCTGAGGATCATCTAGTTCAACCCCCTGCAATGCAGGAATATGCAGTTGCCCCATATGGGGGTCGAACTTGCAGCCTTTGTATTATCAGCAGCACTTATGTTCTTAACAATAAAGGCAAAGGTTTGAATCTGTAGATAAGTAAGTAAGGCTGTACTGCAAATTAAAATCCCTTCCCATCTATGAGACTGAAAGCAAGGAAAGACACAGACCTCTTGAAGAGTATAGAGGCTGCAGAACCTTTCTAGCTGTGTCAGCGGCAATGGGGAGGATGCATTCAAATCCATTTTTTTCACAATACTGATGGGTATTGAATTTTTTAAAAAAGTTCTTATTGCAAGAGATTATTCCTTTTGTGGGGGATCATTTCCTTCTAAAAATTAACTGTCCTTTGAAAGGGCATGTTAATTAAGGAATACCTTCATTAAGATTCTGTACTATGCACATCTTTGATTAATCAATTAAAATGCACCAATTTTCAAAAGTAGTTTTGATTTAAGCCCATCATCATTATTAGCAATAATAATCCTTGCAGCAGCAGCACAGTTTACTTTCAGCCTCAGTTTTTCATCTATAAAATGGGGATAAACGTGATTTAACGCCAGATGGAGGCGAGATTAGTGTGCATCTTAAAATACCGAAAACACGATTCAGAGCAATGAACATCAACCGACGGGAAATAACGCTAAATAAGCATCTTACCCCAACCCGCCTCCCACCCAAGCAGCAGGGCAGCGTATGCAGAGATGGAGGAAGAGATGGGATGCAAACCTCTTGCCCGGAGAAGCAACTTCAGGGCATAACGTTCTCAGGCCTTCCTTGGAGGTTCCTAAGCAGAGTTTGGACAGCTGCTTTAACTGAGATTCCTGCATTGCAGGGGGTTGGACTAAATGACCTTCGGGATCCCTTCCAGCTCTGCCATTCTATGATTCTGTGAAAACGGGGAATGATGGTGTTGCCCTGGCCAGGAAGAAGTGGCTTGTTTGACAAGAAGCCCTGTGTTGAGCGGCAGCCCTCAAACACCTTAAAAGGTATTTTTTATTATTTATTGGAGAAGAAATAAAAAAAGAAAAGAGGATCGGAGCCCAGGAGATGTTAGACCAGGGCAGCCCCCCTCTCTGCACCTGTAGGAGTGGGACCTTGGCGCGGAGGGAGTTAATGTGTGCCCGGGGTGTGTGTGTGTGTGTGTGTGTGTGTGAGAGAGAGAGAGAGAGAGAGAGAGAGAGAGAGAGAGAGAGACTTCTGGCCGCGCTGGGCTGCTGCTGCCCCGGCCGCAGGTGCTGATTTTCCCGTGGTACCCGCCGCTTGCGAGGCCTGGCGGGCCGGGTGGGTGGGCAGGATGGATCCCCCCGGGGAGAAGATCCCAGATGCCCAGGCCTGCAGCTTGAGCCGGGAGCCTTTGCGAGCTGCCCCGGGCTGCGCTGCTCAGCCGAGCGGATGGGAACCGCGCGGAGTCCCGGGTGGATAATCGCCCCCCCCCCGCCACTCCGGTAACTTGGGGTTAGGGGGAGCAAGATGATCGCCTGGCCTAATTGCATTAACCTAGATAGGCCAGCCTCGTGGATCCCTTCCAAGAGCAGTTACCCCCCGCGAGCCCTACTGGGCCACATCAGATGGGGCCAAAGCTCCCTCCCCACGCAGTCTGCTCCCCCCATCCCGCAATCCGTGCAAAAGGAGAAGAGGAAGAAACGAGGACAAGCTGGAGAAATGCAGCGAGGCTCTTGCAGCGCGGGCGAGAGAAGGAGGGCGGCAAGCAGCCCAAGTTCTAATTCGATTTTGCCCTGTATTAGGTCCTCATTAAACACAGAAAGTCGCCTTGGCACAAACGCTTCCAGGAGGCATGTAATCGCATTACACTCATTAGAAAGTCAAATGGTCGTCGGACTGCAGCATAGTCGTGGATCTAAGTTAGGGAAGGGCCGGTCCCGTTGGCTGTGTGTGTGTGTGTGTGTGTGTGTGTGTGTACTCGATTGGACGTGCTGCTGTGGCACTGCACAATTCAAACACTACACGCATTGTTAAGGGGCACCTTTTCTTCGGCCGTGCCACTTGTGTGTGTGGTTTTTGTCATTCAATGCCTCATCACCCTCCTTTAGTATGGTGCAGATCAAGCGGAAGAGCCGGCCTGCGCGGGGAAAACACCAGGGTTTCTATCTTGTCAGTCTCCCGTCTTGACTTGGCAAGTCCCTTTAAAAGGCCGGCTTCAAAGAAGCTGACAGGTTCTTGGGCGTTCGCTCATAAATCCATTCAGCCCAGTTGCAGCAATTTTGCTATTATTATTATTATTATTGCATAACTTCCATTTCAGACCCTGTCTGCTCCCCAAATAACCCTCCCACAAGCCCTACTGGCTTGGAAGTTGCAGCAGAAAACTATCAAGATATGGAAGAGCCGTAGCAGTGGGTGGTTGGGGGGGGGGGCCGTGGAAAATATTGCTTGGCACTGGAAGGAACCAGCGTGTGGGCTCGCATGACTGACAGCAATTCAAGCCTTTGAAATCAGCCTCCCCTCTTCGCCCCCCCAAACAATAACAATATTCATAGATGTGCCCCCTCCCCTTGGGTTGGTGGGTTTGTATTCAAATAAATTATGCATTCACACTCTCTCACACACACACACCGCTCAGCTGCCTGATCGGAAGTAAGCAGCATTTATTTATCGTTGCTGAAGCAGGGTGGGTGGAGAGAAAACCGAACCAGCTTTCAAAATAATCCAGTTGCAGGTTTTCCAGCAAGATTATTGTGATCTGGTTGACCACACGATACCTGATCTACAACTAGAAATAGTCCTTTCAAAGTTGCCTGCCAGTCAAATGGGGGGGGGGGTTGATGATGGGAATTATGAAAACGATGCTGGTCATTATGTTGCCTATGAAAAACCCAGACCAAACCTTGACTGCTCCGGGACTGGCCTCAGGGTGGCCTTTGCACGGCCCTCCCCTCCCCAGTGTGCGAAGGCGCAGCCTCGGGTTATTTATTTATTTTGTTATTTCTAAATACCCAAAGCAGGCACAAAAGCTGCAGGCTTTTTTTTTTTTGTTAAGTTAGCTCCTGAACTTTTCCTGCTTCTTGTCAGCCAAGTTGTCCTCGCCCTTGAGGCCAACAGCATTCGTGATGCCCCTTAAATCCCACTGAAAAGGCCATTTCGTCGTACACAAAGCAGGCGCAGAGAGACCATTAAAAACCTCGAAGCATCAATCTCTTTGGGGAAAAGGTATGGGAAAGGAAGTGTCTCTCCTCCTGCAAGCAAAGGCAGGGTTGCAGGGAGACTTGAGAACCTGCTCCCTTGGGATTCCCAGGCCTTCTAATCCGCCAATATTAGGATTAAGGCCCCTATAATATATGGGGTGTGAAACCTCGGCTAGGCATGAACTCATCCCATTTTCATTAAGGTCTCTTTTGCAGTGGCACCGAGGACCAGCTGCCAGGATGAACAAACACCAGTTGAGTGTCCCTGGTAAATCTCACTCCTCTCCTCCTCCTCCCCCCTTTTTTATCCCTCTTTCTTTCCACCCCCACCCCCTTTCTCCCCCTCCCCAAGGCCTGTGGGAATGGGCCCGCGCTCATTCCACAACAAATTGCATTTTCGAGATCTGGAAGCCTTAGGAGGCAGCGATTCCCACGACGGGATGTGAGGTCTGGCCAACAGGTGTTCGGATTTGGCCGAGGGAGATAGGAAAGGAGGCTGGGGAAGGGAGAAAGCTTTGCTGCCAGGAGAACAGGCTGCCCGGGCGCCTCTTGCCTTTTACATGGCGTGGAAGCCGCAGACAATCGAAATGATATCTTTATTGCTAGGTTCATGTCCTGGGCTATAACATATCAATCCCTGTCGGGTTTCCCTCGGATGCACCTGGTATTTCAAACTTGTTCTTTTTGTGTTTTTCTGGGTGCTGAGCTGCAGCTGCCTAAAACAAGCAAAGGGAGAGAGAGGTCCTTACAATGTCTCCAAGGCGTGTTGGCATGGTTTGCTTGTCTTTAATGTACCATTAAGCATTGTCTTGACACAATATGGGAACTGTAAAGCATGGCATGTGTTATAATAAAACACATTTTCAATGATGCACTTGCAGTGGGAGCTGAGATGCTAGCAAACAAACAGGCCCAGAGTCTTGCTTCTTTTTTCCCTTTTTTTGTCTGCCTTTGCTCAGCCTTCAACGGGCAATTAAACTTAAGACCACTACTTTCCCCCCCTCCTTGATCAGCCAATTACATTTTATGTCTCCTAATTTTTCACACAGAAAAAAAAGTCTCCGTGCTGGCCTCTAAAGACATTGATTTTCTTGCTATCACCTGGCGTTCAGACCTTAGTTCCATTTATCAAGAAGGGGAACGTCAGGCGTTGCATAAAGTGACTCTGTTACCATACGGCTCTCACCATCCTGGCCTATTGTTTTCCCTTGTTAATAACTCATTACCAGGATTTAACAAATCCACCATTACATATGTTTTGTGTCTCCATATTTTGATCCGTACGATTAAGCAGATGTTACGATTGAAAATTGAAAAGTCCAAGGCTACTCTAGGCTGAAAGAAAGAGGGCAGACTCAAACAACGAGCTAACAATGAGATTCAGAAGATCTTCAGAAAAACATTTACGACCAATAAACAGACTCCAACCTGCTCCATTTCAACCATTGTGTGCCTGGGGGGAATAATTAAGTTTAATAGGGAATAGGTCTGCGGGGTTTTCAATGCCAAGATCACAGGTGCGGGGTGGCACGCTGAATGATTCGCCTGATTTTTGCCAAGCTCAAGGGCCCTTCTCCGGGACTTGCGAGCAGGGGGAAAACATTGTCATTTCTTTTAATTCGCAGCATTACTTTTAAGGCGAACAAAGGGGCGGGGGGAGGGGGCGCCTGAGTGGCTGGCGCGGCGAATGAGGCGCGCGCGGCTGCACAAGAGAGCAGCCTCCTCAGCCGAGCGCGCCGCCAGATTGGTGCGCAGGGGCCTCGGTGGGCCTCCTAAAAGCCTCGCTCCTCACCCCCCCGAGCGCCCCCCCGGCCCCACGTCGCCCCCAGCAGGAGCCGGGGAGCCTCCGGAGGCCTCCGCCCAGCTCTCTGGCGCCTCACGTTCGTCGCTCGAGGGCCAGGCGCCTTTCTGGGTAGCTTGGCCAAACTTTCCCCAAACTGTGGAGCGAGCGCCTGGGGAGGGTCCCCGGCTGGAGACGCGCATGCGCCCCTCTTCTCCCCTCAGTGCCTGTGGCTCCGGGGAGCCGGCGAGAGGCCCGCTCGCGGCACCCCAGAGAGCAGAGGACCCCCTGCCGCAGAGCCAGCCCCCTTCCTTTTGCCCACGAGGCCCCAGGAGACGGCAAAGAGACCTCCAACAAGAGGTGTCCGCCTGCCCTGGCCTCGTTGCGCATGGAGGTCTCCAAGAGGGACCCCCAGCAAGGCGAGGCGGTCTGAGGCGCGGGCTCGCGAGCAGGAGGCGGCTTGGTGGCTGCGGACACCCTGAGGGGAAGGCGAAGGGGCGAGCGTCGCCTCGGGCCCGCCACCCGCCCTCCAAGCGCCTGTCAGAGGGAGAAGAACCGGGCTCCCCTGACAGGAACTGTGTCGCTGGCGCTCGCTGCCAGCTCCGCGCCCACTCCTGCCTCCAGGCCGCTCGTCTCGCGGGCCAGAGGCGCCCAGGCAAAGGGTGCCTCGTCCCTGACCTCGGCCCGCACCCCGGAGCCCCGTTGGGGTTCTCTGAACCGCCCGGCTCATTCGCTCATCGCGCCGCCAGCTCCTTTCCCCTCCCCTTGCCGCGCACCTGCTCTGAGGGAACTTGTTGCGCGGAACGCCTGTCACGCTGCCAGCGAGCTGCTGTCCCGCGCAAAGCTTCCCTGAGGCAGCCTGGGCTTGCCAGCCCCGGGCGAAGGCACACCTCCGCCCCCCTTTTCTGGGGAATGGCCTTTTGGGGAGCAGTTTCCCCCTCTCCTTAAGGCAGGTGGGTTGCTCTTGTCGCCTTCGGCGCAACGGCGCCTTGACGGGCCTCCAGTGCCTAGCGAGGCCTATGCCGAAAGCGTTGCTTTCGAGGAGGGTAAATGGGGACGCGGGAAGGATGCGGGCGGCCGGGGGAAGAACCCGGAGTCTGTGGGGGCAAGAGGTTGGTCGCGGGAGGCACTCCAAGCAGCCTCCATTCCCCATGACTGGAAACCCCGTCAGGGCTCCTTCTCTTTCCAAGCTCCTCATTTTGCTCTAGACCGAAGTTGGGAAAGAGAGTGGCCCCACTGGCAGGACATTACATTCCTTTCCAATTAAAGCGATCGCTTCTGGGGAGCTTGAGCCTTTCTCAGCCCCGACGGAATCTGAAAAGCCCCTGGAGGGTTGCTGAGTGTTTTTCTTTTTTTGAGGTGCAGAAGCGAGGAAGGGAGAAGGGAGTGAAAGGTGATGCCGTTTGTGGCGCTGGCGAAGAGCTGGAGCGAAGCGAAGAGCCGAGAGTGCAAGGAGCGCGCGGGGGGAAGCGGGAGAGCGCCTGCCCGGGCAGCAGCCTTCGCGATTTGCAGCTCGCGCTTTGGCTAAAGGGCACTTCCGTTAGCAACAGGCCGTTTCCACGTCGGTGCAAAGTTATTTGGGACTTTGTCAAACTTCGCTTTGTGGGAAGGCAGCTCCTTTGGCTAGGCGCTCAATGGGCACCCACCCGAAGCTGAGAAAGCGCCCCCCTTCTTCCTTCCCTCCCAGCGCTTTCAAGAAAAACTTGAATAGTTGTTGTCAAAAGTGGAGAAGGCAAAAAAAGGGGAGTTCCAAAGAAGAAGAAAAAAGCCCCTTGAAAAGTCTTGGAAATGGGTAGATTTTGCAGGTGTGTAGAATGAAGTTAACAACCATGCACAGTGTGGGCTCCCCCAGTGCGGAGAGTGTGACAGGGACAGCTGGCTCCGTTTTCCCTGTGAAATCCCCCCCTTGGTGGACCATACACAACGACAGTGACCTTTCTGCAGGGGGAACCAGAGCCGGCCCTTTGACTGAATTAGTCACAAAGACGTCTTGCTATGACTTTTGTTCCTCGCCAAAGCCAAGAAATATTGCGTTTAATATGAGAAGGATTGTCTCCAGCTTTCTCGTGCTCCTCCAAGAAATATGACCGCTCTGCTTTCAAGGGAGCTCGTTTCTCTTCCCTTGAGCGCCTCTCGGCTCTTGCTCCCCCCTCGCCCCTTTCCCTCCCCAAGACCTGCGGACGAGGAGGCGCACTTTTTCCAGCGTGCCTCCTTCTTGCAAAGAGGAGCGCTCCGTCTGGGTGTGCAGCGGCGAATTTATCAATCTTTTCATGATCTGACAATACTTGGAAATACATCATTGTCACTGGGGGTGGCTTGATAGATTAGCTGGAGGCGCGGAGCCCTTTTCCAAGGTCAAGTTGAAGATTCTTATTTGCTGTTGCGCTGAAGTTTGTGAGAGCGCCGAACAATGCCAGCCTGTTAACTTGCCTCTTGTTTTGGAGAGGAATCTCATCCTCTTGCCCTCCAAAAGCCTTTTCTTACTGATGTCTCTTATGGGCTGGGGGGGAGGGAAGAGCGATTAAAAAAAGAAATGCTCCCCTCTCGGTCTCCAGTAAAAGTTTACAACCAGTTAAGAGGGGACGTCTGAAATTAAGGAAGATGGAAAGAGGCGAAGGGCGTTCTCTGAGTGTCCCAAGACACTTTCTCCCCCTAAAGCAAGGTGCCAATGTTTTATCTTTCGCTTTGCAGGGCAAGGCACAAGCATCGCCTTCCCTCCTAGGTGCCTGGGGGCGATTTCTTTTTACGAGTTCGGTTCCCAAAAGCTTTGTTAGTGGCAGGACAGCGCTGGATGGCAACTGTTGCCAAAAGCTTCATTTTTTTTTTTTTACTAGCCTTGAACCTGTTGTCTAACGGACTCTTTGAACTTCTCTTTGCTGGGCTAAACGTTTTCTTTGCCTCTCTTTGCAGACTTCTTCAGCGTTAGTGTGGATTGCGCAGACAGTTCCTTCTCCCTCTCTCCCTCCCTTCTCTCTCTGAGATGATTGATATTTGTTATTCAACCCAACTTTTATTTACCTTGCAAAAAAAAAAAAATGTTCGGGGGACCCAATGTGATAAATTACAGATATGCAAATCACATTGAATGGTCTTGTAAGTGTGTCTCGCTGGAGCTGAATAAGACCTTGCAAGCCGGTCTGTGCGCACTCAGGACCCCAGGGAGCTGATCAAAGCACCCATTCTCTTTCATCCCCAGTATTCTCCTCCAAACTATTTCGATACAATATGTTTCCATGATGCCCTTAATAGGCTAGGGACACAGAACTCATTACAACCTAGCTAGTTCTGCCGACCCCTTTGTTCGGAGGCAGAAAGTTAAAGAGGAGAAAAAGGAGTGGGGAAGGGGGGAAGGAAAGAGAAGCTCTGCCAGTTGCCAGCTTTCTGAAATGCTAAAGCATGCGTCATTTTTCACTGGGTCTCGTCTTGATATCCTCAAAAGAGAATCTATGAAACCGGCTTGGCCTTTTCTGGCATTAATTACACTGCTGTCCAGGCGACCTGTTTTTCCTATTATATGCATTTCTCAGCAGGGTTTTTTCTTTTTCTTTTTGCAAGACTTTTTTTTTTTGCAGCTGCCAGTTAAATTATGAATGCATTTTTATCAGTATGGGAAAAATAAGAGTGAATGTTGCCTATTCTCATTGTGCACTCTTCAATTTTAAGGAGTTTTGTGGTGGTGGTTCCATATTTAGGGGGAAATGGAAATATGTGATCCAGTTTAACAATCCATATTTTGGTGTGTGGTTTTAACAAGGAAGAATCGTGCTTCATTTTATAGTTCATTTCTCAGAGTGATTTGTTTTTAGTGTAGGTTAGCTGGATGCAACATATTGATTTCTCTAACCATGTACCAGCGAAACTCAAAAGCCTTGCTAAAAGCCTACAGCAAAGGGATCGCGTGGGTAAGTGGCTGCGTCCATCTGTAGACTCTCACACTTTGGACGCAGTTTCCAAGCCTTCTCTTGAGGAAATGGGCTAAGTAGGGATGCCTTGAAAGTAAGGTCAAGTGTATACATGACTTCAGGGGATTACTTGCACGTGTGGAACAGCGGTCACAAAAAGTCAACACGCCTAAGAGCTCGCTCTTATCAGCTGACACCGCTTCAAACGCAATGCTTTCCAACAGAGGGCGTTCACGCAAATACCCACATTGATTCATACGGTGCTGAGGGACGTGTACATGCATGTGTGAATCAGTCCCGGCGCTTAGTTAAAGTCGGTGGGACTTATCAAAGGACGAGGTTTTATCTTAGAAGGACGCGGTTATGCACGCCCTAAGTACAATTCAAGGCTTCGGACTCTTGATGCTATCAGTACTCACAACCGCATGCAATCCCTATCCACATTTTACAAAGGAGGAAGACGACGGAGAAAGAGTGACCTGCCCTAGGCTGCAAACGAGCTGAGGTTTGCGTTCATTTCCGCGTCCAACCCTCTAGCTATCCATTTCTCAGACTGTAACCCATTTGGTCTGGAGTCCCCCCCCCCCCTTCCCTTGGAATAACATTAGGCAAAGTCGCTTATTTGGGCAGCTTTTGCTGCTGGTGTCTCTCAAAGCAAAAACCCCCCAGCTCTATTTCTCGGGTAGGTATTGCGACTAGAGCGTTTGTTTTCTGGGGTTGATTGGTTGGTGGAAAAATGGCTGGCAGCCAGTTCTGGGAAAGATTCCAGCCCTGACTCCGATTAACCCTCTCTGGTGAAACTCTGCTGGAAACCAACTCACCAGCCATTGCCATTAATCTACTTACTAATTAAGCCAATTCATTTCTAAAGGAGGGAAAAAATTCCTTTCTTTGGCCCAAGTGATGGGAGGAAATTTGAAAGAAGCGCCAAACTGTGTAACTGTAATTCAGCCAAGGGACTGCTAAAACAAGCTTGTTGATATATAGCAGGAGGCTGAAACCAAGTTTCTAGGGCAACAATCCTTTGGAAGCGCCTGTGGCACACACAGCAAAAGGAGCTGATGCCTGAAGAATGGCAAGGGCTGCTGCAGAGGGGCCATTGTGTCGGTCGGGCGTGGGGGAGAAGCACTTCCCTCCTCACCAAACCACAAGGGGGTCTCCAATCAATCCACCACCATCCAGGCTCAGGGTTCATTATTAGGGGTCCTCAGTGGAGGATTTGGAGCTTGGAGTCCCAACAATCCAAAAAGGTGAAAATTGTTAACATTGTGCAACTGGATTTGAATGTAGATGGTTGAGGTCAGTGGTGGTCAAATGGGCCCTCTCGATCCCTCTGATTGGGCTCTTGGGATTATCCCTGCACCACGTCCCTTTCCCCAAGCCACACCCATCATCGTCCCTGTTGCAGGGCTTTTACCTGGCTGGAACGAGTCCTTAAACCTTCACAATGCCTCTTTTAATGTGGGTGGAATGTCACCTACTAGGCAAAATAAGCACCACATTCATTGTTCTAACCACCTTTACCTTTGGCACTCAGAAGGTTGGCTTAAGGGATGGAGGAAGTCACTTCTTAAAAGAGCGCAGTACCTCCCGTTTCACCTGGTGGTTCTTGTTGGCATCCCGTTTGTGTGTGAAGGATGGTTGGTTGTGCTTGAGGGGCAGTAAAAAGCTCCTTACTCACCTGAACTGTGGGATGTGATCCATGAGAAGAGGTCAAGTACAACGTTCCTTGTAATGCTAGAGAAGACATGTGAGGGAATGTTTGGTCCAGCCAGTCAAAACTTCCTGTTCCTCCTGGCTGGAACATCCTTCCTTTTGCATGTAATAGGAGGTGGGCGTGACCTAACCTGTCCAGGTAAAGAAAGGACGAGTCATCCAGCACACTTCCCTCTTTTTTACTTCCTTCTTCCTTTGACCAGCTTTTAGCTAGGACTGCTCTGCTAGCTCTCAGCTAGCAGAAGCACTGGGATTATTCCCCCATATGGGGTAGATCCGCATGTACATATTTGTAACTAAGTCTGCCTTCAGGAATCCAACTGTGAACTGATGTGAGTAAACTTCTTTTATTGACTTTGAAAAAGATTGTGCGTCTTTATTCTTTTAAGAGGGATTTAAGGGAATTTACCAGGAATGTACAATTCAATCTGAGACAGACTGAACTGTACAATAGTGAGAGGCTCACACGAGCCTGCAACCAGCTGTCTGCTGTGCATGTAAAAAGGGGGATGTAACTATGCTAAGTACAGTAAATGAACTTGCTAGCGCAAGTTAGGAAGGATATTAATAAACAATATATCCTCTCCTGCCACCCTGAACATTCCCACATGAACCTCACAGGCTCAAGGTAAATATATTTGCATTAGGAAGAAGATTCCTGGCTACGTAAGCCTTGATGCAACTTGAGTGAAGATAAAATGGCATCTGTATGTTATTATTTCAAAATAAAGTAAAAACAAAACCAGACATGCTTTCAGCATTTGCCAAAGCAATGTACAAGGCTAAAAACAGTAAGAGGTATTAGGAAGAAATAAGGATGGTAGCTTCCTGGCTGGGCACATGGAATTGCTGGTACCTCCAGGTTGAGCTGGGAAAGGCTTCTAAGTCCCCGGAGAACTGCTGCTAGTCAGTGTGTGGATAATGTGATAGAAAGGCTAATGGTCTGGTTCAGCGTCTATGTAAACTGGTTCAGTTTCCCATGTTTGTAATAATTAAAGAAACCTTTGATTCTGAACAGGCTGCCATTAAAAGGTTACCAACATTACCATAAAATTTTAACTACAGTGGACGCTCGGGTTGCGAATGTGATCTGTGCGGGAGGCACGTTTGCAACCCGCAGCGCCGCATCTGCGCATGCATGGGTCATGATCTGGCATTCTGCGCATGCGCAAAGCGCGATGTAGCACTTCTGCACATGCGCGAGCAGCAAAACCTGGAAGTAACCCATTCCGGTACTTCCAGGTTCGGCGCGGTGCGCAACCCAAAACGCGCAACCTGAAGTGTCTATAACCCGAGGTATGGCTGTAATCTAATCCCAAAATACATGATGATATGTCCACATGTGAAAGAGAATGAAGATGAGGCCTGGTTCACGCAATCATGCCATTCATCTGGTGTGTGATGGCTCTTTAGATGTGTGAATGTGGCATCAAAGACAGCCACACCACAGAGAAAATTTTCAAGTTACTTTTCAATTGAGTTGTTTCACATATTTGGTTGCCAGGCCTCATTGAAGGAATTTGTGCGGCAAAAAAATAATGTGAATGACCCAACCTTGGGATTATACTTAAACATACAATGTAGGGGAGAAAATTAATTTCATTTCCTGCAAAATAAAACCCCACCATCCTAGTTTATTAAAGAAAACATATTCTAATAAGATTGCAGAATGATGATATGGGATTTCGTTTTACTCCTTGCCAAAACTGGATTTGCAGCCTTCAGGCTGAATTTAAGGACCAACTTCTAGTTACATTTTAACTGGAAGCAGTTGCAGTGTAATGTAAAGGCCCAGAAAGATGTGCCTTAAGTTAACTCTTTATTTAAGGCTGTTTGTTCTTTAAGGCAGAAAAAAGTAACCCTAAGCCAACTCTCTGGACAAACTTGCACACAAAGTGTGTGCAGTAGAAACTATTCAGCTTGGCAGGACTCCATTACTCAGGAGAGATGGTTTCCTGTGCACCCCATGGGGTTGGTAGGAGAAGTGAAAGTATTCACTGGACAGGGCAGCTGTGCAGGACATCCTCTGCATGTGACCAGATGTTGACTCTTGCTTTCTCTCTTGCCTTTTCTTCCCACAGGTGGCTCTTACCCCAGCTATCAGCGTATAGATGAATGGGGTGAAGGCAATTGCTCAAACTCTTCCTCATCCGCTGACTCTGAAGCTGAGAAGAGGAAGAGAGAGAACACAGATAGCTTGAAACTGCACCTTGGAATTCAATGCAATGCTGTATTCCATACAGGTCAATTTGGAGGGGGTTACAAACAGCTATTTCCCACTGTTGGAAGACTATGATAAAAACAGCATTTGGCCTTCCCACAGCCTTGTTCATTGGACTGATGAGCCCTTCTAAACCAAATCAGTCTGCTGCAGAAAGGATTGCTGCACCCTGAAGGGTAAGGCTTGCAAGCCACTGCATCACCTACCTGGAGGTAAGCACCACTGAGGAAAGCAGGACTTGTTTCTGAATAGACACGTGTAGGATTACACTGCATATAAGTTTTAGTGTGGACCAGAGTCTACATCAGATTCAAGGAGAGGATACTACTTCATGTATCTGTTGATGTGGGCTCTGGAACACGTCCCACATTTGATAAAGTCTACCTGAAGAGCACGTCCCACATCTGATAACGTCTACACAACCTTCTGCCACCATAACAAATTGTGGGATGTAATCCACTGGGAGCAATCAAATACAACATTCCTTGTTTTGCTAGAGTGGACATGCAAGGGAATGTTTGGTCCAGCCAGTTGAAACTTCCTGTTCTTCTTGGCCTGGAGCATCCTTCCTTGCATGTGACTAGTAGGTGGGCATGACCTTTCCAGACCTTGTAAAAGGCCAAGTCATGCTGCTACCTTCCTCTCTTTTCGACCTTCCTGTTCGTCCTGCCTGCTTCCTGCATCACCTGGACTGTACTGCAGGCTGCCACAGCAGTTCCCCAGGTCATCTTCCATATGGGGTTAACCTGTTTGTACATGTTTGTAACTTTAAGCCTTAAGCCTGCCTTCAGGAGTGAGTAAAACTCCTTTTTGTTACTTATGAATAAGACTGTGGTTTCTTTATTATTTTAGGAGGGATTCAAAAGGGGTCTTATCAGGAATATTAGAGCATACAAGCCAGATTGAATTGCTTATTGTCTTAAGAAACTCACACGAGTTTGCAACCAGCTTTCTTCTGCGTAAGAAGGGGAATGCACTCCACTAAGTGAAGAAACTTGCTAGCGCGAGTTAGGAAGGATATTAATAAACAATATATCCTCTCCTGCCACCCAGAAGTGGAGCATATGCCCGCGCTGCCCAGGGTGGGCATGCTCCCAAGGGGGGCATGGCACAGAGGGTGCCCTCCCAAGTGTGGGATAGCCGCTCGGATGTCTGGAGTGGTGTGTGCGCCCTGCAGCCAGGGACGGAGGAAGCCCCTCACGGGGGTGGAGCAAGCCACCCATGGTGGACATTTGGCGCACTGCCCGCCTGCGATTCCCAAGCCTCCCCCAAGCTGTCAAAACGAAGGGGGAAGGGGGGAATGCCACTGGCAAAGTGGCGCAGCTCCCCCCTTACCCCGACAGCTCAGGGTAGGCTTGGGAGTCATGGGCAGGTGGGGGGGGCGCACCAAATGTCACTCCCCTCAGTGAGGGCACTTGCGTACCGCCCCCACCGCCCCCCTTCCTATGTCCCTGCTGCCACCTTCAACAATCCCACACAAATCTATTAGCTTTTAGTGTGCCACAAAACACTACTGTTTTTTTAAAAAACAGTAGCACCTACTACATAGACCAGGGGTGCTGCGGGCAACACTGGCCTCTGTCCCTCTTTCCTTCCCTCTCTCCTCTGATGCCTTCTTGCGTCTCTGCCTCCCAAAGGCTTGCACAGCTGTTTGTTGCAGCAACACTGGTTATAAGCTCCGCAGGCGAATGGTGCCTCTGGGGCTGGTCAGGGGGTGCTGGTTGCCAGGAGCTGAGGCAGCCTCAGTAAGCAAGCAAGCAAGCAAGCAAGGTAGCCCAGCCAGCCTGTCTGCCAGCCCTTGCTGTTGGGAATGGACAGACAAGTCCCAGGCCCCTTTGGGTCAGTGTGAAGAGGCACCTCTCTTTGGGGCGGCAGGGGCAGGAGGAAGGGTAGTTCAGAGACCAGGGGTGGCAGCAGCAGCTGCCCAGAGGACTCCCAAGGGGAGAAGAGAGGAAGCTGAGGGAACACTCCACAAGGGAAAGAGGCTGCCAGCTCTGTAGGCAAGGGGTGACATAACTGGGCTCCTGAGCCCCACAGGGGTGCCGCAGAAAGAATGTAGTTGGCCAAGGGAGCCATGGACTCAAAAAGGTTGAAAACCTCTGACAATAGACCGTCAAAGCAATACACGCACCACCAGATGCTCCCCCACCTGCCACCAGACAGGACATCACCTGCTCATGAGCTAAGACCAGGAAGATTTCATGAGGGGTTTAGTATACCCCAACCTCAACTCTATACTACCTGCCATGTGTAAGCCAGTGCCACAAGGAGACCTGGTAGAACATCAGAGAGATTTCAGGTCTTTCTCTTGAATATTTTGTTGGTATTTTTCTCTTATCTCATTTTGATTGTGCTTCAAGTTCATTTAAAAACACACAAAACAGGCTGGAATCAATGTGCCATCAAAATGGTATAGTATTTTGATGGCGTGGAGATGCTCCATTGGCTTTTAAAGGGGCAAGACTCACTTACATGAACACATCCATAGGATTGGGCTGCACACCTCTAAGTGCTCGCTTGCAGTTTCCAGGTGGCTAGCCACCTTAGCCTCTTGCAGCAAGAACAATAAAGGGTTGTGTTAAGTGCTAGTGGTAGTTGTGCACCAGTGGTAGAGCACATGATTTTCATGCAGAAGGTCCCAGGTTCTGCAGATAGGGCTGGGGGGGGGGGAAGAAGTCTGAAATCCTAGAGAGCCCCTGCCAGCCACTGAGCTAGATGGACAGATGGTCTAAACCCAGTATAAGGCAGCTTCCAATGGAATACAGATAATTCAGGGCTAATAGACACCACATAATGAAAGGCTACTATCCTAAGACAGACCTGAAGACAGACCCTGAAACACACTATCTTTAAAGCTGCAATTCTATACACACTTACCTGGGAGTAAGTCCCAGTGAAGTCTGTGGGGCTTACTTCTGAGTAGACATGTATAGGATTGTGCCAACTGTCAACCTGAGCACTAAACACATATGGAAACACATTCTGTTTTAAGCAAGGGGGACTTGCATACAAGGAATTAATTTGTGATGGGAGTGGAAGTGAGGGCTGTTTCACCTGTTCAAACATTCGCACAGGGGAGGGGATTTTGAAAAGTTGTCCTTAAAGTGGAGACAGGCAGAGCTGATTTTTCAAGAGGAACAGCCTGTTGTACAATGTGGTAAAATCAGGGTGGTTATATTTTCCTGGCAGAGCCTTTGCCTTGATGAGATTTGCGCAAAAGGCAGAAGTTCAATGGGTACAGCCTTTCCCGTCATGCTGAGATAAAGTTATACTTGTTGAACTTCTGTCACGATGCAGCTGTTCAGAGTAGAGAAAAAGGAAAAAAAGAAAGGTGGCAACTCTATTGTGGATCCAGCTGAAAATTCTCAGGCAGAGGGGAACGCTGTAGAAAAGGAGCCAATGCTGTCCTTTCACGTGCCACGTTAATTTACATGTTAGTTTTTATTCCAGCTGCTGTGGAAACCTCTCATTGTTCACCCACATGTTGCTGCTTGTGTGGAAAGTGACGTCTTGAGGCTTAGCAGTTAATCAGGTGACGTCACCTATGCACCAGTTAATGAAATACTGCTGTCCTACTTTGAACCTTCCAGAGTTTGGGAAGCAGGTGCCTATGGCGCCTCCGAGGGAATCCCTATAAATAACCAGCCTCAGTCTCTGCTGGGAGGTGAAACAAGTAAGCCTCTCATTCTAGGGCAGGGAAAGGGCAGAAGTTAGCTGTAGCCAACCCATCTGAAACTTGCCTACTTCTGGAACATCTGTAATGTGAGCTCTCCATCCTGGTTCAGGAAAATAACACAGAATTTATAATGTGTGTGCGCGCGCGCGCAATTAAAATATGTATGTATTAAGATAACCTATCTTTTCCAAATAGGGAATAAACCACATGGATATTCTGTGTAATGTACACACACACACACACACACACACACACACACACAGAGGGAGCCTAAAATGGGATTCCAAACTATTTCAACTGCTGTGCCTGCAGTTATAAATGAAACACTGGTCACAACAATTTGTTCCAGTGCAACAAATGACTTTTTACAAATTGCCTGAATATCTTGAAAAGCTTTTTACAAAAAAGGGAGGGTTGGGAAGAGTATTATTATTATTTATTAAATTTATATACCTTTCTTCATCCGTAGATCTCAGAGTATGGGGACTGAATAAAGAAAAAATATCAATCTAGATGCTGTTGTAACACACACACATACACCAAATGTATTTAAACAATGATTTTGCATAAACTCTATGTAGGAAGATACGATCATCGCGTCATGCTGGAGAAATCAGTGCCACATGCTATTATCATAAAGAAGGCAGCAATAAAACAAGAAGTTTGCATGAAACTTTAGTTTCCAGATACTTGGATGCCAAAATTAAATACAGAATAAGAACAAGGGGAGTAAGAGTTAATACAATGGAGGGGGGGAGCCTGTTTCTTCACTTCAAGCCTCTCTTGAGTTTTTCATAGTAAAAATTGGATGCAAATATCCTAAAAAGACTAATGACATTTCACAGGTAATGCAATTTAGAAAGAAACACTTCCATGTTTTCTTTTCCAACAATGTGCATTTTTGTAAACTGCTATAAATTGCAATTCAAAAGCACTGATCTCGCCATCCCCAATCATTTTTTATACTGATCAAATGAATGCAGATACTCCCCTTTGGGAGGGGCGACATGACATTTCACTTGGCAGTTCTAAACAGGTCACGGACCTTTCACAGACCCTAAGGCAGTGGGAGGGAGCGCTTTAGGAAACCGTGTAACCAAATCAAACCAATGGTTACCCCCTTTCAATACCATTGGAATGGTTTGCACAATGCTTATTCACATAGCAGCAGAGGAACTGAAAGGATGGTCATCCAATGGAAATGTCTTTTCCTTTGTTTGAACTTAACAGAGCTCCAAAAAAAATACTAGAAAACAATTATATTTGGGAACAGCAAAACCCGAGGCAAACTCAGTGCATATCTGCAGAGCCAGTACATTAGAGCCCGAGGTGTGCTTAGATGTTTAAAAGTAGCTATGCTGCCAATATGGAATTGTATGTGGACATTTATTGGAGATGTTGCTTTGTTTGAAGCCATAGGCACAAAGACACAACATGGCTGCCCTGGAGATGACCTATTGCTTTCAAGTTGCTTGAACACATCAGAATTTCCATTGTTAAGGTTGATTAATTGAAACTGATAAGTTACCATGAATAAAGATTGTTTTTCTGTTTAATGTGGTGGGCCTGATTTGGTAAATGCTTCATTCATGTAGCCTTGCAGCGCAGCATATGGGCAAGATTCATTCAGTATCGCAAACATACACAATTTATTATGCTTGTATGGTCACAGCCAAAAGGCTTTTCTAGTTTAATGTCAAAGTCTGAATGAAAAATTCCATTTAAAGAGTCACTAGTAATGTTACGTGTGAGGGTTTTGGGGGGTTGGTTTTTTTTTTTGTCATTCAGCCTGGCTTTTATCTCTCAGCAAATTCAAATCGTTGTAAATATATATATAAATAGAAAAAAAGTTAAAGAGATATGCAGAGGAGAGAGCCAAAGGGACATTGGATGTCTTTTTTCCAGACCAAAGAAACAATTTATCTGAAATGTTTGTAGACACCTATGACAAAGGCACATGTTGTGGGCTGGAGTCACCCTGTGTCACACACTGCTGATAAAGTTATCACTATAATGTTTCAATAAGATACTGTCACTGCAGCTCCAGGATCTGACATTCCTGTGCTGGGATAAAGAGATCAGTTAATGTAATAAATAAGCTCTTTTCAGAAAGAAAAACCAGGAGCCAAAGCTTTATCAGTCTTTCAGTCTCGATGGTACTGGCATGTCCAGAGTGACATGTGCCCTACTCCAAGTTCCACTACTTTCATTAGAGCCTTTAGCAAGTAAATGATGTTTGATTTTGATTTCATTTTTACTAGGCAATTGGTTACAGTATTGAATGAAGAAAGATTTTTTTTTAAAGCAGTCCTATTAGTAATTACTGTTCTCAGGTGTTCAGAAAACTTTGACAAATATTTAAGGATTTATTTTGACACAGATTAAATAGAGAAAACTGTTCTGTTTCCTGTTTTTAAAGCATATGTTGAGCTGATATTGTTGGTGAACGGAAACCACGGACAAATGGATTAGGAGGTAGGAGCTGCTGGGGAAAGGAGGAATTTTCACCAAGTCTTTTAAGAGTACATATCCACTGCCCAGATTCTATCCCTGCTAGGATCACTCCACAATCAGAGTTATTAGGGTGGCTGTGCAACTTTGATATACCCCTCCCCCAAATACAGAGGTGGCTGGTGCCCATTGGTTCGGGGGGGGGGCAGAAGATAGGGAGGCCAAAGGTAGGTGGAGCAAGTGCTAATCACAGGTGGAGCCAACTAATTTTAGGTTTGTTCCCATCCTCCTCTCTGCTGAGTCCCCCAAGGACAAGAAGAGGAAGATGGCAGCCAGGGGTGCCTCCTGGACTGGATGCCAGTAAGAAGACAGACAGGTGGGGGCTGGCAGACTGACCAGTCTCTACTGCCTACATATCCGGTCCATTTATGTCAATGAGCTTAACACAAACTAATGACTGAAAATTCAGACAGAAAGGATGTTAGACAGCAAGTTATATACATGATGTTGCCACTATAAGCAATAGAAAAGGACAAGTGGGAACTGCAACATGATGTTGCAGTGGGGGGGAGTCGTTCCTGTGAACGGTTTCCCAGAATGCTTCATTCCATTCTTCCACCCTATGCAGTTTTTTTGTTTTCCTGCCAACAGGCAGTTGGCGTTATGAGCACGCTCTGTCTGAACTGGGCTGTTGTCCCCCCCTCCCACATATGGACTTCCCCCTAAATATTTGTGGGGTTTTTAAATATATAATTCTGCAAATATTGGAGTTCCCCAAGCCCACTCATACTTCCTGCTTGTGTGTGGCTGGTTGCCATTTTGACAGCAAAAGGATAGCGCTTGGAGAATTGAGCCAATGCGTTTGTGCAGATGTAGATAGAGATATATGTCATCATGCAGAATGAGTTGGATCATTCTGTCTCACTCCAACCTTTCGCCACACTCCAGTGTGATCAAGAAACAGAGCACAGAGTTGGAACTATTCAGAAAGGAGTTAGCTTGAATTTTGGGGGGTTACATTCAGTTCAATGGAACACAAATACTGCTAATCAACTTCTGTTTGGTGCAGTGTTGGCCTGACAGCTTACAGCTTACAGATTTCTTTCTGGCCAAATACTATTTTTGGTGTCCCATATAATAAGTATACCTTGTACTTCCACAGATCGAACGGGTTGAGCAGGCAGCTAAGTTCAGCTTTACAATACCTGTTCCACATTTGCTAGGAGTCAACCTTTCAGTGTGGCAGCAGCTATGCTTTGGAATGCCTTGTCTATTACGATCAGGCTGCCACCCTCGCTTTTTTTTAAGATGCCTGCTAAATACTCATTTACCTCAGACAGGCTATATGGACGTATACTTCAGTTATGCACACTTGGTTCTAACATTTTCTAACTTTAACTTTGTTTTATTGATTATTGTTTCATATTGTTTTATGTATACATCTTAGGGTTTTTTTAATTAAGCAGTTTATACACCTTTCTAAATAGATAAAAATAATTGTTCTTATGGATATCATCAAAACTTTAAGTGATAGCCTAATTTTGGTTAAATCATATATTTCACCTCCTTCAAGCTAGCAGTGTTGCATTTCTCCTCTTACTGACACCTGCTGAAAACATTCCTTTGAGAAGATCAGTTGGGAATCCATGGGAATGATTTAATAGTTTTAAGTTTTATACTTCAAAGGGGTTACAAGAATGACTGAGATATGGATTTCAAATTTATTAGAAACTCCTTGTCATTCCCTTCACTGTGACTGTCTGTTAAGAGTGACCTTCCTCTTAACCCCTTCTTCTTGCGCTGACAAAGTAATTTGAAATAGAAACAAACAGTGTAATCTATCAGGAAAAAAACTGGAGTTGCTTCTGTGCATCAGATATTTTTGTTTGAGCTCTCTCCTACTGACAAGCCACGGAAAGAGTTGCTGTTCCTCAGTGGTTTTATCTTAGGGGTTCGTGTCTTTCTTGCTCATTAAGACTGTCTCTAAAGATTACAGTGCAAATAGTGCCTCTCTACCAGACTGTGAGAAAAGTCTCCTTGAGTACATAAAACAAAACTGAGGTTTCTATCACACAATGAAGAGCTCAGATGCTATCCCATTTTTAACACTGCTCAATTGCATAGAGCAAAGGCCCAGGAAGGAAGAAAAGGAGCAAAGTCTGCAATCCTGTGTACACATTTATTTGGGAGTCAGCACACTGAACACAGAAGCTTACTCCCAGGTAAGTGTGTATTGGTCAGGGATAGATAATGTGGCATCCTTCAGATGAACTATAAGTCCCGTCTTCCCTGACCACCGGCCATGCTGGCTGGGGCTGATGAGAATGGCAGTCCCGCAACATCTGGAAGGTACTACAATGGCTACCCTGACACAGGCCACAGTTCAGGGGGAGAGCACAAGCTGGAGGTCTCATGTTCAATTCCAGCAGCTTGTGATATGAAATGCCTTCAGCCTGAGGACACCAGAGAGCCATTGCCAGTAAGCAGACAACACTTGGGCAGATGGACAAATAATATGTCCTGATGTAAGATACTTTCCTATATTCCTAATGAGATGGGTGAGCTCCCGTTGCTTGGTCCCAGCTCCTGCCAACCTAGCAGTTCGAAAGCACGTCAAAATGCAAGTAGATAAATAGGTACCGCTCCGACGGGAAGATAAACAGCATTTCCGTGCATTGCTCTGGTTCGCCAGAAGCAGCTTAGTCATGCTGGCCACATGACCCGGAAGCTGTACGCCAGCTCCCTCGGCCAGTAAAGCGAGATGAGCGCTGCAACCCCAGAGTCAGCCATGACTGGACCTAATGGTCAGGGGTCCCTTTACCTTTAAAGGCAGTTGTTTGCATCCATCTGTCTCAAGAGACAATGGAGTGCGCCTAGAGGGGGTGAATTCAAACTGCTGTGTTAGCAGCACCAAAGTGACCTCCCCTGGGTGCAAGCCTGGGCAGTGTGTATGGAGGTCGTGGGCTGCCCAGATGACAAGACCCTCCTCTTAGCCCCGTTGATGTGGTCCAAGGGAAAGGAGAGCAAGACATTTGGCACCAGCTTGGCTGCAGGAGCTGCTGAAAGGAGACATTCAAGGCACCACCTAAGCACTCTAGATTTCTATATGGTTTACTCCTTAGCCTTTTCTTCTTCCAAAGAAATCCTGCAAGGCAGGAAGTTTCCTTTTTCTAGATGCGCTACCTTCCCAGGTCGATGAGCCCCAAATGTCCCTCACTTCCCTGGACAGCACATGCAGAAACTGCCTGCTTGACTGTTGGACCCACTGTTAGTCTCATCTGCTCAATCTGCCGGAGCCCGTCTTTACATGCAGGGGAAGTCCCTAACTCACTGAGGGTTTGAGACCCACTGGCTACCCTCACCTGGTTTAGCAGGCCAGTCCAAGTCATTCCCAGGATGTGGCTGCTGTTGGATGCTGACAGCTTCTAGGAGCCACAGGTTAGAGCTGAGTTCAGGGTGGAGACCAAAGGTGGGCAAAGTACCCCAGAAGAAGCACAAACAACCATCACCAGAGCTATTACCCCACCCTAACACCCCAGTAAAGGAAATGTGCTTCTTAACACCAGTTGCTGGAAGCAGCAAGAGAGGAAGAGTGCTATTATGCTCAGTTCCGGCTTGAAACTTCCTGTAGGCATCTGGTTAGCCACTGTAAGAACAGGATGCTGGACGAAATGGGCCACAAGCTCTTCTTATGTTTATAGAATCTCACTTTTAGCTTGTCGCCTGCCAATGGGAACGCAACCTGTGTGATGTGACCTGCCAGCTGTTAGCTCAGCGGTTGGGAACCTTTGGTCCTCTACTTGTTGCTGAACTACTTCTGAAATAAAATTAAACTGAACTCTTCTGACTCAGTCTCTGGTGCCTACTTATTGTCTGAATCTTATCTTCTGACTTTGTTTCCATATCTTTTCCAACACTTTCTTTTAGTCTTAAGCAGGTCTATCATATGCAGGTCTACTCAGAAGCAAGCGGCACAGATCTCAGTGGTGCTTACTCCCACATAGATGTGGATGGTAGCTTTAATTGTTATATGTATTTTAACATGTTCTGGCATGGTTATGATACTAGCTCTCGCACACAGCCTTCTGTACTATTTTGAAAGGGTAGGATAAAAGTTTTAAACGCATAAAGCTTATTGGTTCCATTGCCATAATTTTGGACACATTTCTCCCCTCAGATGAAGCAACTATAATCCAGTTTTGATAGCAAGAGAAAAGACAGAAAAAACGTAATGTTTAACTGAAGATAAACAGTTTCTGCAACATATAATTATGTCATTACTTACCAGCTTCAAAAGCACTGGGAATTTTAATCAGAACTGGGATTTTCTCAATATCCATGCCTTCTTCGTCTTCATTTGAACCTGAATCTGCCTGAGAACCTATCTTGGGCTGAACATGGAATATTTATTTTTAAAGTCACTCAAAACCCATTGCACAGTTAAATTAAAGGAACCTTTTAATTAAACTGCATCTTTTGGTCGACCAGGATGGTAACTAACATAAATCTAGACAATTTAAGCATCACGAAGTATGGCAGTTATGGATAATATGAATTGTGATACCATTCTTTACACAAAAATACCTTTCTCACACACAGGAACATTCTGAGAAATCTCACGCTAGAAAGACCCAGACTTAGCTTACATTATAAAGGCAGTGACTCCTCCTACATTGCAGAAATTTGTATTAAAATAATGAGTTTGGTATCAGCAGTTTATAAACACAACCTGATTATGGGAAGAGACTTGGCTCAGTAGTAGAAGAGATGCTTCAGAGGCACAAGGCTCTGGGTAAAGTCCTTGGCATCTCCAGGAATAAGGAGATGGGAAAGACCTCCTCTGCCTGAGAGCCTGGATACTTGTTGCCAGTCAGAGTAGACAATGCTGGGCTGACCTAGAATAAGGCAGTTTCCTATAAGCACATAGCTTGGGGGGCAGCACACACATTTTACAAGTGGAAGGTCCCTGGTTCACACATGGGCATCTCTACTTAAAAGGAGCTTAGTGGGTGCTTGAATGATGGAATGGAAAATGCTTCTGTTCGATACCTGACAGTGCTGTGGTACTAAGCTAGGCTATGTACATTATTGCAGATATTAATATTCCGCAGCATGAAGCAACTGGATGCATAAAAGCTGACCCCTTTAGGAGGGCAAATGATTCAAAGCTTTACTAACCAGAACTTCTGCAAAACACGTACAAAAACGATCAACGATACACCCAGATAATTCCATAAAACATATGCTTATCTAAGTATAGGTTCTTCTTCTAAAGTATATAACATAATTACGACCGGAGCAAAAATCAAAGCTCTCTCTCCCACAGCTTGCATTAGCCTGCATCCAGCCTAAGGCTATGCAGCTCCTGGAGAGACTTCATTATCACAAGGTTTCTCTGACTGTGAACAAAAGGCAAAGGCAACTCCCTTTCAAAATGGAGATTTGCAACTGAATGTCTTAATCACATGATCTAAGGTTAAACACTCATGTATAAGCTAGCAGAGAACATCAATAGTTAATTATCAACCTGTTACAGCTAAGAGAGCTTCAGTACGCTTCAATTAGGGTTGCCATATGTCCGGATTTTCCCGGAGATGTCCTCTTTTTCAGGCTTAACAATTCTGTCTGGGTGGATTTTTAGAATTCGACAAAATTTTGCGGGGGGTGTGTGTGTTGCCCTCCCCTGCTTCCTTGTGCCCTGGTTGCTGAGTGATGTGAGGCAAGGAGGCTCTCGCTTTGCCTGGATTGCCTGCCTTGCCCCTCTCTCTGTCTCTCCTCCTTCCCAGCATTTCCCCCACCCTGTCCCCTCCTTTGCTGGAGCATCCGCCGGGCAATGAGGGTCTGCTGGTGAGATGGCGGTGGTGGCTGGGGCTAGGCTGGGCACAGACCTGGTGGAGGGGAGGGGAGGGGAAGGAAGCAAGGTGAATCGAGGCCCGGGACTGAAGCAACGGCTCCCTCCAGATTGCACTCCCAATTTCCTCCTTCCTGCTCCCTCCTTCCTTCTTTTCCTCCCTCCCTTCTTTTTTAATATGATACCTCTCCTCTGCATCCAAACCCCGCCCCCTGGCACTTTTAATTTTCATGGAGTCATTTTCTCTTGGGTGTCCTCTTTTTTGCTCTTCAAAATACGGCAACCCTAGCTTCAATGGAATTTTCATACATACAGGCATTCTCCATTTCAGTGTGAACTAAACAACTATACTTAACACACACCCCACACATTTAAAGCACCCTGTCACTTCGATAATCCTGGGAACTATCATTTACCCTTTAGTTCCCAGCACTTTTAAGAAACTAGTTTCCAGGATTCTTGTGTGTGTGTGTGCGCGCACGCTTTAAATGCACTTTAAATATATGGTGTATATCAGGCTTCCTCAACCTCAGCCCTTCAGATGTTTTGAGACTACAATTCACATTACCCCTGACCACTGGTCCTGCTAGCTAGGGATCATGGGAGTTGTAGGCCAAAAACATCTGGAGGGCCGAGGTTGAGGAAGCCTGGTGTATATGCAGCCCTAGTTGGACTAATGATGTGATTCAGTAACAACATATTTTGTTCACATAAAAAAGGACAGTGTGTGTTCATTTGTGTGTGCCTGCAGCCATCTATCAATGCTTATGATGCACACAAACTGTCCAAAGGAACCAGCAGTTTTGTTCACCATCTTATATACACACAACTAATAAAATTATAAATATAAATTATCTTTCAAGTTATGTGCCCAAGTTCAGAATCCCCTCCTGGATCAGGAGCTCCGTGGGCAAAGGGGGATTGTGCACAGGATGCTGCCAAAGCCGTATCACCTTTGAGAGGGCCTGTTTACCTGTTTGGAATGTGTGGACAGGTGTGAGGAGAAGGACACTGAAGCGAAGCAACATATATTATAGGCACACATCAAACTACATACCAGAGGAGCATACTGCATATACAAGCTGCTCGTAAATGAAGCCAATTTGCCTGTAGGGTGCTGGATGTGCAGAGGAGGAGCTGTCTGGAAGGAGCATAGGAGACATTTCTGTTATTTATAAACCATGGTCAGTGCTGATCACAGTACTTTGAAACAGTGGTTTCATGAGCACTTATGGCTCTGGCCCTACCCACGATTGGCATCTGATTCCCCACCCTGCCCCGATCACCCCCAAATAAATGCAGTCCTTAACAGAAATATATATATATTCCTCACCCTTGCTAACACCAGAGGTTTGAAAGAGGGGATTCCCTCCATTAACTGTTTTTTTAAAAACAAGTTCCTTACAGGGCAACAGGAGAGGCCTCAACCAACCGTCAACTTAATTTCCCAGAGGCATCTAAACACGTGAATTAGCATATGCAAATTTTATGCAAAATTTCTGCCCATGCCCCAAGTTTTTAAGTACCTAACAATGTGTCTGCCCTTAGTGGCTGCTTATCTGAACATACCTTATCAGCCAGCGAAGGGTGTCTAAATTTTGCTGATTGACGCAATGATTGTCTAAGAAACATCTCGTCCTTAATGGCATGTAGGCTAGAAGATAAATGGGAATGTTTAAATTGTATTTCTTAAATTAAAGGCAGTTTCCAAAAAAAAAGAAAAAAAATCAAACAAAAAACAAAACCCCAAACATTTATTTTCAAACAAGGATAAAGCTGGTACCCAAAGAGCTACGGAAGCCTCTATGTATTCAACGGGAGTTTTGACTCCCTTTAACCAGCAGACGCTTCCTAGTGCCAATTATGCTATACGGATGATGTACAACAGCTGTTTTCGTTATCTTCTTGTGGAAGCTTCATTTACATGAATTAAGGTTATACAGTGGTACCTTGGTTTAGGAACAGTCCTGTTTATGAACGATTCGGTTTACGAACTCCGCAAAACCGGAAGTAGTGTCCTGGTTTGCAAACTTTACCTCGGTCTAAGAGTGGAATCCGAATGGTGGAAGGGTACCGAAGACGGGAGGCCTCATTAGGGAAAGCGCGCCTTGGTTTAAGAACGGTTTCGGTCTAAGAACGGACTTCCGGAATGGATTAAGTTCGTACCACTGTATATGGCTAGTTGCACCAATATGCACTTAATGGTTTCTCTCTAGCACCTATAAGTATTAGCAGCAGAAGTTCAGATCCAGACCGAGTTGCTCCTACTTCCTATTGAAACCAATGGGATTTAGATTAAATCGTAACTAATTTCCCATCAATTTCAGTGGGGCTAAATTCAATTAACATAGTTCTGGATCCAATCCAAAATATATATTTGTATAATGTATTTTTAATCTTTGTTGGAAGCCGCCCAGAGTGGCTGGGGAAACCCAGCCAGATGGGCAGGTTACAAATAGTAAATTATTTATTATTATTATTATTATTATTATTAATTTATGTTAACCGTATGATCCAGACATATGCAAAAGTATGTTTCCACTGAAATCAATGGATCTGGGAAATGTTTAACTGCGGGTAGAGAGTGCCCACAGTTGTTTGTATAGGACATGGGTAGGCAAACTAAGGCCCGGGGGCCGGATCCGGCCCAATCGCCTTCTAAATCTGGCCCGCGGACGGTCCAGGAATCAGCGTGTTTTTACATGAGTAGAATGCGTCCTTTTATGTAAAATGCATCTCTGTGTTATTTGTGGGGCATAGGAATTCATTCATTTTTTTCCTTCAAAATATAGTCCAGCCCCCCACAAGGTCTGAGGGACAGTGGACTGACCCCCTGCTGAAAAAGTTTGCTGACCCCTGGTATAGGATCAAAGTATTGTAGTTAGAAGGGAGCTGAAGGCTCACCTAGACCAAGCCCCTACAATGTGGGAATGAGGGCTAAAGAATCCCTGACAGATGGCCATCCAATCTCTCTTTAAGGAACTCCAATGAAGGAGAGTCAACTACCTTCCAAGGGGATCTGTTCCACTGTCACACAGCTCTTCGTGTCAGAAAGCTCTTTCTAACCTTCACTCGGAATCTCCTTTCTTGTAATTTGAAACCATTGGTTCAGGTCCTACCCTTTGGAGCAGCAGAAAACAAGCTTGCTCCACCTTCCATGTGGCAGCCCTTCAGTTTTGAAGATGGCTGTCCTATCACCTCTCAGTCTTCTCTTCTCCAGGCTTAACATGCCCAGCTCCCTCAACTGTTCCTCATAAGGTTTGGTTTCCAGAACTTTTATCATCTTGGATGCAATAATACCTTTTCTTTAGAATTTCGAACTTCATTTCCCAAGATCGACTCGATTTACTGAACTCCTGTTCAAGTCTAAACAGAGAGGCGAAAATAGCATTGGTATGTTTTGTGAGTGTGGAAGTTAACAAATCTTATAATATATGTGACAAATCCTTGTGTACACAGCAAATTCCTGTGCATATACCTCTTTACGCGCAGCTTGGCATCTCGTTCAGATTTTCTGAGCCTCTTTATCTCTTCTTGTAAGGCTTTTTTCTCATCTCCCTGTACAAGTGTATTACAAAAGAGAGCCATGCATTGATTGCCATGTATACTAAACACACACACACACACACACACACACACACACACACACACAAAAACCACAATAATAGTTGGTCACTGCTATTAATTTTCAATCAATCAATCAATGACTTAAATCTCAATTTTTCTATAGCGATATATTCTAAAATATCTTGCAATGACAAATATACTATATATTTTGGAAAGTGGTTTGTCTGCCTGTCCATTTCTTCTCTATAGGGTCAGCCACCTCTCGAGATATCATCGCCAAACTTAGCATGAGGGTTCCTCTGCAGAGGGAGAAAAATGCTCTGTCTAGAGGAAGCACTTAGAATCTATACTGCTTTATCCGGCCAACTTGGGAGAGCCCTACTTGCAAAGGATCAGTGGTTGCAGGGAGCCCGCTTGCAAAGGAACAATCGGAAACTCACTTTAAGTTCTTGGTTGTTCCTGTGGGATGGGTGGGCATGGCTTGTGGGGAAGGGCATCACATATCAAATTGGGACTTGGGCCAGACCAAATTAGGCCTGCAGGCCAAAGTTTCCCAAGTAGCAAAATAGCAGGGAATCTTTTGTAAAGATTTGACATCATCATCATCATCTGGATTCTCCATAAAAACTGACTGGACGTAGGATTGCAACCCCTGAGCAAAGGGCTAGAATGGGCACAACCAATTTGTCTTGGTCTATCTGTCCTGAAAGTCAAAGAAGGAAAGCACGGGCAGTGAAAATCTCAGCAAAAGCATGCTTGTGTTCTTGTGGAAGCACCCAGATGTGGTGCTCTTCTTAAGGATGGTAGTGAGATGAGGTGTGTGGGTTACACCAGCTGTCTTGGACACACGACTGATGAAAAATATCAGGTGAGGATGCAGGTGTCCTTCTGATGGAAGTGTCCTTAAAAAAACAAACCATCTTGGCCTGGTGTCTATTCCCCCAAGTTACGTTAGATCAGAGTAATAAAGCAATACCTTATCACCAAGACCTACCAACAATTCTGCTTCTTTTGCGGCAGCTTGTCTGGCCTCTTTGGTGGCGGCGACAGTGGCAACGGCAGCGAAGACAGCAGCAGCTTTTACTACTTTCCCTTTCAGTCCTTTCCTTCCCTTCTTTGCTAGCTTTCCTTCTTGCACTGAGGGCACCTGTGAAAAAATAACAACAGCAATAAACGAACCTGAGTTATTGTTGCGCACTTTGGACATCACACTTGGAGATTTTCAAGGAACACCTTGTCTCAGAGGGATCCCCCTCACCACTGAGATCCATTGTCTTCCTGCTCTGCAAACAGGGAGTATGGCAGGTAGACATGAGCAGCAGGGCCTTTTCCATGGCGATGTTCAGAATCAGGAATGCCCTCCCAAGGGAAGCCCAGCTGGCCTTCTCTGAATTGACATGTATAGGGTTGTGCTGAAAGCTACTGGGGAATACAGAACACATCTATTTGTATTTTGTTTTGGTATTGCATTATATTTTACACCACTTAATATACAGAATCTCTAAGTAGTTTACATAAAAAAATATTCTAATGTATGCAAGCACACACAGACAAATACAGAAATTTATCAATAAAGCAACAAATAGCATTTATATGGACATTGCCTAAAGTTTTAACAACATGCATCAAACACGCAACTTGAAATTGTCAAGGAAATATGGACTTGAACTGCATGAGGTATATGAGCTATTTATTTTCACACAGCAGCCCGTTTCAGGATTGTCAAGATCCTTAGGCTAGCCTTTTTTGGATCGCGGGCATTGCTCAGATTTAAACAAAACCGTAAAATTTGTTATTATAAACATGTGAGAAACTCTCAGGTAGGTTAAGAACTGGTCCTTAGGTGAATGAGGTTATTATATCATATTTCAAACCCATTTCTTTTTCTTAAATATATAATCAGTTTTCAGTAGTTAGCGGAAAGTAAGATTTTCATTAGAGGTGACTGAACTTTCTGTGAAACGCAGGAATCCTGTTGTGCTTTTTTTATATCTTCATGTTAAAAAAAGAGCAAATTTCCTTGCGCAAACACAACTCAGATATATACAAATACAAGGCTTTGCAAACCTTTTGAAATGGCTGCAGGTGCCCTCCACTGTATCTGCCTACAATTCAAGCGACTTCGCCAAATCTGTGTTAGATGATAAATATTGAATAAGGCGCATATGTGCTTAACAGTAATTGTATTCTATTTTCTCTCATGCTGCTTTATGAACCTTGTTGGATGCCTTCCAGTATACCTCTGAATACCAGCCAAAATTACCCAGATAGATAGTGCTATTTGCTGACTTATTCACATAAAGGCCACAGTAGCAATGGACATAATCAGCAAATTAAGCAGGGATGCTGGGGTGCGGGGAGAGCGGCCCAGAGACTCTGAGGTTCTGATTGGCACCAATACTTTTTTCATGATATAACAGTGAAAGAGTTGAGTGCAATCCATACCTTATCCTATTTCCTGTTACTAGTATATTATTTCTTTGGGGTTAAAGATCGCCCCCTCTTCACAATGGGCACACAGCAGTGCATGAAGACCCACACAGTCAGTTCTGCATAAATGGTTGAGAAATTTTCACACTCCTGAGCTTTGTGAGACCAAACCATAGGGAAGCTTCTACCATGCTGCCACGCGTGTGCATGAAGTGGGCTTCAGCCCAGGGATCTTAATCTGTTCATCATTCAGGTGCTTCCAGACCAGCCTCTGCCAACATGGTGACATCCAGATGTCTTGGACTGCAGCTCCCAATTGCTGAAACATATGGAGGGCAGCAGGCTGGCAAAGGCTGCTCTAGACAGAGGAGAATCAGTTCTCTGATCTAGGAACCGAGAAGCAGGTTACACCTGGCCAATCACTGCTAGCCCCATTGCTGTGCAACAGCAGGAACAGCAGGTAGTGCCAATTATTTCTAGGTGATGCTTGCAACAAGGAATGGTTCCTTGCAGCATCTATATTATTCAAGAATATGGAATTCATGTAGTAGTGAAATGTTGTATCAAGCTAACTTTTAGAGTAAACCTATTGAAATTAATGGACCTAAGTCAGTTATGGTGACTAATTTGAATGGGTCAACTCTTGAGTATGACTAATGACGGATACAAGCTAGTGCTCCTTTTCAAGTTATTAATGATAATTTAAAGCATTGCAAGTCGACCATTAAATTCATTATAAGGATGGTGTAATCTAATAATGGATTGTTCTGCCCCATAATTTTATTATGGCCTCATAATATATTTCTTACTTTGAAACTGTTCAGGCGACATTGCCCTCAGCATTATCTGATCAATGATATCACTTTCCTTTCACTTTCACTCACACCTTCTGCTCCAGTTTTCCTTGCAGCTCTCACTTCCGACCCTGGATAGACAACCCCACTCAGGACGCAGTCACCAGATCAGCAGCCATGGCCACCTCACAGGGATGGCCCTCACTAGGACAAGGGAGAGTTTGAATCCCCACTTTGCCATTAAGCTCTCACTGGGTGGCCTTGGGCCAGTCACTGTCCCTCTGATTAATCGACTTCCCAGGGTCGTGTGAGGATTAATTGAGGAGCAGGAGGACCATGTATTCCACCTTGAGCTCCTTAGGGGATATAAAAGGTGGGATATATGTAATAATATATACATGCATAAATACAAAAAAAATCCCAACAGGATGGCTAGGATCCAAAAAAGTTACTTTAGGAGCACCCAAATGGTTTGGTCATGCCCAGTAGGCTTTTTTGATTCCCAGTTCCTTTAAACAGCAGCCCCCTTGAACTCCTCTCTCATATCATATAAGAAACTTTTTTTTTTAGTTTACTATTTATTCTTATTGATTTATTTACCAGGATTTATATACCGTTGAAACATCAAAAGCTCTAAGCAGTTTTGGTGTAATGGTTAGAGTGTTGGACTATGACCTGAGAGACGAGAGTTTGAATCCCTACTCAGCTGTGACGTTCACTGGGTGACCTTAGGACAGTCACCATCTCTTGGCTTAAACCACCTCAACAGGGTTGTTGTAAGGGGATGAAATGGGGCGAAGGAGAAGAACCATGTACACCACCTTGACATGGTTGGGAGATAAAGGTGGTATATAAATAAAATAAATAATAAGGTAATAAAATATACATCAACATTTCTTAACAATATGAGCTTTGCCATGTGGCATGGTGGAGCTGTTTAAGAAATATAAACCTGAGGCTCCCTTCAGATTACTGACCTTCGGATCCTGGCCACGATGTTCCGCTTTTTAAACTCTCCTTATTGCAGGAATAGCCAACATGGTGCCCCCCTCAATATTGTTGAACTACAATTCCCATAATCCCAATGGAAAGTGTCAATTGTGGCAAATACATGTTGGAACAGAAATTTCTGCTTTCCTACACCCCTAGTTATGGATGAGCCACACCTCCAAGAATCCAGCTGTCACTACCATCTCTTTGCTCTGTTGGTTGGTCTAAAAATATTAATCACGTAGATTCCCTCCCCCCAAAAATTAACCCTTTAGCCCCTATCCAGGGAAAGTTAGTGATGCTTAAGTCCTACTGAAATGCACGCAGCAAGTGAGTTAAGACTCACCTAAGCCATATTACTTTCAGTGGGCTTTATACTTTATCAGCTAGTGATCCTGCAGGGTAATTTATTGGGGAATAGTTTTTAAGGGATTAATGACACTGATGCATGGGGTTACTAGCTTGCCTCCTAAAGCACAGCAAACAGAAAGCTTGATAACACACTGCATTTTATATTTATCAGTACAAACTACAGATATTTTGAAACTATTTGCACATTATAATTAACTGGCCATATTTCTGTCCTTTCTTCTGGAACAGTTTTTAGAATCAGCTAATCTCAGCATGTGCGGCTTTCCCACTGAATGTCACACTTCCCCAAATATCAGTTTGATTAATAAAGGAAGTCAAATACCTTTTGCGGGCAATACAGCTTCAAAGAGCCAGGGAGATTTATAAATGAATTTAGATGTTAACTTTTGAGTACTTGGCTTGCTGAGTGCCACTATTTGAAGTTTGAGGAAGATGTAAGGTAACAATAACCTTTAGTCAGTGTTTATCAGCTCTAAATTCACCCTGTCTTTTGTGAAGTAATATAAAAGTAACATTTTGTTATTTAAAAGGCACCCACTGCATCCACCTTTTAAGTTAAGCACTGCTGAGAACATCCAGGGAAAAGAGACCACAACAGATAAGGCTCTGAGTCACATGATCTCATGGAGATATTTGTTTTATACTAGGTCAATTGAAAGAAACATGCCTTGTGTACAAAACTATCTTTGGAAACCTCACTAGAGTTTGAGAAGATGAACAATTAAGCAAGAACCTCTTACTTTAAAAATCTAAAAGCAGTGGCATAGTGGTGGTGGGGGAGCCTCACAAATTGCTGAGGGGACGCAACCAGAAGCCCTGACAACAGGCTCCCTCATCAAGGCTGAAGTCACAGGGAGGCAAACTGTGCCTAGGCCGGGCCTTTGGGGCAGGGGCGGTGCCTCCTCCTCCTTCTCATGGCTGCGAAGAGACACCTGTGCATGCCCTGCCCCTCTGCCAGTTGTGAGGGAGGGAGAGGAAGGGCGCTGTCACCACAGCTGCCCACTGAGAAAAGAGGGAGGAAGAGGAAGGCGGGAAAGCACTGGGCATTGCCCAGAGTGTCTCACTGCAAGGACAGGAGGATGAGGCGACACAGCAGGGGGAGGGGCGTGACACCAGTAAGGGACAACGGGGCCACCTCCCATTCATGAAAAATCATGGTTGAAATGTTACTTGTGCTAGCGCCTTTCCCTTGCCACCTAATAAACAACCCTAATAAACAACACTGAGGTTGAGGGGTTGAGGCTGTCAAGTTCAGAGGGTGGGGCTTCCAGGGAGTCTCATGCCTCAGAAGTCTTTAGCTCTGGGCTGGCAAGCGAGTCTCATCTGCAGTGGGAACCAAGGGCAAGAGAAGACGTGTGCGCACTGGGGTCCTCATCTCTGCTGAGAAATGCATTCACCAGGCAGACCAATTAACTGAAGAGGGAGACTCACCTCACTTTCCCTTCCCTCATGTGGAAGATCCATCTGTCTCCATCCTTTCTTTCATTCCTTCCTTTCCCTTCTCTCCAAGTTTGCCCACCATTGCAGGGAAGGCGCCCCTGCCGTCTTGCTGTCCCTTATGCAGCTCTGCATTCCACCGTGTTAGGTTGCATTGCTGCCACTGAGGCAGGCAACCAAGACTTTGACTGAAATGGAGTGAATTGCCAAAAGGCAGGCTGTGGGCGGTGCCATTTGCAGAGCAGCAACAGTGGAGGTGGCTGAGGAGAAGAGCAACCCTCAGAGAGCAGGCTTTCTCCAACAACTTCTAACACAACACACACACACACACATTTTTATTGTAAGATTTTCCATAAGTAACAAAAGCACATTCAGTGTCTCTGTTTTCAAATCACAGAATCCTTCATACATGTCATTTACAGTCAGTTTGAGACATTTTTTGTTGTAGGCAATGTGGGACTGAGGGAGAAGGAGAGGAGAAAACAGAGAAAGAGGAAAATAGGAGGGCAGAAAGCGGAGGAGGTGAGGGAGACTTTAAACTTTCATTCTTTACATGGTATATGAGTGGAGCTGTTTTAATCAGTGTCGCGTGGATAGGTGTTTTATTTTTTCTGGCAGACCGAGAGATCAGAGGCCCCAAGGTATGGTTGGTTGCAGGGTGTTCAATTTGTGTGTGCGAAGATTCCAGCCTGACTGGCATGTGCTGTGCTTTTAGGCAACATTCATTAAAATCCTCTCTCCACCTCCATCTCTCAGCCCCAAAGTCAAGCATACCATACAATGTATATCAGGTACATCCCATATCATTAGGTAATAAGAATATAAACAACAAATAAAGTAAAAATCACCTTTGGTACAGCGGCAGCGGCAGCAGCAGCAGCCTCTGCCATTTTTACAGCTTCTTGTGCTTCTTTCACTTCCTTAAAAATACAAAGACAAAAGAAAATTCAACACGGTTGCGGGAATAAATTGTTTATAAAAGTTCAATAACTAGAAAGGAAAGCTTGGCGATGGACAAATATGTCCAATTTGGTTTCTTTCAGGTTCTCATTCTTCCAATCAAAAGTTCATTTCTCCACATTTCTACATCAGTTTGCAAATTTTAAAAAAGATCCTACCTGAAAAGTAGTCCACATTTTTGTGTGAATTTCTCCTACTATACGTATTCTTGCGTCCAATTTCTCCTAATTTACACATTTTGCAAAACAATCTCCTCTATTACAATGCATTTGTGTATGTTATTTTCACTAATATATGCATTTGCATGCACAGTTTACCCTTGTATAGGCATTTTTGCACACATTACTTGGCCAGAGAACTGGATTGCAATATTCAGATGTGTGAATTTTGAAGGATAGCTCTTTTTCAATTCACATACTGTTTTCAAAAAGTGAAAATTTGGTAAGTTTGCCTTTAAATGAGAACCACATTGAATGTGTTCCCATTCTCTGCAGGCAGGTTTGTGGAGTGAAAATTGTGGCTGCTGCACTCCACCCCAGGTTCTGCTGCTACTGTGCTGGAATGAGACACCTACAAGTTGTCACCCAATTCCAGTCACCACACAGAGGCAGCTTAAGGTCCCAAATAGTTTGCTGCTACCGAAGAAAAGGCTTCAGTAATACAGTTCCAGATGTTGATATATACATTCAGCTTGTAGGCTATGCAGATACACACATACCAATACAAATTCTGTTGCTTCAGCAATTCAAGATGTAATGCAGACTGCGACCCACTGAGTGACATGCCTTAATCATTTATGTAGTTAGCACTGGGCCATTGCCATAGCAACTGACTTGGCTGACCTTGCACCTGTTGGCTTATCTCATGCATGGGGTGATTTGTGCTCATGAATAACAGGAGTCCAGTCAACTGAGTCCAGGTTCAGCTTCAATGCTAAGCCAAACCACAGTAGCAGGGCAGCAGGAGGACTGGGGGAGGAGCACATCGGATGCCACCTTTGATCTGGGAACCTGGCTAAGAACATAAGAAGAGCCTGCTGGATCAGATCAGTGACCTATCTAGTCCAGCACCCTTTTCTCAAAGCAGCTAACCAGAGAACTATGGGAAGCGAGAGCTGAGCACAACAGAATTCTTCCCTCCAGCAACTGGCATTCAGAAGCACACTGCCTTTGACACTGGAGGAAGAACACATTTGTCAGGGATGGTAACCATTCATAGCCATATCCCCTATCAGTTCATATAATCTCAGAGATCTTTGGATGAAGGGTGGTATAACAAACAAACAAACAAACAAACCTCATATAAAGCCATCCAAGGTGGTGGCCGTCACTGCCTCTTACTGGAGCACATTCCATGGTGTAACTATGCAATATGTAAATAAGTTCTTTCTTTTGTTTGTCCTGAATGTTCCAACATTCAGCTCCATTGGATCGACCTGCACATTGCTCATTCATGCTAAGCCCTGGTTTGGCTAAGTGTTATGTGCAAACTATTTACAAGCAGCAGTTCATTTAGGTAATTCTAGGTTCTTTAGATGGCACCGTACATTACATCGCTTACATCCAAATGTGGTAATGCAGCAAGCCAGTTTTCGGTGTGGAGGTCCTCCTGCACATTCTGCTGAGTGGGGTCTCAAACTTCTGCACTTAAGTGCTGCCCAGGTGGCGCCATAGCTCTCCAGAGGACCAGGTTAGATATAAAACAGATTGGAACACAATCTCTCCCTTTGCTATGCCCAGAGGCAATGACTCCCCATCCTTGAGGGAAAAGGACATGGATTCAGAGGCCTCATCTTAGATAAGGAAAAGGATTTGCCCTCTGAACCAACCTTTGATTGTCTTGCCTCCTCAGCATTGGAGGTGTCCACAATGACACTGTCTCTTTGGCCAAAAGAGATTTCATAGCCCTCCCCAGAGGCCGTAGTAGAACTCTGGCCTCCCCTCCATGCCACAGGTGTCAACGGCTTCTGAAATAGTTGGGTGCTGAGAAGAAGCTGCAGTCCTGTTTAAAACTCAGTCTAGGTTCACTGGTGTCTGGAGCAATGCTCAAGCCTGCCTTGCCTAAGCCTAGGAGCCACTTGGAGCTATCCATGGTGCTGCCTACCTTGCTTATTTGACGTTTGGACCTTGTCATCTCAGTTGCTTGACTCTGCTTGCTGCATCTCTTCTCTACTTTGTCTGACCTTGCTTTGCTGGAACCTGGCCTTAGCTTGTCCAGACTTTGATCATGGATCCTGAACTGGTACTACTGACACGTGATGTGGTGTCTCTGGACTCTGTGCCTACTACATAGCCCTATTTGGGCTAGAACTTTGTTCCCTGGCTGGGACTACTGGGATAGAATACCCTTGGACACTCAGATATCCCAATGAGACTCCGTATGTACATTAATGATGAATGTAATTATGTATTTCACATTTAAATACCAACTTGAACCCCTCACTCATATTTTAAAGGAGAAGGTAAAAAATGCAGAATATGTCACAATGTGATTTTCTGAAGTGAAGATTAAATCTGGCATGCACACTCAGAGTAGAATTCTAATTTCCAAGTTCAAACTCTAGTGCCACCCTTGAATTTGTCTTCAAGAGCTGAAGAAAGACGCAAAATAAACAGTTAAGGGATTGTAATCTGATACTCATGTACATATTCAGAACGGAATTTTAAACTTCAGGATCACACACCACCTCTGCTCCCATTTTCAAGGTGGCTGAGAAAGCTGGGAAGCACATTTTGTTATATAATAATGCCGATAAGCTTGAGAGGTCACAATGGAGCTTGACCTAAATTTATGGATGAATTCTCCATTTCACGTTGGGACACCAGCTCAATCCTTCCAGCCATTTTACTGGGAAGGGAAAGATGAGGAAAAATGCACAAGGTGCGATAATGCAATATCTGAACAAGACCCAGCAAACGTGATGTTTAGTAGCTTAATATTTTTCTCTAGGAACTTACCAGAGCTTTAGCTAGAACTCTCTGCTTCTCCCTGTCAAGTTCCAGTTTTATGATTTCTTGAGCGTTCTGAAGCTAAAATGTAAAACATGACTGTGAGGTTTCAGATTATAAGACGGTACCACTGTGAGCTGCATCCAAAGAGCTCCTCTAGACTGGTGTCCCGTCCCCCGCCACAGGTGTATTCAATAATAGCGCATTAGAGATGGATTCATACTGTACCATCCACATGTCATCATTCTGCTTTATTATTTTTGTGATGCTTCCCCAATGTTACCACATTATAGCCATCTGGAGGAGCACAAGAAAATGAGAACAAAACAAAACAAAACAAAACAAAACAAAACACCTTGTTTAAAAGTTACAGGATTTCAGCAGGAATCTATGGGACATGCACTGATAGGAAACTAAGCAGTATGTCCATCCCCAAAACTTTTGCAGAAGCAGACAGTATTGAAAGTGGGATCGCATATACCATCGTAAGCACAAATAATAATGAAGGACGTGTGGTGGGGGTGGGGCTTATTTTATTTTATTTTATATTTGATTTATATACTGCCGTTTATTAAAAGAACCCATGGCGGTGTACAACATTAAAAAGATATTTTATGGAGAATAATAATAAAAACATAAAACAAAGCATAATAATAGACAGCATAATAATAAAATAGTCATACTAACAGTCCCCCCGCCACACAGTGTTAACAGACCATAGATTATTTGATGGCCAGAGGCCCGGGTAACAGGAATGTTTTCACCTGGTGCCTAAAGACATGTAATGATGGCCTCTCTGGGGAGACCATTCCACAGATGCAGGGGCCATCACAAAACAGGCCCGTTCTCGTGTTGCCACCCTCTGAACCTCTCGAGGAGAGGGGACGTAGAGAAGAGCCTTGAATGACAAGAGCAGGGTCCAGGCTGGTTAACATGGAGAGAGGCAGTCCTTAAGGTATTGAGTTCCTGAGCTGCGTAAGGCTTTATAACTCAACATGCCTTTGTAGACCCACCAAAATCCAAGTGTTGTCTAAGATTAGTAAACCTTCATGTTGGAAATAGTCAGGCAGCCAGTGTAACTGGTACAGCAGCGATAGGAAGCCCATGGGAAAGGGGAAATCTCTGTCTCCTGCAAAGTTCCCTACAAGCGAATGCAGCCCTACGGCTCAAAAAGGTTCCCCACCCTCTGCATTCTCCCCACTCTATAGGCCCAGCTAGTATCAACATTTTGTAAGTTCTGAGACTACACAGGTGCTTGTCAGGCCTTTTGAGGGACTTTAAAACATTATTTTTCATTTGATTTGCAAACTGCATTCCTATGAAGTTTTTAAAAACCACCCTGTTATTTTGTGGTGGAGCCATTTCAATTTCACAAGAGACACTCAGCAGCCTGAGTTTGCTGTTGGACAGAATGATATTAGACATGTCAAATCCACATTTTTCACACTGTCCCTGCTAACTGCAGGTACTGCACTGAAATTTCACAAGCTTGTTCCCTTGCACACCTGACCCAGGTAACTTCCAGCTTTGGGACTCTGAGATTTCCCAGTTCAAGCCCCTCGATAGCTGCATCTTTTAAAAGGAAGAACACCAGCTTGTTTGATCTCCGAACAATAAGGGGGCTAATATAAAACATAGCTCAAAAGCTGGGGCAGGAGGATGGCCAGCCTTTGAACATCCTTTCGGCTATATGGGGGCGAATGACTCCCAGGCTCTTGCATCTTTCTATGAGTTAATCCATCACTGTCAACAAAATAAATAAATAAAGGAATACAGTACCTTCTCGATTGTCTTCATATCGTTTTGCCTTTTGTCCTGCATATGTTTTATTTCAGACTCTGAAAGAAGCAGGAAAAAAAGGGGTGGTGGGATAAAGCAGACCATGAAATTACATGGCTATTTAAAGAGATTCATATTGTGCACTACAGGTCAGTCTGTGAGCCCACTGGAATGCAGGGTGGATGGAGGCAGTGGCAGACTGGTGACCTTCATAACTGCCCTTGACATTCGCAGCCCTTCTCCCCGCTGTTCAGCTGGCTGGCCAGAGAAGAGAGAGGGAGAAATAAGTTCAAGAGCCAAGTGTGTCTGAACGCCCATTGCTTTTCATTAATACTAGCCTTGCCCATCCTTGCTGTTAGTCACAGCTAATACAAAGTGCTTTAGCAGGTGGTTCTTTATTGCTCAGACCAAGGTTCTGAGCATTGGGCAGCGTTGGGGGTGGGGTGGGGAGAAGACACCATAATGTGAGGTGATGAAATCACATCAGTATAATCAGTGCTTTTTTTCTGGGGAGATGCAGGGGTACGCATATCCCTAAACATTTTGTGAATCTTTGTACTTTTGTCCATTTACTGTATTTATTTTTCTCAATTTGATCTATAAAATGGTGATTTTCTTGAGTCAAAATGAGAGTACCCCTAAAAAAATTTTAAGGAGAAAAAAAAAGCACTGAGTATAATTCTGGCTTCATGCTTTATTCTTGTCCAACAGCACTGATGCTTTTATCCCCCTTAATTCCATTAACGCTGTCGTAATGACTTCATTTGTATTGTTAGGATGGATGTTCTTACTTTTTAAAAAATGAATGAACAAATAATCACTTTACCACTGTAAAGCATGCTAACTGCATTGGGAGCCCCTAGAACAGGGGTAGGCAACCTAAGGCCCGGGAGCTGGATGCGGCCCAATCGCCTTCTCAATCAGGCCTGCGGATGGTCCAGGAATCAGCATGTTTTTACATGAGTAGAATGTGTGCTTTTATTTAAAATGCATCTCTGGGTTATTTGTGGGGTGTAGGAATTTGTTCATTCCCCCCCTTCAAAATATTGTCCGGCCCACCACATGGTCTGAGGGACGGTGGACCGGCCCACAGCTGGAAAAAGTTGTTGACCCCTGCCCTAGAAGACCAGAAGGCAATATATTTTATTTTATTTTTTATAGAAAAGGTTAAAAAACAACAACCCTTCTATACTCAGACATTTCTGACTTTCCAGCATGCAACAATAAAAAGCATGTTAGCACTTGCATATTTGTATTCTGATGGGTTTTTTAAATACTCAAGCGGAATATAAATTTCATGAAATAAAAAAGAAATGCGCACACATTTTAAGATGTCATAAATTCAAGCCTTTTCTAAAAGAGGAATTGGTAAAATATATAACTAATTAAGGCTCTGGGACATCAGCTCTGCCTTGAAATAACTAGCAAAACATAGCATATCACCCCGCAGCAGATGTACTATAATGTCTATTATACACCTCACTAAAATGGATTTCTTCTTATACTTCATCGTCAGATGGGTACTACATAGGAGCAGGCATGAGCTATTGGTTTATTAGAATAATAGGTATTTGTTAAAATGAAGACTTTGGAGAAAATTCTTTCACAGTATTGTACAACATAATTATTTGGAACTGTAAATATACGAAGTCTCAACATTTCTCTCTCTCCCCCCCCCATTGGTAAATACAAGGAAAACATACACTGAAACAAGGTTACTTTCTACTACTTCTGAAAGTGTTCAAGACCACCTCAAATTACAGAGAAAATGGGGGGGGGGACAATAAATACCATGGTATGGTTATTGGCTCAATTTAGGCTCTGAATAATTTCCACAAAATTAAATAAAATAAAATAAAATCAGTTTCTTGTTCTATAAGGAAAGTTTACCTAAATTATTCATTTCTTTCACTTTGAGTTTTATAGCTTCTTGAAGGCGTTTAAGCTTGTCAAGCAGGGTAGCGTTTTCTCCTTTCAACTCCGAGTTTGCTTGCTGAAGCAACTCTTTTTCAATCATTAAATCACGTACGACCTGAAAGATTAAGAAGCCGCCTGTTCTCAAAACCGTGAGGCGTAAGAGGAAAAACACCACCACAAACACACAATGTAAATATGCCGCCGGGCGGGGGTGGGGTGGGGGCACACACAGTAATTATACAATGCAAGCGATCATATCGTTTTTCTGAATCCTGTCATATTAGTTATAATATGAATGGGAGGGGGAACTAAGGGGACTAAATAGAACTTTCCGGAAGAAAGGCTGCGGAACCCTACATACAAAGACTGTAACACATGGGGACACGTTATTGACAGGAATAATGCATATCATACTGTTTGTTTGCCCTCATCATTCAGGCCAATTTATTGTGGGGCCTGCATCCAGGAAGGCAGCTGGGGCCTATCCACCCACACTTCTCTCTGTGCTTATGAAGTGCTGTCCGTAACTAGGCAGGCAAGAGAAGCCATGGGCAGGCAACTCCAGGGGGTTGCAAAGTGCGCGGCTAAGGAGAAAGGGGGGGGGCTTGTCGCTTTTGTGCCGTTTCTCGGTGACAGCACTGCCATTGCCATGAGGAGCACATCAGACGTCAAATCGCTGAAATTTCCAGGCTGGGAGCCACATGGAGTCCATCAGGCAGCCTGATACCAACACAGTTGGTTTTTCTGCTTCATGCCGGAGCCACCCAGAGGCAATTCATATTCTGAACATTAAGATAACTTTGCATGCACGTCACACATAGGCCGTCCAAGGGTTTCCTTTTTTTTTTTTTTAATGCCATTGAAGACTCTGGTTTAAATCTCCATGCGAACAGTGATAACCTTGTAGAAAAGTTCCAGGACAGCACGCAACAAAAGACTTTAAAGTTATACTTTTGGTAAAGCAAACTCATTTACATTTTTATTATGCATGCCCTTTGTTAAAATCTTGCCACGTTCATTATGGAAAGGACTTCGTATGCATCCAAGCTTATTGGGAGAGCCACCCTTTCTTCTTGTCTGCTTCAAAGCTATTTAACACATTTGCATAGATTGTCAAATGGCTGTCGAGATTTTTACTGCCGCATATTTCTTTTCAACAAGATGGAAAAAAGCTCTCAGAAGAAAGTTGAAACGCGACTTTGCAATGGCCACTAGAACATCATGTGGATTTCTGATATCCTTATGGGAAAAAAGTCCCAAAGCTAGTTAACACGATGGCTAGTAATTATTTAAAGGAAACATGTCTTTTTGATTAGTTTCGAAAGCAGGTTTCCCCTTTTAAGATCATCTGAAGATATAGAAGAAAGAAAACTAGCAGACAATGCTTGGAACATATTTATACCAAAATGTGATTTATCTTGATGGTTTCCAAGCCTGCCCCCCTCCATTCTAAGTGCCTTGAGTGCTGGGCTGGGACCAGAGAGATCTGGGTTCAAATATCTACTCTGTCATGAACCCCATTGGGTGATTTTAGACTTAGTCACCCTCTCTCAGCCAAATCTACCCCACAGGGTTGTTGTGAGATAAAACAGGAGATGCTTCTTTACAGAAGGGTGCCATTTTAAAAATGTAATAATTTCTATCGTTTTCCAACCTTTGTGCTTGCTATAAGTACAATTCATAGCCCAGTTCAGAGCTAAGGGGAAATGCCCCCCCATCTGTTCTATTTAGGGCAGAAAAACTGTGGTGTGGGTGGGAAGAAATGTTGCTGAATATTTCTGAAGGGAGAGGTGAATTTTCCCCAATTGTTTTTCTCAGATAATTATATTCTGAAATGTCTTGCCTCACTTCATGTTGAATTAAACCGAGTTGGCATCGGTACATGAAGAAAGCAGTGAGCTAAGAGAGAGGGAGAGTTAGAAAGAGGAGGGCCTAAGCCAATCCCATCCTTCAAATAAGGCTAAAATATTATTAAACAATATTCAAACTTGGGATGCAAATACTCAATGAAACACATCTTTTGACATGGATATTCCTGGACCTTAAGATTGGCACCTGAGTATGTTCTTCAGGTGGCCTCTTACATGGGAATTTTGGAAGGTGGCAACAATGGAGAAGGCCATTTCAGTTGTCCCTCATGTAGGGAATGCTCTCCCATGCAAGGCCTGCCAGATGCTGACATTAATATTACTTTAGCGCCAGGACTTTCATCTTTTCCCAGGGAATTTGCTGAAATATGATGAGCTGGTTCTTATGGCCTCATATATTAGTGATGCTTCTGAGCTGCTGGCGATATTTTTGCAATACATTTTGAGAATGGACCTTAAAAAAATATTGTTGTGATGTTTAACTATTGATGACAGCTATGTAGTAAATCACCTGCATTTTTAAAAACTGCCCTGTATAATCTGAATTCATAACAGCAGCAGCAGCAGCAACATCCTCTGCCATCAACAGAAGAGGTTTACTTCAGAACAGAAGAGGGGGAATGAACATTCCAGCCACAGGACAAGTATCTGTGGCAAACTCTCTGAACCAAACTTTGCAAATTATTGCAAGAGGTGCACTAAATGGTGATCAGTGGGAGAGCTGTGTTTTTCAGCAACAAAGTATTGACATTTGAACGCTAGGAAAAAATGATCAACATGCAACAGCAACTCTGTCCCCGGGAAACATATTCCTTCTGCACATTTTCTTGGTATTTCCCCCTGCTCTCGGTTTCTTCTGCCATCCCAGGACATTAAAAAAAAAAAAAAAGTAATGATGTACAACAGCTGTGTGTTTGTTGCACTATTATACAGAGAGCATCCACAGAGGCCCTTCACTTACTCTTCACTACTAAAAAGTCCCAATTCCTTTGTTTCTTTGTCCTCCTTTGTGCCTGGTTGGTGTTCATGTTAGCTAGCTAGATTGCGAGCCCTTGAGGATTTGGGGAGGGAGGACTCTCTTTTTCATTAAAACTGCTACTGTCCACCCTCTCTCCACTAGATAAAATTCTAGCAGCTTGATCTCTTGGGGGGGGGGAGGGGGGAACTTCAGTTGGTTGGCTGCAGATGCCCTAAGTTGGCGGAGCAGAACCATCTCCCTGTTTGCTTGTTGTGCTGGATCAGGTAAAACATGCATTCAACAGGCATCCATTGTGTATGAAGGGAAAGGCCTGGCTGTGCTCAAGTCACAGATTTTGGCCTGTCTCCCTCCCTCCTGCCCGCCTCTTCCATGTGTGTATTGCATGAAATGGCTCCATCTGCCAGGGACTGGGCAGGTGAGGAGGACTGGTGGAGGAACCCCGGAACCTTCTGGAGAGGAGGAAGGGGCAGAGAGTATAGACCTAGACTTGTGGTTTGAGACAGGTCACACCCCAGAAGAAGAAGAAGAAAGAAGTTGGGAAATAATGAGTGATGAAAAACAGGAGCAAGGTGGCATTGAACAGAGGCAGGAGTCAGCTGTGTTAGAATCTGTGCAGCAGCCAAGTGACACACTGTCTTTGAACAGTTTACCAGAGCCCTCTCCCTCTCTGAGAAGCAGATGTTCTATGCCATAGGTAGGCAAACTAAGGCCCAGGGGCCGGATCCAGCCCAATCGTCTTCTAAATCCAGCCCGCGGATGGTCCGGGAATCAGCGTGTTTTTACATGAGTAGAATGCGTCCTTTTATTTAAAATGCATCTCTAGGTTATTTGTGGGGCATAGAAATTCATTCATGCCCCCCCCAATATAGTCTGGCCCCCCACAAGGTCTGAGGGACAGTGGACTGGCCCCCTGCTGAAAAAGTTTGCTGACCCCTGTTCTGTGCGAATCACTGAACAGAGAGCCCAAAGGAAGTTTGCACTTAGTACCCGCTGTTAGCAGCAGGAGGAGTCTGATTGATAGGAATTAACGGCCAGAGGGGGGTGGAGCTTTGCTATGAGGAACATATGAGGAACATGAGTAAGGTGCTCTTTCTGTGTCTTCTTGAGATCCTGTAGAAATAAAAAAACTGAAAAGCTCTCTCTTTCTCTGAGTCTGATTTCCTGGGGGGTGAGCCAGCAGCCGTCGGCAGCACCCTGACACCATCGGAGTAAAGGCAAGCTGGATGGTGTCCACCAGCTCCACCTCACTGACCTACCTGTCCCCCTGATCCATCACCCCTGGCCTCTATGCCTTGAGGGAAGGTCTGCACGGTTTACTACCTGTAGTTGTGAGAGTTCCTCTATGCAATCGGAAGCCCTGTGCAACCAGGGGTGTTCACAAGATGCGTCAAAGGATGAATGGGGTCACATCCAGCAACCATGCTCTCCCCCCTACCCCTGGCTATGCATGCAGCACATGTAAGATGGGAACCTTCATGCAGCCAAGGTATGCACCAGAGATCAGCCATGCAAGAAGGAAGTGGTTGGAGCTGGAAGAAGGGACACAACTTTGGGGGCAGGCCCGGTGGTAGGGCCCCACTTCCCTATACTTATGCAAAGCCCCATCACAAAATCTTAAACTTGCTTACAATCTAGCAGTGCAACTTTGCCACCAAGCTGAGGCTGGCCTCAAGATTCAAGTGCAGGGGAAAGTGGGTGGCTGTCCCTTGCATTCGGACTTGTGCTCTGTGCAGCACCAACTTTTCAAAGAGTCTGGTTTATTTGGTTAATTTTATTAATCAATTAATTTTATTGCTATCCCTGGTGTCAGGGTGCTGTCGGTGGCTACTGGCCACCTGCCCAGTAAAGCAGAGAGACAGGGCGAAAGCGAGCTTTTCAGTTCCTTTTTATTATTAGAATTACCAGGGCAAAATTCCATCCACACCGTTCATTATCTGACGTTGCCTCGAGTGAAGCTCCACCTCCTCTTCTCTGCACTTCCTATCCCTCAGACTCCTCTTACCTCCTACGGCGGCTGTTAAGTGCCACCAACCTTTGAGCCCTCTTCTCTGCTATTTTCAACTTGGTTTTTGGGGAGGGAACAGGTCCTGGGATACAGTGGTACCTCGGGTTAAGAACTTAATTCATTCTGGAGGTCTGTTCTTAACCTGAAACTCTTCTTAGCCTGAGGTACCACTTTAGCTAATGGGGCCTCCTGCTGCCCACTGCGCAATTTCTGTTCTCATTCTGAAGCAATGTTCTTAACCCGAGGTACTATTTCTGGGTTAGCAGAGACTGTAACCTGAAGCGTCTGTAACCCGAGGTACCACTGTACTCTCAAGTGTCAGTGTGTCAGTCAGCTGCTGCTCAGGCTCTGCCTGTTCTATGCTACCTGGTTCCTGCTCCTCGTATTCCATTATTTCCCAACTTCTTCCCTCTTCTTCTCCTAGGGTGTGACCTGTGCCCTCTAGATCTATACTATCTGCCCCTTCCTCCTCTCTGGAAGGCCCCTAGGGAGGCGGTCTCCACCATTCCTCTTCATCTGCCCAGTCTATGACATATAGGGATTCCTACTCATCGCCTCAAATAATTTCCCACGGCGGCTCACATGGCTGTCTCAGCCACAAGGTGTTTCTATCAGAACACACCTGGGTGTCGAATGCTGGCTCAGAACGCTGCTATGTCTGGTATATGTTGTCATTATGATCAGCTCAGACCATGGAATGGTTTACAGTTCTCTCCCATGTTGTGAAATGGCTGCATTGGCTTAACTGGTTGCAAACCAGAACTGAACAAGTTGAATAATTTGTAGGAGAATTTGAGTAACTTACGTTAAAATACAAACACACTTGCTTAGAAGGAAGTGCTACTGAACAAAATGGGACTAACTCCAAGTAAAATATGTTTAGGGTTGGGATGTGAAGTAGGATATACATATATTGCTGTACACAGAGTTCTGCTATTGAGTTAATCCTATTGAAATCAAAAGGACTGTTTCAAGGTTATATTTTTATCTTCATCATCTGTATGCTATCCAAGTTCTCTGGGCACAGATAATAAAACACAGTTTACAATAAAAAGCCACCACCATCATCACCACCACCACCACCACCATCATCTGTATACTGTCCATCTCTGGATGGTACTATATACTGTCCATTTGTGTAAATTCTAAGTGCTGACGATAATGTAAGTACAGGAGTAGGTGATGATCACAGTGATCATCCATTCAGGTCTATGGGAATCAGTGGCCAAAATGCAGAGATGTGAGAAGTCATCCATTATATTAATCTGCAGCTGTTCTTCTTTAGAAATAATTACAATTATTTAGGAAGCAGCATCAATTATTGAAGCTAAAATTGGTATATAACCCTCCAAAAGCACATGGGCTCATAACAGGCAATTTAAAGTGAGTCCCTACCATCGTCCCCACCCCCCCCTTGGTATAAGCCATGAGTTTCAAAAAACTGTTCTTACTTAGTTGCTTCATTGGACTTTACACAATTCCTTTTTGTTTTATTTAACTCCTCCAAATACCGCATTTTTCGCACCATAGGACGCACCGGACAATAGGACGCACCTTGTTTTAGAGGGGGGAGAACAAGAAAAAAAAATTCTCCCCCTCTCTGCCCAGCGCCCCTTCAGCGAAGCGGCAGGAGGCGCTGCGCAGAGAGAGGGAGAATTTCCCCCCTCTTGTTTTCCCGCTCTAAAACAAGGTGCCGTTTAAGGTGCGTTCAGGCGGCTACCATGGAAGCCTGGAGAGCGAGAGGGGTCGGTGCACACCGACCCCTCTTGCTCTCCATGCTTCAGGTTCCTTTCGACCTGCTCTTTGGGGCTGGCAGGGGGAAGCCCACCACCAGCCCCAAAGAGGAGGTCAGGGAGCAGCGGAAAGGCGCAGCGGAGAGGCTGCTGCCATAGTTGCACGTCACTTCTCCAGCTGGGAGAGGGTCGCGGGGCTATGGCTTCTTTAGCCCCGCGCGCGCTCTCCCAGCTGAAGAGGTGGCGCGCGGCTAAAGAGGCTCCTGCCATAGCCGCGCGTCACCTCTCCAGCCGGGAGAGGGTCGCGGGGCTATGGCTTCTTTAGCCCCGCGCGCGCTCTCCCAGCTGAAGAGGTGGCGCGCGGCTAAAGAGGCTCCTGCCATATCCGCGCGTCACCTCTCCAGCCGGGACAGGGTCGCGGGGGGCTTCTTTAGCCCCGCACACGCTCTCCCGGCTGGAGAGGTGACGCGCGGCTATAGAGGCTCCTGCCATAGTGGCGCGTCACCTCTCCAGCCGGGAGAGGGTCGCGGGCTGCTTCTTTAGCCCTGTGCGCGCTCTCCCGGCTGGAGAGGTGGCGCACGGCTATAGAGGCTCCTGCCATAGCCGCGCGTCACCTCTCCAGCCGGGAGAGGGTCGCGGGGCTATGGCGTCTTCGCTCCATAGGACGCACACACATTTCCCCTTAATTTTTGAAGGGGAAAAAGTGCGTCCTATAGAGCAAAAAATACGGTACTTCCCCAAACCCTCTAGGATTTCTCCAGTTAAGGATCTGCCAGAGGGTGTTAATAAACATCACACAGTACAAAGAAACGATTAGTCAAAAGTCCCCTGAGACATCGTTCCACTCTATGTGGTTACACAGTAAATCCACGGTTTCAAAGGATCTTTTAAAGAACTGTTTCAGGACTTAAGAGGCTTAAAAGGCTAGCTCCTTAGCTGTGGCAAAACTCACGCATCAACAGCTCACTGTGCTGTGAGCCACAAGGATCATAACTAAAATTAATTTTATCTTGTTATCTTATTGCCTTGAATTCCGCTGCATATTACTTTGGGGGCCTTTGGGCTAAAAAGAGGCATATAGATTATTATTGCTACTACTAGCATGAGACACTTAATCTCAGGGTTGTGGGTTCAAGCCCCATGTTGGGCAAAAGATTCCTGTGTTGCAGGGGGTAGGACTGGATGACCCTTGTGGTCCCTTCCAACTCTACAATTCTGTAATTCTACTATATAGCAAAATTGATCCCCCTCTCTACAGCAGCGCTCCACATCCCCCCCCCCAATCTGCTGCAGAGCGAGAGTATATGGGGGCAGTGGTGGGAGGAGAGGAAGGGGATATCAATAATAATAACAGTAATAATAGTAATAATAATACTGAAAACAATGCTTGTCGCCAGCACCATCATAATTAACAACAGCAACTATTTGTAATCTATTATTTGCACAGATTGAAAAAAGATGTTTTACAATCAAATGTGGTCTGTTTGTAAGAGACAGTTCTCTAAAATCTAGTTGTGCTATGGCTTCTGTTTTGCGGGCTTTGAATGGTGAATCTATAGCTCTAGCGCCACCATCTGTCATAAATAAGAACTGTAAATAAAACAATTAACATTGCTGCAGCAAGGACACTATCAAAATGAGCAAAGGGAGTGTTTTCTGCAGCATTCTGCAGCTATTTGTCACAGATTGGGAGGAAGGCTTTGTGGTGAGGCTCTCCCTACCATCTGCCCACAGCAACAGGTTTTTTTTGCTTAGAACAGAGGTCGGCAACCTAAGGCCCATGGACCACAAGCGGCCCATGGGGGTCGTTTAACAGGCCCACGAGCCGCCCCTGAACTGAGCCGCCCGCTTGGTGAGTCCCTGCGCGCTGTGCTAAACTGGCACAGCGCGGGGACTTGCTTCTGCGGTGCCGGAAAGGTAAACCTTGCCAACTTGGCTTAGAAGATAGATACGAAATATGAATGTACATCTTTTGGAGGCTTCAAAGCTTTATCACCCGATGTAGTTTCTGAGTTGCTAACTTCATGCTGCAATTTGCCCACTGCAAAACTGTATGTTATAAGAAAGTGCTTAAAAACTTCCTCTTTAAACCTTAGTATGACTTGTTGAGTCCTTTGATGAAATTTAGGGTACATTTGCTATTTAATAATCTATCGTTTAGAAACAGGACTGAGACCCAATTCACCATGCAGACAACCCAGTCCAAAGACTTTCCATAATGGAGTATCATCAGAATAACATAAGTACAGCTACGACTATGCAATGCTCCCCCTGTAGCAACTCACAGTCCTAGGGGAAATACATTTGCCTTTCTACACTAACAATGTTTAACAGCTACTCTTATTTATTTTTATTTTATTTATTTCATACAATTTATACACTGCTTGATTATTTTTTAAAACACAACAACCTCAAAGCTGTTTACAAAAAGATAAAACAATAAAATCAAGAAAAACCTGCAACCATACTTTGAAACATACAAAAGTTAAAATACTAAGATTAAAATTACCTTAACTTTCTAAGCATCTGGGTAGGCTAGTCTCAACAAAGAGGTTTTTAGCAGGTGCCGAAAGGAGTTCAGCAGAGGCTTGGTCTCAATAGGCAGGGAGTTCCATGGCAGTAAAAAATCTCAGGGCCCCCCTCACACTGAACTAAGAAAGCTTGATTGTAATTTTATTTCAAATCAATATTATTTTGATCCATTGTTGTGGGGCCCCTAAAAGGCGTAGGGCCCACAGACCAAGGCCTACTCTGCCTATCCAGCAGCAGGTGCTGCCTGTAGGATGTATCATTCATTGTAGCAATCAAATACAACATTTCCTGTTTCCTAGAGTGGACACGCAGGGGAATGTTGCTCCAGACAGGGAGGACTTCCTCTCAAACCTGTTCTGGAGCCTCCTCCCACTGTGTGTGACCAGGTAGATGGGCGTGGCCCTAGCAGACCCTATAAAAGGGCCAGTCAAGCAGCTATCTTCCTATTTTGACTCTTTTTCACCTTTTCCCCATTTCATCTTTTGGACTCCTCTGCTGGCTCTTAGCCAGCAGCACATGGCTCATCCTTACAGAGGATGGAAGCCGCAAGATAGAAAGTGTGAGGCCTAGCTCAGACTTCTTTCCTCTACAACTGTAACTGTGACTACAAGATTAGAGCCTGCCTTCAGGACAATACTGTGAACTGAATGTAAGTAAACTTTATCATTACTTTTAGAAGAAGACTGTTGTGTCATCCTTGTTTTTAAGAGGGAACTAAAGGGGAAATTTACCAGGAACAATCCAATCTGGACAAGCCAGACTGGATTGCTCAACTCAAACGATTCTAACGAATCCGTCAACTTGCTTCCAGCAATGTGCAAGGGAATGTGCTCTGGTACTAGCTCACTAGCGCGAGTAAGGAAGGATAATATTTAATCAATATATCCTCCCTACTATTCCACAACATTCCCACACTGCCACACTAAACGACTGAATCCTTAAAAATGTGGAACGGGTATTATGTGGTCCCTGTTGTAGTGCCAATTCCGCTCATCAGAGTGGTTGAGTGGGCACACGTGGGTAAATTGGTCCCAAGTTGTTAAGGGCTTTACAGTGGTACCTCGGGTTAAGTACTTAATTCGTTCCGGAGGTTCCTTCTTAACCTGAAACTGTTCTTAACCTGAAGCACCACTTTAGCTAATGGGGCCTCCTGCTGTTGCTGTGCCGCCGCTGCACGATTTCTGTTCTCATCCTGAAGCAAAATTCTTAACCCGAGGTACTATTTCTGGGTTAGCGGAGTCTGTAACCTGAAGCGTATGTAACCCGAAGCGTATGTAACCCGAGGTATCACTGTATATACAAAGAACATCTTGAACTTGGCCCAGTAGTAAATCAGCAACCAGTGCAGATCTCTGAGCACAAATGTCATACACTGACAAGGCCTCACTTCTGTCAGCAATTGTACTGCAGCATTCTGCATTAAGTGCAGCTTCCTGTGGGGATCTGAATGGGTGTCCTGAGGCAGACTGATATGACTAGGACCTGGGAGACCAGGCTTCAAATCCCCACTTGGCCATGAAGCTCACTGGGTGACTTGGGGCCATTAAGTCTAATTTACCTTACGGGGTTGCAATGGGGATTAAATGAGGAGGGGGAAACCCGGTAAGCCACTTTGACCTCCTTGGGGGGAAAGGTGAGCTATAAATGCAACAAACAATAACAACAGCGTTTGGAAGCCCACATCCATGTGCTAAAGGCTTTGGAAAACCTACCTTTTCAGGGGACATTTGTTTAAGCCTCGTTACCTCTGCCTCCAAATTTTCAATTGTAGCAGCCTGCTCCTCAAGCTTGCCCCTCAGTATCTGTAACTTTGAAAGTACGGTTTCTCCACCTTCTTCGGATGGGTCAAGTAAGAAATATTTCTGCCAAGGAAAGAGGAGCATTAATGAGAGGCACAAAGCACTTGATCGCAGTCAGAAGGCACAGCAGCAACAGCTGGATTGGTTTTTGTAACACTAAATCATGCCTGACTTTGGCTACATCCGCACCCTACGTTTAAAGCACTATGGTGCCACTTTAAACAGCCATGGCTTCCCCCAAAGAATCCTGGGAGCTGTAGTTTAGGGTGCTGAGCATTATCAGTAGGCCGCCCCACAATTCTCCTCCCAGAGCTATGATTCCCAGATTCTTCACAGAGAGCTTTGGGAATTGCAGTTTTGGGAGGAGAACAGGGAAATGGACACCATAGTCTACCTGGGCACACAGTGTATGCCAGCTACCTACAAAAGCAAACTTCTTGCTTTCTTTCAGTAGTTAGGGGTAGCAGAGGAAGGGTGTGGGGGAAGGGAGGGATGTGTCTGGACGGACAGCTCAGTTGATAGAGCATGAGACTCAGGGTCATGGGTTTGAGCCCCAGGTGGAGCGAAAGATTCCTGCATTGCAGGGGGTTGGATTAGATGATCTATTTGGTCCAACTCTACAACTATATGACCAGCTATGATCAGATAGGTGAAAGGGATAGGTGGGGAGCACCTGCGTTCCAGTACCAGTAGCTGCTTCTGCTGTTTACAAACAGCTCAGCCGGGAGCAGGGGTGAATCCCAAAGCCTGCACAAGGATATCACATCTGCTTGTATGACGTTTGCACCTGTCTTTTTGTGCCCTGTCTCACGGGGCCAGGTTTTTAGCTGGGGCATTCCAACTCTGAGTTCCTTAACCAAGCAAACCAGGGTGTGCTGCACCCCACACTACATCAGATAAATAAAATACACACAGTAGCGATAATTCAAAAACTCACTGTATAGTTTGTTTTGAGAATTGCAAGTGCATCACATAGTTGTTGCTGGTAGCTATATCGCATTTTCTCCTCTTTCTGTAATTGAAGGGTGAGATTTAACTTTTTACGGATTATCAAAATGGTAAAAGGCAAAGCCCGTAAGGAAATGTTTCAAAGTCCACTGTTGGGCAGTGCCTTTCTTAGGACGTTTTGGTTGGTCCCTATAAAAAAAGCAGCTGCCCAACTGTAAATTTCAAAATAAAAAAGACGTATTCAAGCTAATGTGGTACAGTGGCTAGAGTGTCAGACTAGGGCATGTAGATCAGGGTTCAAATTACTGCTCAGCCATGGAGCTCACTGGGTGATCACTACCTCTCAGCCTTAACTTACCTCTCAGGGTTGTTGTGGGGCTTAAATGGGGGGAGGAACTGTGTACACCACCTTGAGCTCCTTGGAGAAAAAGGTGAGACAGAAATGCAACAAGAAGGAAGGAGAGAATGTGGAAGGAAGGTAGGAAGGAAAGAAGGAAGGAAAGAAAGAAAGCAATTCCATCATTATCTTTGCTCTTTGGAGCACAGGTACAATCCTCAGGTGTGTTTTTGCCTCTTCCAACACCTTTAGCCCTTGCAACACCCAAGCACACAAGTTCTGGAGAAAGGTTGTGACTGGTACAGTAGAAGCAGTTACAATGGATTGCCTTTAGGTGGAGCCACAAGCCCACAGCATCCTGTTCTCTGGTCAGGGAGGGACCAGGCGGCTGTTCTGTCCGGTCCCCTGCTGTGTCAGCATTGACTGCACATGAACCCTGCAGATATCAGACCATGCCCAGGGCTTGCCAGGGCTCAGCTGCCTGTGCTGGCTCTGCTGGGGCTCAGCACAATCAATCCCTAGATCATATCCATAGTGTATATCCCACTGTTCTGGATGCAATTGGAACATTGCAGAATAATGGTGCAGAGCACCTTACGGAAACTAACCTGAGACTACGCCTTATGGAACTCAGCTCATCTTATTTTTGATTAAGCAGTGAACAGTGGATTGTGCTGACAATTGCTGTAACACATGCCCAAACTGAAAGGCTGATTTTTTTAAAATAAGCAAAAACATATAAATGTAATCACTTATTTTAAAAAGAGAGGAAAGGAAAAAGAAGGGAGACCCTTTCAACAATCTCTCTCTCACCACCCTGCCAACAACAAAAAAGAGCTCCAGTTTGGGGCTGGTTCTTAGGCTGAGTTCTATAGTGCTTTATAGCACAGCGAGGGAATTACAGGGTAATGGTGGTGTAAATGTGCTTTCTGTATTGCATGCTAGCTGCCAGCATATGATATTCTCTCTCTCTTTCACACACACACACACACACACACACACACACACACACTGCTTTAACCAAATTGCAAACACAAAACCTTTACACAGATTACGCATTGATGATGCTTGAAGTGGAATGAGGAAAGTTGCCCTGTACCTGCTTGTAAAAGTCATCAATGTATTTTAGCCTGTCATTTATGGCTAGCCAGAGCTTGGTTGCCTCTTCCTGTATTCTTTCCTCATACTGTGCTTTAAGGATCTTTCGGTACATAGCAAAATCATTGTAGAGCCTGTCTGTGAACTGAAAATACAAAAGGATTAATGGCACGCTCATTCAAAACGATTTATTATGTGGCTGTTGAACAGAATGGAGCTACCAAACAAGCTGTTTCAGCACACTAAATGAACAGCACCACACACAGTCTGTGCCAGTCTGTGTGTAATCTCAATGAAGTTGGCCTGGGAAGGGGCATCTTAACCCAATACAACCATACCCAGACACCTGCCATAATTGCATACCTGTTTCAGTGGGTTAGTTTGGACAGAACAGTGAAAACCAGGGATAGGGAGCCTGGGGCACCCTGATAATGTTGGACTACAACTCCCATCAATCCCAGGCAGCATGGCCAATGGTCAGGGATGATGTGAAATGTAGTCCTGCAACATCTGGAGGAGACCAGAGGTTTCTCACACCTGGGCTAATAGCTAAGCATTACAAGTTTTAAGGCTTAGCATTACAAGGATGAGCCTAGCTTCCCCTAGGCTTGTGCACACATGCCTCATAAACAGTTTGATCTCACTTTCTATGGTTGATAATAGTGGCAATAAGGACTTTGACAATGAAAGGAATGAAAAAAATAGCCAAGATTTCTGAAGCAAGAATGAATGCAGATGTTAAATTAGAATGGTTAAAAATGGCTGTTGTTGGCACAAAATAAGAACTGACTACTCTTTGTAAATAGCTAAAGGTAAAGGTAAAGGGGCCCCTGACACTTAAGTCCAGTTGTGAATGACTTTGGGGTTGCGGTGCTCATCTGTTTTTACAGCCCGAGGGAGCTGGCATTTGTCTGCTTCCGCAGGCAGTTTTTCCAGGTCATGTGGCCAGCATGACTAAGCCGCTTTTGGCGAAGCCAGAGCAGTGCACGGAAACACCATTTACCTTCCCTGCCGGAGCAGTACCTATTAATCTACTTGCACTGGTGTGCTTTCGAACTGCTAGGTTGGCAGGAGCTGGGACAGAGCAAAGGGAGCTCACCTCGTTGCGGGGCCTCAAACCACCGACCTTCTGATCGGCAAGTCCAAGCAGCACAGTGGTTTAAACCACAGCGCCACCTGCGTCCCATGTAAATAGCTACAGTGCCACATATGTATTCCAGCAAAGCTCTACTTGAGAGATGGGCAGAAAACAGCTTACCTGTAATAAAGTTCTTGTCGTTTCTATAAAGACCTTTATATCTCCTATTTCACTTGTATCTGTTTGCGTAGCATGATCTGAGATCCCAAAACCTATTTTCAGGTTATCTGAAATCGTGTGCCTATGGAATTTTTTGTTGAAATATAGTTAGTTGAAACAGCAAAGATATTATACCGAACAAATGTGAAGCTTAAAGTAGCAATAATCTGCTAAACTACCCATTAAGCTTTTAAGTTATTGCCTTGTTCAGGTGTTTTACTCATGTGTAAAAGCAATGCAAGAGAGGGGACAGGCATGTGAAGCTCCGTTCCGCTCCCTATTGATCATGAGCTGGAGGGTGAACTTCTGAAGCAGAAGTCTATAAAAATTTTGCACAGCAGCAAGGAAGTAGATACAGGAAAGTTTTTCTTTCTCTCACATAACACCAGAACTCGTGGACATCCAATGAAGCTGAAGGTGGAAGATTCAGGATAAAAGAATGTACTTCTTCACAAAGCATAGTTAACCTATGGAACTCACTGCCACAGGAGGCAATCATGGCCACCAACCTACATGCTTCTGAATACCAGTTGCTAGAAACTGTGAAAGCGGGGAGTTCTCTGATGTTCAGATGCAGATTGCAGGCTTCCCAGAGACATCTGGTTGGCCGTTGTGAAAACAGGATGCTGCACTAGATAGGCCATTGGCCTGATCCAGCAGTCTCTTCTCCTTTACTTGTGGAAGCTGCCTGCACAATGTAGAGCATAGATCAGGGTCTTAAATTGTGCGGGGATCCTCCACAAAGTACAGAAAGCTCCCTGCTACAGAGTTTTCCCTCTAAATTTTGGGGAGCAAAAAAGTGACACTCCCAAAGAGGGTCTATATATGTTCCCCAATAATGAATAATTCTAGAAGGAAATCCCATCACTCACACAGTTACTGGGTTCACTTTTATCCCACACCCGCTTTCAAAGCAGCTTGCATAGGGGATTCTAGGCAGTCTCCCATCAAGGCACTGGCCAAGCTAAGCCCTGTTTAGATTTCAAAATGTTATTTCTCTGGGGAGCACAGATGGATTGCCATTTGGTTACATCTGCCATGTGCACTCTTCAGTTGTACTATAGGGGTCCCCCACTTCCTTCCCTGGACTTCCATTGTGGCAATGTTTTGGAAGCCCAGGTTAACAAGGTGGATGAAATGACAACACGCAAATCTTCGGGAGGTGGCTGCTATTCTAAACATGACTGGATTTTCCAGCAACAGGGAACAGGTGGTCAAGGCAGCTGCTTAGTCTCTTGGCTGTAGAATGAGACTGAGTCAATGTGTACGTCACCCAGGCTAAACTTGGCTCATTTGCAGGGGGAACTCTTAATGCAAAATGGGGACAAATGCCAGTTCGATTTTTAAAAATAGCCTTCTGCGTTAACATCTCTCAGAACCACTCCCCTGATCGCATTTCTGCAACATGCAAGTGTTCCCTGTTTGTAAGTCTCATCATATCTGCAAGTTCTTTAAATAGCAATGTGATAAAGTTTAACATTCATTTTTACTGGCAAGGATGATAGAGGCATTTGCTGGTTCAGAAAGTGGCTCAGAGATACAATTCAGTTTTAAACCATTCGACGCTGGGAGAATAAACTGGAGATGCCAGGAAACTAACTCTGGTGAACAGCATTAATGGGACATACTAACGGCCTGATGCCACAGGAATTGCACAGGGAAGCATGGAGTTGCCAATTAAATCTGGAGTATCCATGTAGTCGTTCAGTATGACGGGATTTGCAATACATTGTGCTATTTAATACTTAATTGAGGGATAGCTGGTAGGACAATTCTCTGGTTCCAAGACTCATAGAATCATAGAATCATAGAGTTGGAAGAGACCACAAGGGCCATCGAGTCCAACCCCCTGCCAAGCAGGAAACACCATCAGAGCACTCCTGACATATGGTTGTCAAGCCTCTGCTTAAAGACCTCCAAAGAAGGAGACTCCACCACACTCCTTGGCAGCAAATTCCACTGTCGAACAGCTCTTACTGTCAGGAAGTTCTTCCTAATGTTTAGGTGGAATCTTCTTTCTTGTAGTTTGGATCCATTGCTCCGTGTACTCAATGACTCAATGGAAAACAACTGAAGAAATATATGGGAAGCTGTCTCATTTGAGATGTTCCATTTATTTATCATCTAGTTTTTATATCCTGCCCCTCCTTTAAAAGAGGATCACACGGCGGCTCACAAACATAGAATATGCAGCACAGAATAAAGATATGCACCTCTCCTCTGGAATGCACACTCTCAGGTAGTTTGAGATAAGACAGTAATGACCTTTAAAGGTCTCTTATAAATTATATTTATCCAGACTTCCTAGACTCTGACTCTTTAATTATTAACTCTCTCTTTTGAACACCGTTCAGTTTCATTTGGAATACCGTATTTTTCGCCCTATAGGGCGCACAGGCCCATAGGGCACACCTAGTTTTAAGGAGGAGGGAATCAAGGAAAAAAATATGATTCCCCCCCCCCTGCAGCTCTGGGAGCAGCGGACAGGCTCCAAGACCTTCTCCCTGCTTTTGCGGGAGGTTGCGGAATTCCCTCACCTCCCGCAAAAGCCCACAGGAGCCGCGCGCGATTCCTGCGGGCTTTTCGACCAGGAGGGAGAAGGGACTGAAACGGCCAGTCAGTCCCTTGTCCCTCCTCAGGGAAAAGCCCCCAAGAGCGGCGCGCTCTTTAAAGGGTGCATGGCTCCTGCGGGCTTTTCTACGAGGTGGGGGAATTCAACCCCCTCATAGAAAAGCCAGCAGAAGCTGCACAGCCTTTAAAGAGCGCGCGGCTTCTGCGTGCTTTTGCGGGAGATGGGGGAATTCCCCCATCTCCCGCAAAAGCCCACAGGAGGGAGAAGGGACTGACTCAGCCAGTCAGTCCCTTCTCCCTCCTTGGGGAAAAGCCCCCAAGAGCGGTGCGCTCTTTAAAGGCTGCGCGGCTCCTGCAGGCTTTTCGACCCAGCTTGTGGGGCTGGCGGTGGGGGGAAGCGCTGCTTTCCCCCACCGCCAGCCTCAAAGAGCAGACTCTCCTGGCTTTAGCGAAAGCAACGCGAAGCCTCCCTTCAGAGGCTTCGCATTGCTATCGCTGAAGCCAAGGAGCCTGCATTCGCCCCATAGGACGCACACACATTTCCCCTTCATTTTTGGAGGGGAAAAAGTGCGTCCTATAGGGCGAAAAATACGGTATATACTTTTGTTTGGTTTTTATCTAGCTTTAAGGAAATTTTATTATAATTTTGTTATTTTTCATGTAAACTACATATTTTTAATTAAGCGTTATATATTTCTAATAAATAAATAAATAAAAACAATATTTTTAAAAGGAAAACACAAATTAGCAGCTATGAATAACCAGCAGCATCTGCTCCAGAGTCAGACCCAATTGGGTCTTACATGTGGTGTATTATATTGTGGTATGGCAGTAAGACTGCCATGAAGCTGACTGACTTGGGGCCAATCATAGCTTCTCAGCCTAGCCTTCCCCACAGGGTTGTTTGAGGATAGAATGGGGGAGAATCATTTTCACGCCTCCTTGAGCCACTTGGAGAAAATGGCGGTGAGATATAAAGGCAAGCTTTTGAATTCTCCACAGAGCTTCACAGGAAAGAGAAGAGAGGAAGAATGCCTTCGCTTCGCTTCCCTTTTCACACGTCCTCCCCATCGCCCCCTGCAGGCAGCTCTGATGCGTTACCGGTAGTCCAGCTCCAACTCATCAAAGCTGTTATACAGTGTCAGGAGCTCAAGGATGTTGGGGTACATGCTCAGCCTCCGCGTGGATTGCAGGGCCCGTGCGCGCTCAGTGGCACCAATGTCCTCTTCTTCAGGGACGAGGACGGTGGGGAGAGATATGGACTGGGCCATCTTTCCTCTTCTTCCAGTGCTGTGAGGAACAACGCTGGCCAGGAGCTAATGGTGGGGGTGCCATGGCGACAAGCAGGGCGCACTCAAAGGGAGGGGCTGCTGCTCTCCATTCTAGGAAGGAGGAATGATGGTTTCCTGCAGAGTTCTTTCCCTCCCCTTCTGCCTACTTTCCCCCTCCATTCATGGAGCCACGAATGGGCATGAAGAATCACCCAGGGGCACCTCTGCCCATCCTCTCAGGGAGTGGGTGGCACAGTGGACTAAACCACTGAGCCTCTTGGGCTTGCCGATCAGAAGGTCGGCAGTTCGCATCCCCGCTACGGAGTGAGCTCCTGTTGCTCTGTCCCAGCTTCTGCCAACCTAGCAGTTGGAAAGCACACCAGTGCAAGTAGATAAACAGGTGGGAAGGTAAATGGTGTTTCCGTGCGCTCTGGCACTCGTCACGGTGTTCTGTTGCTCCAGAAGCGGTTTAGTCATGCTGGCCACATGCTGTCTGTGGACAAACGCCGGCTCCCTCTTTCTGAAGCGAGATGAGTGCCACATCCCATAGTTGAATTCAACTGGACAGAGGTCCTTTAACTTTACCTTACCCTCCCGGATGCAGAGTTTGCCTCACATCACTCCTGTGCCTAAGGCTAAAATGGAGGGTGGGTTTTGAGGCCGCTTCCCTCAGGCTCCGCATTGGCTGCCAGGGGTCTGAGTCTGTGCAAGTTGAGAGTCATATCCTCAAACCCTCCCATCTGATTGAGGGAGTGTACTCTGCACGTTCTCAAAGAAACCCTCTTAATCTTTTCATGTTATTGCAGTACTGAACACAGTTTCTGGGCCTACTCAAGCCTGTACAGTGGTACCTCGGGTTACATATGCTTCAGGTTACATATGCTTCAGGTTACAGACTCCACTAACCCAGAAATAGTGCTTCAGGTTAAGAACTTTACTTCAGGATGGGAACAGAAATCGTGCTCGGGCAGCGCAGCAGCAGCAGGAGGCCCCATTAGCTAAAGTGGTGCTTCAGGTTAAGAACAGTTTCAGGTTAAGAACGGACCTCCGGGACGAATTAAGTACTTAACCTGAGGTACCACTGTACAATTTTTGTTCTGTTTTTACAGACAGGACTGAGGTTGTGGTTGACAAGACAGAAGAAACACCATGAATTAGGTACTTTATATTGAGTCAGGCTACTGGTTGGCCTCTAACCCAGTATGGTCTCTTCTGACAGCCAGAAGCATTGTAGGGTTATTTGGGGGGCAGGGGGCGGTTCTGTTCTTTTGTGGACAACCCTCTGTGTCTACATGCCAAGGGTGGGTGAGGCTGGAGGCAAAAGTAGGCAGAGCAATGCATGTGACTCCTACCTTGGTACAGCAAGCTACCTTGCAGCCACCCAGTCAGGGGATTAACCAGCTCCGCAATGCACATTCCTCCTTCCAGGGAAGCAGGAGGCATTGCCACAGCTCAAGGACACATTGCAACCAAGCAAAATTACCTAGGGAAAGTGTGAAGCAGGACCAGTGAAAGGTGTGGCTAGGGAAGAAGGGGGTGTGGCATGTGCAGGGTCACCTGGGCCAGACAGAGATGTTAAGAGGGCAGAATTTGGCCCCCAGGTCTGAGGTTCCTCCATTGCTGTGGTAAAGTGATTCTTCTGTAGTGTTGCTTTGTGAGGCACAGACAACTGAGCTTGGGACCTCCTGCATGCAAAGTAGGTGGTCTGTCGCCAAACTTAGGCCCTTCCCACCCAAATACCACCTATTTTATATTGTTTGCATGGGATTTGAACTCCACTTCAGACCTGTTTCACCTAGAGTAGGAGTCTTGCAGCAAATCTTTTGCAGATCAAACAAGGCCTTCTTACACCAAGCTTGAATAACCACCCATTTTTAACTGTTCAAGGAACGTTCTGATGCCACAGTTTTCTGCTTGAAAGGTAGCTTAGGATGAGTCTACATGCAGTGTCTGAATTTAGATACATCAAACAGAATTAATGACATAACTGTATCTTCCTGTATTTACTGGTGTTGAATGTCTCCCCCCCCCATTTCTTTTATTAATCTTTCATTGTGTCCTGTGAGGAAAAGTGACGTACAAAATGGTTCCATCCTTCCTTCCAAAAGAGGCATGTAACTATAGCAATGCAAATGTACATGATTAATGGAATGGGTAAAAAAGCTATAATATCTGCAATAATTTCTGGCGTGGGTGTGAACATGATTTAGAGGTTCACTTTTTGAAAACCAGCACAGATCTCTATTCAGAAAGGTCTCTGTTTTATGAAATGCGGGCGGGGGGGGGGGGGGGGATGTTGGCCCTAGTATTTAAAGGAGAGTAATAGATTTGCTGCCAGATCCTCTATACTAGAGCATGCTGGCACAAGCATTCAACTCTTGTAGGTGAGTCTAGGACAGGGATCACTAAACTTTTTCAGCAGGGGGCCTGTCCACTGTCCCTCAGATCTTGTGGGGGCCCGGACTGTATTTTGAAAAAAAATATGAACAAATTCCTATGCCCCACAGATAACCCAGAGATGCATTTTAAATAAATGCATACATTCTACTCATGTAAAAACACGCTGATTCCCGGACCGTCTGCGGGCTGGATTTAGAAGGCAGTTGGGCCAGATCCAGCCCCCAGGCCTTAGTTTGCCTACCCATGGTCTAGGACTAGGTGCTGTAACTGTGCGTTGCTCCTGCCATTTCTAGTGTTTAGGCTGTGAGTGCATTTACTTATATAGCCAAAACCTGGAGAGAGGTACCCATAGACTTAAGAAACCCCAGCGCTTGCAAACAAACCATCTTTATGGGTGGGGGGAATCCCTAAGGGGCTGGGAACACCCCAAAGAGGCAAGTAAGGACTGAGAATGCTCAGTGCCTTACAGTGCTGAATGGCAGTTGCAAGTGGAATGGGGGAGGGGGGAAAGGAGAGAAAAAAATGAATAGGATGGAGTAGCTTTAATCCTCAACAGCAGCATCAGTTCCTGAGTTGTTGCCACTCCACGAAGCGCCCCAGTTGTGCTACCAGCCTGGCACGAGGCTGCTGGGGGGGGCAGGATAATTAGAGTGTCTGCTGTGCTGCAGTGGGCAGGGCTTGGGCACGGTCCAGAGGGAAGACTTGCTTTCTCTGGTCCATGCTTAGGCTATTTAAGCCATCTTGGCCATGACACAGCCTTCTTCCCCACCCACCCTTTCTCCTTTGTAATTGTTCTTGCTTGGATGATAGTTTGTGGCTGGTTAATGGAACTGGGAGATATATAATTTTTGTTCACACTGCAGTTTATATTTTTGCCTTTCCTTTTTTTTGTATAATTTTTGTATAATTTTGTTTTACAATTTAAAATACTCATTTAAACATCCTTAAAATATCAATGACTTCCCTTCTTCTCTTTCCATGGTTCATTTTGCATATCATAAATCCCTGCATATTTTTACAAAAACTAAACCATTCAGTATTCCATTATTACATCCATCAAAACTTATTTACACTGTTGAATTTATCTTAATGCCGCCAGCATTCTGAAGTGTACACAACTTCCCCCCCATATATTCAATAAACATTTTCCAATCTTCTCTAAACACATGTTCTTCTTGTTCTCTTATTCTATAAGTTAAATCTGCAATCTGTGCATATTCTGTCAGCTTAAGTTGCCATTCTTCTTTAGTTGGGACCTCGCTCGTTTTCCATTTTTGGGCTAACAAAACATGGGCCACAGTAGTGGCATACATAAATAACCTTTTTGGACACTTGGTAATTTTAGTCTGAATTATCCCCAACATTTCTGCCTTTCCTATAGCAAAGGTATGTTTGCTGGTTGCGGTTTTTGTGTGCACCTGCCACGACTCTTTGGTGGGGTGGGCATTAGGCAGGATCCATAGGCAGTAAAGGTATCCTTCTGGTGGTCTGGAGGAGGTAGGAACGGAATGCCTCAGGGGAATGGGCATATTGCTCCATACCAGGTGGCCAGCAGGAACCACAATCAATGGGCAACACCAGAGTCCAACAACCACCTCTTGGTGGGTCCAGCAGGTAGGCTAGCTCCAGCATATTCCAGTGGACAGGCTGTTTGATAAATGGATCTTTGCATCAAACGTTGAGATAACGATAACCAAAAAGGTTGTGGCCATATTCAGCCCACACTCCCTGCTCCCCGAGGACCTGCCTAGCTAGCAGTCAGTGTCTGGGGGCGCAATACAACATTTTGTTGCAGGACCCACTTGATTGGACAAATTCATGGAGGATAAGGCTCTTATCCAGTGTGGTGTAGTGGTTAAGAGTGGTGGACTCGTAATCTGGTGAACCGGGTTCGCGTCTCCACTGCTCCACATGCAGCTGCTGGGTGACCTTGGGCTAGTCACACTTCTCTGAAGTCTCTCAGCCCCACTCACCTCACAGAGTGTTTGTTGTGGGGGAGGAAGGGAAAGGAGGTTGTTAGCCGCTTTGAGACTCCTTAGGGTAGTGATAAAGCGGGATATCAAATCCAAACTCCTCCTCTTCTTCTTCTTCTTCTTCTTCTTCTTCTTCTTCTTCTTCTCAGTCTCTACTAGTCATGATGGCTATGCTCTGCCTCCACAGTCGGAGGTAGTAAAGCTTCTAAATATTTTGGGGTTGTGAGCAGAGAGGGAGAAGGTCTAGCATTATAGCCAGGCAGCTTGTACAATAGTTTATGACCACATAGAGAAAGGTATGGGTGGGATTACTGTACTCTGAGCCTGTAATAGATCCTTTTCTTCCACCCTGCCCTTTGCACTTCCACGAGTTCTCGCAGAGCAAACAGGTTCCAATATCTCCCACTGTAATGCAAAGCAAGAGGCAGCGAGAGGATTCCAGTGATCATCGGCAGTGCATAATACTTTCATAATAATTTATGTATGGAGAAAGGTGGAATATGACACTTGAACGCTACCAGCTCACCCAATATGCACACCGTGATAGCAATCAGTTATAGCGATCAAGTCACGGAGAAATATTGTGCTAACTATTAATATTAATGATTGCAGTGAAATTTATGAAGCATATTTCACACCAGAAATGAACCATTTCCCAGCAGCTACTGACTTTAGTTATTCATTGTTGGACAGAAAGTTTCTATAG